CTGGTAACCAACAGCAATCAAATCCTGAAGCCAAGAAGCTGTGAACTTCACATCCTGCTCACTCCAAAACCCTTCTTCAGCCATAGCAAAGCTCAAATCAACAACCGTCTCAAAGAAACTATGCTTCTCCGATCTCCAAGCAAGCAAGAACTTAATCAAACGACCAACGTTGACATGAAGATCCTTCTCCTCTGCAAAAGGGTAAGCCTCAATCCTATCAAACCGGTGAGCCGTGGGTGGATAAACCGCAACGCAACCACCAAGCTCCCACAACAGCCTCTGCCCCCAGTAACCTCTAATCACATCAGAAGCCATGGAGCTAACCGAAACCGGAAGCATCAACCCCCAAAACGCCGGCGAGTGGTAAAGCGTGTTGAACGAGTTAACCGGAACCATCACGCCCTGAGGCAACGCCACTTTAGGAGAATGCTCGTCGAACCTAACATCAAACGCTTCGAAAGTCGTCTTCCTCGTGAAGTAGAACACCGAATCAACGTCCGGTAAACCGTTCGAGATCCCTTGCTGTATAAACTGCTTACCACCGAAGACCTCGGTGTAATACTCCTCGTGATTGATCTCGCCGACGTTCTCTAACGGCAAGCCTCTAGGCCAAACCGAACGTTGACCGAAATGGATGTAAGGATTCACCACAGTCCGGTTTGGGTTCTCGTGACTGTACTGCAAAATCGGCTCTTGCTTAGCGTCCTCGCCTACAAGCTCCACGTCGAAATGTTTCCCGAGATCTCCGTCGATCACTTGGCCGCGATCGTCCGCGTCGTAGATCTTCTTCGCGCCGTGCTGGATCGCGAACAAGTAACCGACGGTTTTCCGGACGAATGAGTCGTAAGGGAGATGGTCCAGGATCCGGTAATTCAAACCGGCTTGAGCTTCGAGAGATAGGAAAATCGAGCCTTTGAGTTCCCAGTCTTTAGGGGTTTGAGTTTCCGATCGCGAGAACCTGCCATCCTCGGATCTTCACCAAGCTCTTGAGCTCCTCGGTTGGGTACTTGGTCACCGACACTACGATCCATTTCTCCGTGAGGAAATTGGCGTACGGGGAGGTTTTGTCAGGGACGACCTGGATCGAATTCCACTTGATTTGGGGGCGGGTGAGAGATTGAAGCGATTGAGTTGACTGAGACTGGAAGCAAAGGAGGGAGCTGTGTCGGCGGTGTTGTAGAGGAAGAAGAGCAGCTGCGGTGACGACGAAGAGGAAGAGGAGACCGATTCTGTAGAAATTTTCGGAAAACCATGACGAGAAATCGAGGTTTTTGGGTTCAGAGAATCGGTGGCTGTGTTGGTGAAGAGAGAGTTCTTTGATCCGAGATTTTGGCGGCTTTGGAGCCACACGATCCTGAACCAACATCAGATTCAATCCCTAAACCTCCAAAACCCTCCAGAAGCCAATCAGAGATAACCAAAATCAATTCACAGCCAAGAGTTGGTGTAATTTCCGTTTCCGGGAAAACAAAACAGCGACTCTCTCTGCAAATCGGTTGTTGTCGGAATCGGAGAATGCTTAGGCTTCAATTCAATGCAAACTTGTCGGGAATTTGTTCGTTGAGCTGTGAGGTCGAATGTCTTCGTCAATCTTCTTGATATTTCTTCGTTGGTTTGTTGTTTACGTTTGATTACTGAACTACAATGCCCACATCAGTGATCTCTATCCTTCTCTGTACAAAGAGACAACAACTGAAGAGTAATGTTGGCTCATCTGTGGGACCCAGTCAATTATCTAACCAATTATTTATTGTTGAGTTTAATGATCTAAATTATTTTCTTAATAATGATAAAACATTTGTTATTTCGAGGAATTGTGGCAGGTAAACGAATCAACGCATATAAACTATAGAAACCAAATAAAATCGCTTTTAATAATCATAGTTATCATAATTTACAGCAAATTCTTTGTCAGACAAAATTGTTAAATCAGAGATTATTCTGCAGGTAAATGATTCCGTGAGTGTGATCATATGCTTTAACTTCAATTGTGTATTAAGTCAGAAGAATACAAGAATCAACACTTACAAGATTTACATACATACAGTGAAGGAAGAAGAGACATTTATGTACCTTGTCTCTCTCTCACCAATAGTCTCCACAGGAGCAAGTTCCATTCTTGAAATGATGAAATCTCCTAACATCTCTCAAGATGATTTCTCTATCAACAATCTTCGATATAAACTTCGTAGCAAGATGACAGTCGTTACAAACCCTGAGGTTCTTAGCCACCCTAATAACCGTACCAGGCGATGTGTTAAGTATCCCAAACGCAATCGCTAGCTTCTCACTGTGTCCACAAAGCAAAACCTCTTTCTCATCTTCTTCCACATTGTGAAGCACACAAGATGTGTCAGGGACGTATCCTTCTTTTCTCATTTTCTCCCACAAGGTCTCCAGATATTCACGGAGCTTCTCGCTTTGCGGGTGAGATGAGTCACCGGCTATGAACTTATGTACTTCATCGCCATGCTCGATCCAGCTACATCCAGGTTCTTTTCTCACACCTTGCTCTTTCATTCTTCTCCTTACCTCTGTTGCTTTATCCCAGAGGCCTGCTGATGAATAAATGTTAGCAAGTAGCACATAGTGACTAGCTACATTTGGTTCCAGCTGAAGGAGATTCTGAGCAACAACTTCTCCAATTTCTAGCTCATTGTGAATCCGACAAGCGCCGAGGAGGCTACTCAAAGCTCCAGATTTGTCAAAACCAAGAGGCATCGCGTTCATGAGCTCATACGCTTCTTTAACTCTACCAGCCCTTCCAAGCAAATCTACAACACAAGCGTAATGATCTGAGCTAGGTTCAACACCGTAGTTGCTTCTCATATCGTAGAATATCTCTAATCCTTCATCCACCATGCCTGAGTGGCTACAAGCTGCAAATACTGAGATGAATGTAACCTCGTTTGGTTTTACTTTCTGAACCATCATCATTTTGAGCAGATCTATGGCGTCTTGCCCGTTTCCGTGCATCCCATAAGCCATTACAATCACATTCCAAGTTATAACGTTTTTCATTGGAATCTGATTAAACACTTTCCTCGACATGTGTAGGCATCCACATTTTGCGTACATGTCAACTAAAGCGCTTCCTACAGCCACATCGGTTGCCAAATTGTTCTTGATAGCGTAAGCGTGGATTTCTTTTCCCTTTGCTAATGCTGATAGTGCAGCGCAGCTTGGGAGGATTGTCATCAGTGTGATGGAATTAGGTTTCAGACCAGCTCGGCGAACACCCTCGCCTGCTCTTCTTTCAAGGTTTTGCATCTTGTGTAGCACAAGAAGCGCATCCTCATGGCATTCCGAGAATACATAACCAGTAATCATCGTGTTCCATGTAACTAAATCTCTATCTTCCATTTTACCGAATATCATCTCGGCGATATCGACCTTCCCCAGCCTAGAATACATATCCATCAACGCATTCTGCACAAACCTGTCTCCATCTAAGCCTCTTTTCACAACAAAACCATGGATCGCTTCTTTTCTGGAGAATGCATTAGAACGGACACAAGCAGGGACGATACTCGCCATTGTGGTTGTGTTAGCCAAAAGCCCTGCACTTTCTTCCATTTCAATAAACAGAGACAACGCTCCCTCGTCATGCTCGTTCTGAGCATACCCAGCGATCATAGCATTCCAAAGACCAACCTTTCTATCAAAGATTCCATCAAACACTCGACGACCGCTCAACATTTGCTTGCAATTGCAATACATGTCAACCAAAGCACTCCCAACAAAAGAATTCTCATCCAAACAGCCGTTTTTCAAAGCATAGGCATGCATTTCTTTCCCGGTGCGTAGCATCTCCAAGTGTGAACAAACAGGAAGAACACTTGAAATAGTGAACCCATCTGGTTCAACACCTTTGAGCACCATTTCACGCAAATACCCCAACGCTTCAAGAAACTGCTCGTTCTGACTTAACGAGCTCAACACAGTGTTCCATGTGACCAAGTCACGGCCTTCAAAAGTTCCAAGTAAGATTTTCGAAGATTCCAACTTTCCCAGTTTACCATACATAGCCACTAACGTATTGATGAGAAACGAATTCAAATAACCTTTTCTCAAACTATAGGCGTGAACCTGCTTACCCATCATCAATCCCTCGGTTACAGGCAGATTCGAGCAAGCAAGAGCCACACTCACCAAGGTAAACGAACTAGGCTCCACATTATCATCCAACATACACCGAAACGCCTCTAACGACATTTCCCACTTCTCAAAACTGCACAGAGAAGAAATCATCGAATTCCAAGAGACTTGGTTTCTCTCGGAAATTCTGTCGAACACCTTGTAGACAGCTCCGAAATCTCCACACTTTCTATACAAATTCACAAGAGTGTTGGCAACAGTCACGGAATCGACTCCGTACCCAAATTTATACACGTGGGCGTGAATCTGTTTCCCCAATTCCATGTCCTGGAGATCGGCTACAGCCTTGAGCAAAGCAGGGAAGGCGAAATTGTCCGGTTTGATACCCAAGACGATCATGTCAACGTAAGTCAAGACGGCTTCACGGAGCAAACTGGATCGAACTTTCGACCGGAGGGAATCAATCCACCACTCCGGAGAGCGTGACTGAGAGACAAGTTTCGAAGGTGCGACATGAACGGCGTCGGTGGCTGAGGTTGGTGTGGCGCGTAGAAGATAAAGAGGTTTGTGGCGGGAAAAGGGAAGCGGTTGAGATGGAAACGGGAATGAGACGGGAGGGAGAAGGTGAATGCAAGAGGACATGGCATGAAGAATTTTCTCGAAGATAATAGCATCTCTCTACTCTATCACAGTGACTCTGTGACAGTGAGTCTAAGATAATGTATTGGGCCATAATTAGGGCCTTTAGTGGGCTTACCATAATGGCTCGCCAACTATTGCTCCCCTCTTCACTGAGAAGTAGAGAGAGCAAGAGAGAGAGAGTGGGATTTCAAAAGGGAATCGTATCATCCCGCCATTTGCAGAAGCTCGGAGAAAACTTACTTCGGAAGAAAATTTAAGAGATGGCGGAGTTTCCTTGTGCGATTGAGAGAACGGCTGCTTCTTCTCTTCTCCTGCTTTCCTATGGACCAGTGTTCTTCTCACCTACGAGGTCGCGCACAACCAAATCTGTTTTCGATTCCCGTCGCTAATTATGAGGCTCACGGGCTCAGATCTGTGTCGTCTTCCTCGTTTGTTGCTGATAATCGTCTTGGGTGATAATAGGTCGGGATCTGTAGAGGAATCGAGCTATGTGAGCAAGTGGTGTGACGAAGGAAGCTCGAATTTGAGCTTGATTTTGGGATCTACCGGATCGAGATCGTGCGCCTCGGCTGTGTCCAGCGATGGTTCGTTTGGGAAGAGTAACGATAGCGGATTCAAAATCAACTATTCTGGAGATCCGTTTCATCTGGTGAATTTCAAGGTGCGACCTCTGATTCACGTCTCTGTTTCGGAATATTCGTTTGGGCGTCCTCTAGATCTGCATTTTCTGGGAATAATTTGAATTACTGAGAAATTCGATTGACTAGCGTCTTTTGGATTTGTTCATGTTGATTTCCTCCATCCGTTCGAGCTAACTGAATGAAAATCTCTGTATGCGATTCCGGTTTTAGTGAACAAACGGATCATTTCTGGATTTCAAAACTTCGAATAGTATTGTAGAGTGTTTCCTTTTTTTCTGGTAAATTTGAATTCCTGAGAATCTCGTTTGGCCTCTTCTGGATTTTACCATGTTGTTTTCCTCTGTTCGAGCTAGATTGAAACACAATACCTAGCTCTTATATGCTCCAATTCCGTATTTGGGATTGATGACTATTTTACTGTAAACGGATCATTTCTGGAATTTTAAATTTTAAATTTCATGTCGACTGTTCAGTTTGCTAGTAAGAACAACAAATATTTCATTAACAAACTTGGAGTCAGTGTGAAAATTGAAGGAGCTAATACATGTTTTTCAATGTCTGGTTTATGCAGACACCAAGAAAACGCCGTTCTCAGGTCATCTGTGAATCTTTCAATTCGAAGCCAACACAAGTGAAGATGAATTCCGCGTGTGATCTCTCCACATGCTCCGTTGATTCGAAAGATGAGTCGTCATGCTTGTCAACTGGTTCAAGCGAGGTTTCCAGCATTCAGAGCAGAGCCAAACTCAGAAATCAGACGAAGAAGAAGAAAGAATATAGCACTGGCAGGTCGATTTCTATACGCCGTAGAGCAAAAGACATCTTGGAGTTTCTTTCCTCAGCTTCTTCTTCTGAAGTTCATATCCGTCAGATTCTCGGAGACAGCCCTGATACCAGCAAAGCTCTCAGAATGTATACTCTGCTTCCCTTCTCATGCATACTACATCACACGAACACACTTGTTAGGCGTTTTGTCCCTGAATAAAGGTTTCATTTCTTATGCACTTGATATCCTGATGCAGGTTGTTGAAGATGGAAGAAGTGAAGAGGTTTGGCACAGGAGGACGACTTGATCCCTATATTTACAAGGTACGAAACTCAACTTTTATTTTCTTTATTATGACATGAGATTATTTGATTGAATACCCTACAAATTGTTTGAAATTCGAAAGCTACACAAAATGTCCCTTATGAGGTATGCATAGCTTACAATGATCGTAGGTTCCTTTGCCTCGTTCTTTTCTGTAGATTGCATGAAAAGTTGAGACATTGCTGGAAGCAGGTAAAAGTTATATCCCTTTGCAACATTACGGTTATATATACAGTTTAATGTTGTCCTTATATGGGTTAGGGAAAGGAAAACTATATATATAGGCATATAGCGAGATACATATATAAGAAGTGCTCTGTTAAATATCTAGACGTAACTATAATATTTAGAGCCATTGTTAGTTAAGACATCACGTTTGTTTGATTGTGTGAATTTCAGACTTGGTTTTCCTTGTGTTCTGAAAATGGGCGAAGTTAGTACTTATCTAATGGGATATCTAATAAATGTGATTCTGCAAATCACATCACTAGTGAGTAAATTCATATCAATTTAATTTGTTTACTTATCAATCCTATAAATTATCGGGAACAAAGGAGGAGGAGTTATTTCTCTTATAAAAATATTTCAAATTTAATAAATTCTTAAAGATATATGTAACTAAGCTTTATGATATGTTATAATTCTATGATGTGAAAATGAAATAACAGTATGTGTTTAATTATTTGTCCACTAAAAGGTATAAGCATTCAATATTTAGATGAATAATTGATCAGTTTTTCTAAAACAATCATTTGACACACGTCAAGAAACAAAAATTAATTTAAAAAAAAAAAAAACAAAAATTAACTGACACTTGTAATATGCAGCAACAGTGAAAGTATTAGTTCATCATGAAACGTGTCATGTTGCTTTTAATTTCTTTTGACGTTAAATTCTAACAAAAACCCATACGTTACAAATAAAATGAAAAGTTAAAAAAGTCTTCAAACAAGTGCAAAAAGTCGATGAATTAGTCCATCCATCAAAAAAGAGATGCTTAAAGCCTTTAAAGTAAGCGCTTACTTTTCAAGCGACGTTTACGGATTTGCCGCAGTCAAAAATACGCGGCGACTGGTTGTTGTAGTGACGACTGACGACCCACTCTGACGCGGGTTCATTAATTTCCTAAAATAATTATTAGAGAATATAAAAAAGGAAACGTGAAATAAATTTGTTAATTCACCTCCCCCACCCAAATCTTATTAATTGGAAAGGAAACTGTCAAGAAACGCTAAATCAAAACCGATTCCTTAAAAGTTAAAACAAGAACGCTAAATTCACAGCTAAGGATAAGTTTCTCTGCCTCTCCTAATTTCAACCCTATACTTTTATAGATTGCAATTTTATACCCTAATCTAGTCTTTAGCTGGCAATAATAATTATATATGTCTATAGTTTAGGTTAAAAAGTCATATATAGTACTATTAAATATACAATTAATACTAATTTTTAGTGTCATTACTCTCATCTCTTATGAATAGTTACAAATTAATAACTTTTGGAATAGTAAGATTACAAGTAGACAGAATAATATAAGATTATAAAGAAAAAAAGGACTTGAACGGTAAATATGAAAATTAAAGTTTGTAGGGACAAGGAAAAAAAATACAGAAAAGCATAAAATTATAAAACCCTCAAAAAAAGAAAAACGGAGCTTCGTTCGCTTTTCCTGCCTCCTATATATTTGATTTGACGCGACTTGGAAAATCTTCATCATCTCCCATCTCTCTCTCTCTCTCTCTCTCTCTCTCTCTTCAAGAGGAAAGAGAAAAAAGACAAGAACAAAAAATTAAAGAAGAAGAAATCTTTCAACAAGAATGGGGAAATACATTGAGATGCTGGATATGGGCGTGAGAATCGCAGCGAGGTTTCATTCTCACTGTCCTCAGACGGCGCGTCTCTATTACCATCCTCCTTCCGACAGCCACCATCATCACGGCGTCAAAGATTTAATCGGAGGTGGGGTTCTTGGTGGGTCGGGTCAAGATTCGACCGGTTTGGTTGGTGGGTTAGGATCCGGAACCGGTGGTTGCGGTGCTACCAAGGCTCCTAATGGGTATGAAGACGCCAGGGATCTCTTGTTATTCTCTGTTGTTTGATTGATTTTGTCTCTTAAAAAAAAATAGAAATATTATAATTTTTTTGGTCTGAATCTCTGAGAGAGAGATTTGATGAGCGATGTCGGATTTTTCTTTTGATTTATTATTATTGAGAAAACTATTCTTGTAATACCTTCAACAATCTCTGGATTCCAGAAATATTGTGAGGCAAATTGGATATTGATGAGAAATTAATTTGATTAATTCTTCTGGTTTTTCTATTGTGTGTTTTATCATTCTTGTGCGACCTCTTACCTTAATTCAGTGACGAAGTCATTTGCCCTTTCGAATAATTCCTTGCCTCCTACTTGCTCAATGAGCAAATCTTTTAGATTATTTGCAATTTGGTTTTTTCTATTGTCGGTTCGTCAAGAACAAACAAATATTGGATCAAATCTATCATCCGTTGAACCACACTCAAAGATTCTGGAGCTAAGTACAATGATTTGCCGATTTTTATACAATTAGAGTCAACATCATTTTTTAGCTGTCCCAATGGCTTAACAATTTCTGAAAAAAAAAAATATTTGACATTAGCTTGCCTTTGCTTAATAAAAGCTGCAATCAACATCACTATCATTCGTGTTTTAAATGATAAAACTCTGTTTTCCAACAAATCAGATGAAGTTTTGGTATACAAGTGTTTGTATTGTGTATATATCTTTGCAAGTTGCAAAGAGGTGGGACCTCTTTACACTTTCAGCTGAGCTGGCTACAACCCTTTCAACGATCCGTATAGAGGTTGGGACTTTCTGAAACCAACAATGTCTTCGATTTCTATGAGTGGTGGTGATACGACTTTGTCTTTGTCAGACGCCATTTCGTTCAGATGTTGACTTCCATAAACGCATATGCTCAACGATTTCTTTTTCGGTGCATCCATCTTTATGTATTCGTCAAAGAACTCAACCAATTCTTCCTTCCTTAGCCCTCTCAGTGCAGCCACCTAATCACACAATAAACCCCCAATGAGCTAACCTAAAAGTGTTAACATTTCTGATTAATAGATGGAGAGAGTGTGTCCATATGGTACCTCTGCATCTCTACGGTTGAATTTGAGTGTCCCGTTTTGAATCTCTCGCCAGTAAAACAAAGATTCTTCGTTCAAGTTCTTGTGTTTCTCAAGCTTCATGTCTATCAAAGCTGTTACATTGCTCTGATGAGAAACTCATGCCAGTTAGTAAGTTGTACTACAACTTGATAAACATATTTGCAGTTGCAAGGGATGTCTCTTTCATCCACTGTTTAACGTAAACAACACGTCTCACCTTGAATTCATCATCACTCATATCGTAAACTTTACTCTCAAGGTCCTTGAGTAGTGACTCAACCCTAGAATCAATATGTCCAGGCCCCTATTTAACAATAAACTCAAGGTGATTAAGGAGAGATACAAAGTCTCAATTTACAGAGACGGTAAGCCTGGTTTGGTACCTTAACGGAAGACTGGATAATGAACTGTACACCATAGACTCCAGAATCATTCCTAATGTTGCAGAAAAGTGAACATTGTAATCAGTAAGAACTCAGGGGCATACTCTTAACATACGAGAAATTCCTATGTACCTCTGAGAAAGTGAAGTGATGTAACCAAGTTGCTCGACCGTTCTGAGCTGGTGAAAAGTGGCTTGCTTTGCAACGAGATTGAAAAGCTCAAGCTTAACGTTCATGGAAACTTCATCTTGATGAACCTATTCGTGCCAAACCAATTTAGTTTCCGTATAATACCTCACACATATACTTGATTGATACCACTAAGTTTGAAGCTTACCTGGATATAATGTAGGAGGGCAGAATTATCATCACTAGGGTTTGAGCCTTGTTGACGGTACAAGTGTGTCTTTCCTTCTTGGAGTGTTACAATCCTATTTGTCAGCCGCTGGGAAGGACACAACGGTCTGCAAATAGGTTTTGGGTCGTTGAAAAGAGCCTCTTCAATAAGCTTGACCATTGACTCAGCTTCACTATTCTCAACGTTTCCTGAATTGCAGAGTATAAATTCTTCAACATTTTCCAACTTACAAAACGGATGGACCAAGGTAACACCACAGCCATCAAAGACTATAATGAAACATGTATAATGTTGATACCTGCTATGTAGCATTCTAAAAATGTCCTTGACAACATCACTGGAACGAACTTAGCCAAGTCTTGAGCTTCCAAATGAGAAAGAGCATCTAGTTCCTCTGTCCACGGCCAGGCCTGATCTTGTAACACCAGTGAGCAGTAATACTTTGCTTGGTGATTTGGCTGTCTGAATTTGTAATTTTGGAATGCCTTTGTGACTGCTTCCTGTTACATGAATTCAGAATGACAGCTGATTGGATTTTAGCAGTTGACAGTGAAAGAGAAAAGAGGAATGGCTCTAACCTTGATAACGGAAAACCTGTCAGGTCTAACTTCAAATTTTGCTATCTTTTGAATTACAACTACTAGCAAAATCCTCAAGTTGTGATTGAAGCCAGCAAGAGTCAGCTGGAAATGAGAAGAAGGTAACAAATCATGAAAATGTGTGGGCAGAACATGAGAATCCTTGTACAACACTACAAAAACACACCTCAAAACCATTGTCTGATTGTCTTAGTCCATAGTAAAGACCAGCTTTCTTGGCATCATAAGCTGGAAGATAGAATTGAAGAGTGATGCTAGTTTTCATGAGATAATAATAAACTAGAAGGCGTATTTGTATCAAAAACAGAGAGAAAACTTACCAGATTCATTCAAATAGTCCATCAGCAACCAGATGAAAATACCGGTAAGAGCTGAAGTATCAGGGGAATTGACTGCAAGAGGGCAGTTGAAATCTATCTTAACATATGCCTTTGGTATGGAAAATGTAGTCTCAGGCTTATACCACAATCTTGAGAAGAGTGACTTCCTCAGCAAAAATGGTAAGCCCTTCTGTTCCAGAAATTGATCATGTGAGATGGTTGGATTTACTTCATAGATGAAACACTTTAAAAAGAGTGGTGGAGCCGAACCTTTTCTTTAGCATCTTTTAATGAAAAATCCGTAGGAATAAAGACATTAGGTGCTGGTAGATGCCAGCTTAGCATTAGGGACAGACTGCATCCACTCCTGAATATATATACATTTGTTTAGCATAAATCAGATTTGAACTCTCTCCAGAGTTGGAAATATTAAAAGCTAACCTGAATGGTGAATTTGGTTATCTTCTCAAGAGAATAAGCAGTGTTATACCATGGCTCAACCTCGTCCGTTTGCCCTTCAAATTTCTTTGACTCCCAGAAGATTCTGCAAAATAGTGACACTAAAATTCTTTGACAAAAAGAGCTTACATTTAGATTCCAAGAGATGCATTCCAAGAAGAAAGGTTTACCGAACATTAGTAGGACAGAGCTCATCTATAACCTTTTGTAAAATATCTGGATTAAACTTTGAAGGCAATGATGAACCAACCAGCCAATCCTTGGTTGGATATATCTGAAAACATAATTGCAAAAGGAGAAAGAATATTAAGAAAAAAAAAAGTGAAAAGTATTAGCCAAGAAATCAGTATAAACTGCAAAAACTTCATTCACGAGATCTAATTTCCATATGTAAGCATTACTGATTGGTTTAAGAAATTTACCTGCATATTTGATGCAATATCGACGGCATAAGAAATTGGTTTTGTCTTGTCCTGATAATGAAACTTTGTCTCACAGATAGATGAGAGCTTCAATAACAAACAAAAATATGCACCAAACTCTTTTAAAGGCATTGAATCCATAAGGAACACTAGCAGACAACAAGTTAATAATATAACATACCTCATCAAAGATCCACTGGGAAACACCAGACTGCTGTAAAAGCTGAATGTATGTGAACAGCAACCCTACAACTGCTTGCATACACTCTGTAAACCCATCAAGAAACTGATAAGTACAGAGATAGAAAAGAATATGGATGGGAGCCTTTTCAACAAAATAAAAATAAAACCCACCATGACCAGCTTCAGTAAGAATAATCGAAACCTTGAAAAACGAATACTCAATAGTCCAGTCTGCTTCTAAAGCAAACAGTTTCGTTGCCCAACCTGCAAGTATTAGGAAATAATTAAGCAAGAGCACTAAATGTAGAGCTGCTACTGAACAAGTCAATGATATAGCAGAACAAGCTATCCAAGAGACTGTGTGTATTCAGGGGCTAAAGATGAACACTTTTCTATAACTCAGAAAGAACAAGTAGCAAGTAGCTGATCCTCCATGAAAAGGATAATGTAATCCATTTAGTAAAACAGATAATGGAGAATTTCATACTAAAACTAGTTTATCAGCCAATACATTTTTTAGGTAGTTTGTGCCCCCAAAAGAAAACCTACCCAAGGTTTTTAAGGCATAAAAAAAACTTCCCTCGCCTTCATGTCCAATTAGATGACCAAGGTACCTGCAAGGTGCTTCTTCATTATGGTGGATGTTAGGAGTTACAGGCCACACAATCCTCAGCTTATGACTCTGCTTTATAGGAACAGCCTTCACAAGAATCTAGAAAAAACAGACCACCACCTTAGAAACATGTAGGCTACATATATCTTCTTGTCAAAATAAAAAACAAATACCTGTAAATGGTCTGGAGTACATGGCTGACCAGGAAATCTAGGAACAGCCTTATTGGTGTTTCGAATTTCCTGGAACATCTCTTCCACTAGACCTTGAGTTTTATCAAGTTTTTCTGAAGAAATCCAGAGCAAAGAGAAAGACAGATGTTAAAGAAAAGAAATTTAAGTTTTGGGTCAGCTTCAAAACTTACCCTTGCCATATACAACAAGATGCATGATGTTGGCAGAATAGTGTTCATCATAGAATTTAAGAAGTTCACTCCTTGTATCGATTCCTCTTGCTTCCGGTCGTACATGAAGAGTTTCCATGTTCCCTGAGCCAAAAATTGGAAGGAAACACTCAACGCATCATGAATACTAGTCAACAGCAATACAAATCGGAAGTAAGGTTTATGATATGGACCTGTGCTAAATTTGTGATTCGGATAGTCTTCTCTAGTTAGATGCTTCCGTAACTGTGTGATGATTAAAGGAAAGGAAGAGAAAACCATAAGTCAGAGGTTTGAGTATTAATAAACAGACTTGTTCATAGGAAACCACATTTTCACTGCTAATACAGTTTAAAGTCCATATAGTTGTTCATGAGAGCATGGGAAGATACCTGGCGCATACGGATATCATCAAACAACAAATTTTTCTGATTCTCTGGATGAGAAACAAGTCAGCAGGATGTTTTGTTAAATTATTCAACCAACCAAACACATTGGGAAAGTGAGAAAGCTAACCAGAGTCGACAGCTTTAATCTCCCTCATTGTGGCATCAGCTGACATGAGCGGTTTGATAAAGAAGTGTGAAAATCTGGTTAATATCAAAAGAGAAAGTTTTGAGATAAGAGAAGGTTAATTATTTAATTAGCATTACGAAAAAAAAGAAGAATTTACACTAAAACCTGTCCAAAGCCTCAGAGAAACAGTCTGTGTTGACATCAAAATGGTAGTTTGTCCTTACAGTGGTTGTGTAAGCGTTTGCGCTCCCTCCATGCTTTACCAAGAGGAATTCAAAATTATAATTCCAACAACATTCCTTAGTCAATGTTTTACTCATCATAAAATTGCATTGAATTAGGACAAAGAGATTAATTACCTCCATGACATACTTCAAGAAACTATGTTCCTCAGGGAATTTTTCACTTGCATAAAACAGCATATGCTCTGACAAACAAAACCAATCAAACACAATTTTTGCATTCGATAACATGTGGAAGTTGAGAAAAACAGGAAAGTACCAAGGAAATGAGCAAGCCCATCCATTCCTTCCGGGTCCGAGAAGTATCCGACACCAACGTTCATCGAAGCGGCACACTGAGAGATAGAGAGAGAGCAGAGACGGAAGAATCTTCAGATGTTTGCATCAGTCAAAAAGTCAAACTTTTTTTTATACAGAAAATCTGACCTTGTCGGTCTCGGGGTCGCTGATTAACAAGACCACGAGCGAATTCTTGAGGACAATCCTCCGATACTCTCGCTTGTCCGTACGCGCCTTGACTATCTCTCCACCCGCCGCAGCTTCCTCTGTTCCGACCGCCATTGCCGCCGTTCGATTACTTCGGCGTCTTTCGGAAAAGGTCGCTTCTTCAGTCAAAATCTTTGTTTTTGACTTTCAAATCTAATACTAATAAATCAGCAGTCACCTCATGGTTTATCTAATCGATATGTGTCCTTTCAAATCTTTTTATTTTATTTGTTTTTAATTTTTGTTTTTTATTTTTTCAAATATGGTTATTTTTTTCTGTGATTTCTTCTTTTCCGAAACCCACGTTTGCTTCTTCTTCCTAAACCCACGATCTCTCATTGAAACGTTTCCTCATATTTATAACTTCCTCTTCTTCAAAACTTACATTTACGGTTTCTAGCAATCAAATTCAGATCTTCAAATCTACTTTCCAATGACATCGCGATCGATTGAGCAAGAGAATGCTATTGCCGTGGAGAAAATCAACATATCGGTGACGGCGTCTGCCAGCGAAAAGAAGAGAGGAGGAAAACGGAAGAAAGTCAAGGAAGTGAAAGAGAAGAAGCATGTTGCTGCGACAGCTCCGAAGAAGAAAACCGTCTCCACTCATGAGGTATGAGAGTTCCAGATCTAGCTTTTTTCTTGGTTGTTTCTGTCTTATATCGTGCCGAATTCTGATTCTGATGAGATTAGAGATTGAATGGTTTTGTTGTTGTTTTATATGTTGTGATTCAGATGATTACAGTGAAATTATAAGGTCTTTTCGTCTTGATCTAATACTAATAAATCAGCAGTCACCTCATGGCTTATTTAATCGACACGTGTCTTTTCAAATCTTTTTATTTTATTTGTTTTTTAATTTTTGTTTTTTGTTTTTTCAAATATGGTTATTTTTTTCTGTGATTTCTTCTTTTTCGAAACCCACATTTGCTTCTTCTTCCTAAACCCACGATCTCTGATTGAAACGTTCCTCATATTTATAACTTCCTCTTCTTCAAAACTTAATACGGTTTCTAGCAATCAAATTCAGATCTTCAAATCTACTTTCCAATGACATCGCGATCGATTGAGCAAGAAAATGCTATTGCCGTGGAGGAAATCAACATGTCGGTGACAGTGTCTGCCAGCAAAAAGAAGAGGGGAGGAAAACGGAAGAAAGTCAAAGAAGTGAAGGAGAAGTAGCATGTTGCTGCGACAGTTCCGAAGAAGAAAACCGTCTCTACTCATGAGGTATGAGAGTTCCAGATCTAGCTTTTTTCTTGGTTGTTTCTGTCTTATATCGTGCCGAATTCTGATTCTGATGAGATTAGAGATTGAATGGTTTTGTTGTTGTTTTATATGTTGTAATTCAGATGATTACAATGAAATTATAAGGTCTTTTCGTCTTCATCTCCCTTATTATTTCGCCTTCCTCTAGAAATCAGCAAAGAGAGCAACAACCTCTGCAATCGCAACAAACACTCTGGTAATATATAGTCACAGATGTTACTTCTTTATATGTATGTAATTTTTATTTGCTGATTGATCTTAATTTGTGATATAGATTGTTGTTTATGAACCTACGTTTTATTTTTTGTGGTAAAATGTGAAGATCTTATGAACATAAGTAACTGCTCTTTATGTCTATCGAAATGTAATTGGTTCAGTTATTAGCTCCATGAACTGTATGTCTACATTAGGTTGAAACTAAATTTGTTCAATTGTGAAGGTCATTTGAATCACTTGCCTAAAGTTTGAGTCTTTTGGCTGTAAATCTGAAAATACAACATAAGAAATACGATACTAGAAATCCTTTCAATTTCACAAATAAATTATCTCTTAGCATCTGGGATGATTGTATTAGCATTAGGACATTGTGAATTGTGATTAAAATTTGGATGTTTTATCCGTCTTTTCAGGTTTGGAAAACAAAAAGATAGTGACCATTGAGCCAGCTGATAAGGAGCAAGGTGTTGTACTTGGAATCACCAAGACCAAGAAGCAAAACAGACGTAAACTCTCTGTTAACAAATTTTTCCTCAAGAAGGAGTTCCCAAAGATGATCAAAGCTATTGTCAACTAGGTATTATTCAGTTTATTAAAATTAATGTTTGTTTGTACTATTAGTTTCATATTTGGAAGATCTTATGGTAAAAAAATTTAATTAGTTGAAAATTTTGACTGTCGATTCTTATGTTGGCTGTTTAGGATGTGTTAAGAGAGCTAACAGGTACGAAGAGAACTCTTCTGTGGGGTATATTTACTATGAAATATATTTGTCATGCTTGGCTTTTGAGATAATAATAGGATGGGAGAATAATCATATTTAGGTTGAAAATTCTTTTTTAATTGCAATTGCCGTCATCAGTGATGAGAAAGCTAAAACGCAAGAAGAAGATTCCTCTATGCGATGTTTCTTCAATGAGATACGTAAGGAATGAGAAGTGCCTAGAAAACGGTGGAGATACAGAGCAGTACATTGCACTTGAACGTGGAGAGTGTACGATTAAGTTGTCATAATTATACTTTTGGTCTACATTTTTTCTAATTATCATTTCATCTATATATTTTGTTATCTGTTCATATACTGTAAAATATATTTATTTTGTTAATATATATGCATCCTTATTTTTTATTAATAAAATATTAAATCAAAAGAAAGTTTACTACTATCAACCGTTTGTTCACCTCTATTCTCACTCTATATTTGTCTTCAAAAAAGTTTATGCTTAACATAATGATATATTATGACAGAAAAATAATATTAGTCTGTGAAAGAAAAATTGGAAGAGAAATTGAACCGTGCATACGCACGGGGTAATACTAGTTTCATATAAGACACAGAGAAACTATGATACAGTATATAATAATGGGTGTGATTATAAAACTAAACTAAACTCTGCCCCTTTTACATTAGATCCGTTGTCGTGCTTCTTGCTTCAGAATTAGGCTTTGACCTAAGTACATATGCGACCTCAAGATATCATTGTAATTTCTTGTTTTCAACATTTGAATAGATCTGCCTAAATGTATTATGAGATTACTAATTTACCGCTACATTGTAATATTTTTCTTAATTCCTTATTGTTTGGTAAAAAAAATATTAACTTGATAGCAACCTTGCAAGTTGCAACGCTGTTCAAACAAAAACAAATAATGGAACCACTAACATGTTATATTTTTATGGATGGGATTTGAAGAATTATGCACAAATGATTCCACGATTCATCATCCACAATCAAATATCAGAAAACATAGTTTTCTAGCAAATCAGATGAATTATAAAGCCATACAGATTCACATATACAATAATATCGTTTTGGTATATCATTGAGAAAAAAATATTTGGGTTGTCCTCACAGTTTCAGCTGGCTACATCCTTTCAGCGATCCGTATAGAGGTTGAGACTTTCTGAAACCAACAATGTCTTCGATTTCTATGAATTCGTCAAAGAAATCAATCAATTCTTCCTTCTTTAGCTCTCTCAGTGCAGCCACCTAACCACAAAACAAACCATAAGGAGCCACGTTATTGGCTCACGTTGAGGAAGACAAACATATTGCATTATGGAAGTCAGAATTTTCTATAGGATTTGAAATCGATATTCTTTGCTGCGTTGTCTATTACCTCTGCATCCATGCGGTTGAATTTGAGTGTCCCGTATTGAATCTCTCCCCAGTAAAAAACAAGATTCCTCTGACAAGTTATTGTGTTTCTCAAGCTTCATGTCTATCAAAGCTGTACATTGCTCTGATGAGAAAGCGTGTAAGTTAAGTTATGTATTCATGTTTATTGGCGAGAATGTTAATCTCAAGCAAATGAAATATGGTTTATAAATATCTTGTTGGGCCATCTCACCTTGAATTCTTCGTCGCTTATCTTGTAAAGTACTCTCAAGATCCTTGAGTAGTGACTCGACCCTCGACTTATCATACAAGAGAGATAATGTTGATACCTGCTATGTAGCACTCAACAAATGCCCTTGATAACAGCATTGGAACGAACTTAGCCAAGTCTTGAGCGTCCAAATGAGTAAGAGCATCTAGTTCCTCTGTCCAAGGTCAAGTCTGATCTTGTAATACCATTGAGCAGTAACTCATGGCTTGATGATATGATTGTCGGAATTTATAGTTTTGGTATGCCTTTGTTACCGTTTCCTTGATAACAGAGAACCTGTCAGGTTTAACTTCAAATCTTGCTATCTTTTGAATGACAGCTTCCAGGAAGATCCTCAATTTGTGATTAAAGCCAACAAGATAGTGCTGTAAAATGAGAAAAACTTTAGCCAAACATCGACCAAATTAAAGGACAAGCAAATGTCTGAATCCTTTTCTACAAACCCACCTCAAAACCATTTTTCCGAAAGGCTTAATCCATAGTGAAGAGTGAAGACCAGCAGCCTGAGCATATTAAGCTGAAACATAGAATTCAAGATTGATGAGAGCCACAATGTAAAGAAACATAAGAAATGTCTATCAAATCTTACCATATTCATTCAAATAGTCCATAAGCAGCCAAACGAAAATATTTGAAAGAGAGCTGACTGCAAGAGGGCAGTTGAAATCCTTTGGTCTGAAGAACTTCGTATCCGGCGTATACCACAATCTTGAGAATGGTGTCTTTCTCAACAAAACAGGAAACATGTTCTGTTCCAAAAACTTGATTTCAGTGACCATGAGATAAAGTTCAAAAAGACATGTATAAGTTGTAACTAGAGTGATGAAAACTGAACCTTGTCTATAACATCTTTTAATGACAAAATCCGTTGGAATGAAGACATTAGGTGTTGGTAGAAGCAGGTTTACATGAGGGGCAGACTTCATCCACTCCTGTAATTGTTAAAGCACAAACCAAAGATTCAACTTAATGGGAAAAATTGAATCATCTATTATAGGATTACAGCAAGTTAATATATGAGAAGCCAACGTGAATGGTGAATTCGGTTATCTTCTCAAGAGAATAAGCAGTGTTACACCATGGCTCAGCCTTGTCCGTTTTTCCTTCAAATTTGTTTGATTCCCAGAAGATTATGCAAAATAATGACACAAAAGAGCTACATTTAGATTCTACTAACATGTCGCTCTCGAGCCTGGCGAATGTTTGTAAGTAAACGGTAGGAGAATAATGCAGATTTTGCTTGTTCAAAGACATGCAAGATTTACCGAGTATTAGTAGGACAAACCTCATCTTTAACCTTTTGTACAATAGCTGGGTCATATTTTGAAGACCTGCCAAATATCTGAAACATAATTGCAAAAGGAGAAAGAAAATTAAGAAAAAAGTGACAAGTATTAGCCAGGAATTTAGGATAAATTTCAGAAACGAGATTAGTTTCCATATGTAAGCATTACTAATCGAGTAATCCTTACATGAGAGATCGTTTTAATAATTAGAACTGAATCACAAGTCGATTGACAGAAGAAAAGTTAACATTGATACTACTTGAAAACAAACACAAATACATAGTCGAATACATGATAAAGACAAGTACATAAAAACAAACACAACACAAGAGAACACAAATGTCTGAGACAATTACATAAAAACAAACACAAGAACACAAATGTTTGAGACAAATACAAATACAAATACATTAATAATAACCTGTGTTATCAAACAGGTCTTCACATTCCTCTGTGTCGTCAAACTCATCTCCCCCTTCCTCTGTGATGAAGGCTTGTTCTAGACCATCGTAGAGTTTTTGCCAATCCCATCCAGCAGCTGAACTTTCCTTCAGATTGGAACTTAATTCACCCAAATAGGCAATTAAAACCACAAATCCTCTATCTTTTAGTTTTGACATTGGTCTTGAAAAGTCTTGGTCTTTTGTTACGAATAAAACGTTTCCAGGGGGGCGAATATCTAGACTGTGGATCAACATCTCTTCTATTATTTTAAAATCTCCAATGTCTGTTTCTCTCACTGTGATAGGGAGAAACAGAAATATAAGCACAGTGGAAAAAAATATTGAAATAAAAACAAAAGCAATAACAAAAATAATTAATCTTTTACCAATTTTAATGTCATCCGTGTAAATGATCTCAATACCGGATTCTGTGAGTGCTGAAACGACTTTCTTCGTGAATGTCTTTTTACTTCCATAACCGAAAAAACGGGTAATAGAATACCCGTTCCTCAACTTTCGAACACCAGCTAATACCTTATTATAGAAAAAGAATTATATGTTAATATATATATATATAAAAATAATAATTAAAAAACATGATTTGTGTCGTGTAACCATTTTTTTCAATTCTGCAGCTTTCGTCGAATGAGACCAAGCTCACGTTCTTTTTTTTTTTTTTTTTTTTTTATAACCGTGGGGATCCTAAAAGCTTTCTAGGCTCACGTTCTTTCTTCGATGGTTTTTGTTTTAGTTTATCAAAAGCTTTGCGCCTATTATCAAAATTCTTGCTGGGAGATAGAGAGATAGGAAGCTCAGCTGAAACAAAATGCTCAAAACTAAGATTCAGTTACAAGAAGTCACAATCTAAAAGCTCCCCTAACTGAGCCCTTTTGTTCAAACATTGCTGTCTTATAAGAAGAAGACAAGTAAAGAGAGAACTAACCAAAGTTGTGACCAACAATGCAATGCCAAGTCGCAGTGTGTTTCTTGTCAAACTCCTTCTTTATATTCTCAGCTATATCCTGCAAAAGTAAGCCCCACATTCTGAATTGTAAATCTTTACTTAGCAGCTATACATAATAACTCCAGAGATACTTCAAGAGACACTTAAGTCAAACAAATTGATTGGGATTTTCACTAATACAGCTCAATCAGAAGAAAAATGTTAACACAGTTACAGGAGATCGAATCCATTTCCGTACACAATAAATTTCATATTATCAAGGTCAGATTCCGAAAGCTGATGACAGTAAGATAAAATTAAACTCCAGAGATAACATCAGTGAGCTATTTCTGAAAATCCCCAGGCACTATCAGTATCACCCATACCCTAGACTCAAAGGATCAAGATAAGAAATCCCTAAATCCGAAGAATGTACACAACAAATTCGGAGAAATAAAGATGAGCAGTTAGAAAAAATAGATTTCTCAGTAAGATGTTGCAAAAAGAAAGCATACAAAGAAAGAAATTGCAGATACATTTGCTGGAATCTGACCTGATGTTTGAGGCCAGGACATACGTTATGAACTTGAAATACTAACTAAAAGGCTACCAAGAAACTATCGATGCTACAATTTCAAGATTTCTCAATTATTAAACACCCAATTCTGCTCCAATTACACTGAGATTTTGCGAAACAGAAGACAGGAAACCTAAATTAAACGCCATAGACAACCAATTTTTGAAGAAAACTTACAATGCAAAAGTTTTCGCCGAATCGTTCAATCTAATGTTTGATTTCCCTGCAGCTTCTTCGTCGATTCGTGTAACATCAATCAAGGAGAAGAAGAATCGTCTCAGAGCGAGGAAGAAGAAGGAAAGAGAAACGAAATTGACACATAAGTACTAAAATATGTTATTCCCTTCTTTTTTTCTTTTATTACAATTCTTATTATCAGGGGATATTTTGTTTGATATAATATAAAAGAGTTAGAAATTGGTAGCCAGTGTTTACTTCATAAGCTTAGCCAATTAATCCATGACATGCTCATTTTAATGGTTGTATAAAGAAAAATGGGATGCGGAAATTGAAAAAGAAAAAATAAATTGAAAGAATAAAAGGAGAACACGCTAAGGTATATGGTTCGCGTGTCTATTTGAGGCTTTCAAAAAATAATTAATTTTGAAAAAATAAATTATCTCACTCATTCTTTTTGTTCCTTTTAAATTTCAACAACCAAGATTTTTCTGTGGAAAGGCAGCATTACATCTGAAATGTAAAAACTGATGTTTCCTTTTTTTGTGCAGTGACCACAACAGAAAATGGGCTTAGGCTTGGAAAATCCACAACAAACGGATTCATTAATTACCACCAATGTAAGCGTGATATTCAAGTTATTTAATCCTCAGAGAACATTTCATTATATTTTAGAGAAAATCTTTATCTGATGTTTTCGTGATATTAATTTTGGTTGTTTCTTTACCAGGTTATGAAGGTGAATCTTATCATCACTGATTACTGTATGCCAAGGATGACAGGTTTTGAGCTGCTCAATAAACTAAAGGTGTAAAGTCTATTTGAGAAGATACGGAGAATAACAAAATCTCTTCTTCTTCTTTGGATACGTTGGGAAACATAAGCATACAAAAATCATGAGGAAACATGAGCTAAAATTTTAGCTTCTTAAGATGCTACTAGAGTTTGCTGGAGTTGGAATGTCATGACCTAATCGTAGATCAACGTTTGAACGTAAACATGAAAAAAATGTCTTATAGCGGTTTAAATAATAGATCCGTTAGTTATTCATCAACTATATATATAGTATAGTATTGATTACGATGTGGAGTCCTAGCTAAGCTGCTTTTCGATACATCGAAACTTCTCAAACTTCTGGAGTTGGAATGTCATGACATAATCATGTATGTATGGTTTATGTTTTGTTATATGGTTATGCTACAAACCGATTTTCTGTTGGGGGAATCCATGTGTATATTTAGAACGTAATAGCTATAAAGGTACTGAATGCATGTTATATTTATCGTTTAATTAGTCACTCCATAACTAGCTAGAGCATTCAAGTTTGGGGATTTTATCCAACTCTGAGTTGCCTTGTTTGGTATTGACATGTATGAATTGTAATCAGATTGGGATGAAATTTGTATTTTTTTTTTTTGGTCATACCTATAATATTATTTGAAATTGAAACATATAATACTTAAGTCAAATAGTAGCTCAATAAAGAAGACTTCTTACGAAGTGTGAAATTCAGTAAGAAAAAATGTCTTAATCCTGGTTTTACAAATAATCCATAGTGAAGACCAGCATGATAAGCTGAAGACTTAGAATTCAAGATTGATGAGAGCCAAAACATAAAGAAACATAAGAAATGTCTTATCAAACCTTACCATATTCATTCAAATAGTCCACAAGCAGCCAAACGAAAATATTTGAAAGAAACATAAGAAATTTATTATCAAATTTTACCTAGTTGAGTCTTTCTTCACTGTTATTAAGTCCAACGTCTTTCTTCACTGTTATTAAGTCCAACGTCTTTCTTCCATATCCAGATTTTAGTGTTACATTAGTTTACGTCTGAGTCTTGACTATTATCGACGGTGTATAATTACCCACGTCACACAGATCCAACGGCGATTAGTAAGTTCAAGGCTTCAAGCCGTCTTCACTCGTATGTTAAGAAGTCTGCGGTGTGTCTATTCCCAACCATTACAGATCTAACGGTGATTATGCTGCGTTGACCAACGACCAAACGAACAAGAATATGAGTTTTTTTTGCTTTTTTTTAAATGGCTGTTTACAACGTATAAAGAAAACACAATGATACAAAAAAAAAAACAATTATTCACTTTCTCCATGCTTCTAAGTTCTAAGCTTTAGAAGTACCACGATGATCCTTATCTATATGCTTCAACAGATCAACAGGATCACGAAACCCTCTGCTGCATTTTGGACAAACATCAACCGTAACTTTGCCACTATTCTGTTTTCCATTACTCTCCTTCATTTTCTCTGGATTATCATCACCGCCGCTCGAAAGCTGCAACTTCTGGCTAATATCGTTCCCAAGTCTGCTAAAACTTGCTTCCGCAGAAGCTAAAAGAGTAGACCATCTTGAAGATGATGATGATGATGATGTTGCCGGAGATTCTTTTGTGTTTGTATTAAAAAACCCCATGAATGAGAAACTCGACTCAGGTATCTTAGGTCCAGAACAAGTATGGTCAGGTCCAAACCGATGTTTCAAGCAATGATCGATGCTGCAATCTCGACATTTGATGGTGTTAGAGAAGGTTAGCAACTCTCTGCATCTTGGGACAGGACATTTCTTCTTCTTGACAGCTTTTTCGTAGTTTGATGGATCACAATCCTTGTTCACATGTTTCTCCCACGTTATGTTCGGATCTTCGTCAGGGTTTAGCCTAACTCCTTTAGCACATAACGGACATATGACCACTGTGACATCTCCTCTGTTTCCTTTTGGACAATCGTGTTTCATGTAGCTCCGATGATCCAAACAAAACACCTGCAGAAATGTCAATCATAGACAAAGGTTGTAATCAAATCCAGTCAGATTTTTATAAGCTTAGCATCAAATTCTTCAAAATGCCAAATTCAAATCCAATCAAATGATGTCGCAGATTGTAGAAACTAAACGGATCTAATGAGATTGGCGAATGAAAAGCGAAGGGAGAAAGAGAAAGGTAACCTGAAGGCAGCGATCGCAGGTGAATGGCAAGAAATCGATCTGCTTGCAATAATCTACGGAGCAGTGTTTCCCCAGATCTGGAAATTCCGGTGTCCCCATTGAGAGCAATTCCGACAAAAAAATCCACAAGATGTTCTCCAATAGACGAATTGAATCCGGAACAAGATGGTTTAATCAAACCAGTCCTCAGGTTTCCGGGAAAATTAAGATCCCCAGATTCCGAGAATTTAGATGAACAGAAAAAACTCGCAGAACCGGGAAGAAATTTGTAAAATAATGTCAACGTGATTCCATCTACTATTATTCAAAGTCAAACCTTCTTTGACTTTTCTCCACACCCATAATTTCGTTTTCTAAACTGGGCTTAACATCTCAAAATTGGGCTCTCGACTTCTTAAACGTTGTGGTGTGAATTTTTATATCATTCATTTTCATTGTTTAAGCAGTATTAGTGTAGCCGCCGGAATCATCTTATAACTCGATTCAACGTATTTACAAAAAAAAATCAACTCGATTTTGTATTTACGGTGACCGTCTGATTTTGCTTTAGGTGAAATCATACTCTTTAATCATCTTATAACTCATTCAACCTATTTGTAACTCCAGAAATGAAGAAAATTCGTATGATTAAATTTAAGAAGCCCAACTATACAACACTATTTTCAAAGACAGAGAAGACTATGTGAGTGGGTAGGAGGCCAAGAGTTCAGTGTACTCTTGAAATGGTGATTTTATCATTGTTGTCTCTCTCCATAATTCTGGTGTAAGGAACCCATAAGTCTTCTGAAGACAGTCAAAAGTTGCCTGTTCAAAACAACAATTCGTTACATCTATTAATTAGGATAATAATCTAAGCTTTGCATTCATATAAATAAGTTTATTATTTCAGATTATTGGTATTAAAAAATTTGAGAGAAAATACATGCATGCATACCTTGACGAAGTTTCCAATGGTTTTGGTGGATCCTCTTGAAGAAGTGAAGACATCCTCAATCCCGGCGAATTGAAGAACCTTCTTAGGAACCCTAGCAGCCACAATACCCGAACCTCTTGGTGCAGGAACCATCCGCACGGTAACGGATCCACATTTTCCGGTCACTTTGCACGCAACTGTGTGTGGCTTCCCAATCTTGTTACCCCAGTAACCCCTTCTAACCGGAATCACAGACAGTTTCGCGAGAATTTTCGCGCCTCTGATCGCAGGAGAGCAAGTTCCTTTGAGCATTTCACTCCCAAACCGACGTGACCGTTACTATCTCCGACGATTACAAAGACCTTATACCTCGTCCTCTGGCCGGCTCTGGTTTGTTTCTGAACCGTCATAATCTTCATCACTTCATATTTCAACGTAGGACCGAAGAGTATATCCACGATCTGGTACTCCTTTACTGGGAGAGAATGGAGGAAGATATATTCAATCCAATAGATTTTACCACACTGTACGAGACGACCAAGCTTGGTCACTGGTATCCACCTCTCTTCCTCCGTGGGACGACCTCCACGGCCTCTCGGACCACCTCTTCCACCACCGCGACCCCCGAATCCACGCCGGAAACCGCCACGTTCTCTACCACGCTCAACTCCACGTACCGCCATTTTACGATGCACTCAATTTTGCTTAGAAGAGCTGTATTTTTGGATGTGTTCTTCAGAGAAGATAATGGCTGCCAAAAATGTTCTACGTATATAGCTTCTTCCAGACGTTAGGGTTTAATGAGCTTGCTAGGATTATAAGCCCAATAATAAAGTCAGGCCCAATGGGCTATTCCCTTTATTTGTTCATTTTTTTCCGTTCACCAGATTTTTTTCCTTCCGTCAACTGTTGTTGAGCAGTTTCTTGATAAATCAGATATTTTTGTAGTGATATGAGTAACATTATTGAGCTGACACATTGGTATACAAAAAAAAAAAAAAAAAGGTAAGAAGAGGCAGAGATAAAACAAGATGAACAAACCCCACCATTGATATCACCTGCCAAAACTTAACAGACACAACAAGACAAATGCCAAATAAAATCTAACTCAGTTACTAGCGAGTTCATAGATAAAATGAAATCTATAGATATATGTTCGTGATTGTCACATTTACAAAAGAAAAATAAGAATAATGCTTAATTGAGTCAACGTGGGCTCAAGTAGAGAGACAAGAAGCAGACGAGAAGGGGCAGAGAGAGTAATTAAAGTGTGATGGGGACAACAAAACAAACACCTCTTGGTTTTAACCAAATGCATGTGGTTTTGGTTCTTACCACTCACTGAGGACAAATTGGAAATTGTAAAATTTAAAATTTGCCATATCATTTTCACATTCTTCGAATGAACTAATACAAATTACTTATATAATATAACTGATGTATATTTCAAATTCGAAGTGAGTCAGATTAGTTGCTTGTATTTTAAATTCGAAGTGAGTTTCAGTGACGTAAATATCTTTCAAACCCAATTCCATTAACCAATTGAGTACATAGAAATCATAACAGGTAGAAGAGAAAAGTATATAACCAAAATCAAAATTATACCGTTAAGTCTTTAACAAAACATTCAATGCTTTTTAAAAGGGTAAATCGTATTATTTGTTTTTAGGGACCTTTTTGGGCAAAATAAGGGACCCTTGTTTTATTATAAAGCCAATATAATTATTGTTTAACCACACTCTCTACTTCAAGTCTTGAACATTGGCTCCCACAAGCTCACCTGAAACACACTCTCTCTCTAGCAATCTCACTTTCACTTTCACACGCTCTCTCTCTCTCTATCCCTCATGTTCGGAGTCACGATAAGACTCGATGACCAACTCGGAACCACAACCACACCAACTACCATATACGTGGACCCAACTTCCCAAGACCAGCCGAGTCACAACTCGGACCACCGTTCAATAGAAACACTCGTCGTCGTTTTAGCCGTCATTACCATTTTATCAGTCTTAGCCGGCGTCTTCGCTCGGCTCTGCGGCGGCCGCCATTTATCTGACGGCGGAGACCATGACATTGAAGGCTGGGTAGAGAGGAAGTGCCGTAGCTGCATCGATGCAGGGGTTCCCACCGTCGCCGCCGTTCCTCCACCGCCACATCCGGAGACGGCAGCAGCAGCGGATGAACAGAGTAAGCCAGCAGGCGCCGAAGAGCAAACCAATAAGTGAAGTAAAAAAGGGTATATCAACATTCTTCGATTTACCTTTTAACATTATAAATGTAATATCATAATTTTTGATGAAGACGTCTTCCTTTTTTTTTATGTACCTTATTCTACGGACACTAATTTCGGAATTTCCTCTGATGTTTTATGATTCTTATTTGAAAAAAAGTAGTAAAGTTCTTTGTCTAGCTTTTTAACTATAAATCCGTTGAGGTTTGAGACCAACGGCATTTACAAATTACAACAAAAAGAGACATCTATATTTACTTTATCCTCATATTGATTCTGTAACGAGAAAATAAGAGGGGAATATTAATTTACATAAAAATTACATCAAGATCATTTCAATGGACTTTTAGTCACTAACATAAAACATAATAGCAAACAAATAATTTTATTCGTTTATTATTGGAAATATTAAACAAGACAACAAACTTTCGACTTTTGTATATGTATGTATATACTCCCGTATATCTTTACTGCATACATATCAAGAACCAATATGTAGAGTACAATATACATGTATCTATTTATTTATACGTTTCTATGTATATTACATAACTATATAAGTAATTAATTGGAAGAGCATTGAGGAGAAACGGTGCCTTGATCCTTAACATTGGCATTTTTGCAAGAAGCTGTTCCTCCTTTGATGTTCACGTTCTCAAGCACGATCCCTTGACATGGATATTTCTCACTGCAATTAAATAGTATCGCCACATCCGTTGCGCTCGTACCGCTTATGTTTCGATACACCACATTGCTCACTTGCACTGCCGATTCCTACTCGACATATTTCACATTTCAATATGATCAGAGTTACTTCTTAAAAAAAACATAAAACAAATCGGCTATATGATATTTGTTACTTGTTGTTCGCATTTGTCCTTGTCACAGTAGTCCTGGTCGATGATGATCGGATTCTTAACATTTTCCATACGAATGTTTTGAAATTTAATGTTCTTGGCAGTTCCTGACCCTCCCTGAAATCAGTAAGGGGGTGGTTATTGACAATTTCAAAACAAACGGTGCAAATTCGAAAGATTTGCAAAAGAGGGGCTGTTCGTGAGAAAAACTAGTAAAACCAATCACCTGGTAAGTCTTAATTCTAACTCCATTGTCAGTCTGAGAGAGCTTAGCACCATCTACATTGATTCCCGAGACATAAGCTTTTGAATTGTCATCTCCTAAGCTCCCAATGCTTCTCATTTAGAACATTTAACAAAGATCCATTTGTTATATATTTGTAAGAGCAATCTAGTTAACACCAACATTCATAAATATAATTTCATTACCCCTAGGTTAAGATTCGAAGTTTTAATTGTTACCTGATCCCGTGACCAGGGCCGCAAGTTAAATCATTGATTTGAACATTTTGCGATCCATCCTCAATGGATATACAATCATCACCTATATAAAAGTAACCAAGAATATTGTAACTATTATATGTTACGTATATCATGAATCAATAAAACCGAAATATAAATAAATATGGATCATATTACCTGTTCCAATGTCTGAATTGGAGATTCGAATGTTTTGGGTATTAGTGATATGAATACCATCGGTGTTTGGACTATCACCAGGAGCAGTGATCGCAGCATTCTTGACGTTAACATTGTCGCATTTCTCAATCGAAACCTGAATCTGCTGTGCATTTCTCACTCTCAGATTGTTCACATTCAAGTTCTTCAAGTTGTAGAAAGTAAGAGCCTGCATTTGCATAAAACACACATGCTATTTTTATAATAAAACGTTCACTTTGCTTAAATGTGAAGAGATCAACTATATACATAAACGTGGAGCTTTAGTATTCATACGTACCGTTGGCGCTTTTGTGCATGGCTGCAATAACAAACAAAAAAGAGAGATAGAGGTGACCAATTAATTATATTAACATGCATGATTACAATTATTTAGTACTAATATTTAAAATTTAAGCATATATTTATTGGTGACATATAATTGGTATTTGGTGACTATAGATAGATATACATATACCTTAGATCGGTCGATTTTGCATGAGTTTTGCCACCAGATTTTTCCATTGCCATCAATAATTCCGGTCGAGCCACCATCGACTATTAGATTATTAACGTCCTCCAAGACAAGCCAATGGTTTTTGTCTTTGTAATCCGATCGTTTTGTAGATGCTGATAACGTGCCTAGAATCTGCAGTTAATCGGTAAAAAAAAAAATCAAACTAATTAAATTTATTAACTAAGCGAATTTAAATAACTGAAGACGTTATCAATTAAACAAATACCTGAAAGTTACGGAGTGATTTGCATGGGCCTCTGAATCGAGTAGATTTAAGGAGATAAGTCTTCCCTTTAGGAATCAAGAAATTAGTAACTCCTTTTGTTGAACATGCTTTCTTCCATGCTTTCTTGAAGGCCTAATTAAGCATATATTTTACGTACACCCATGCATGCATCCATCATTAATACAAAATAATATATATATATATATATATAAAATATTTATCTGCTGAGTTTTTAATCCATACAAATTTTCACACCTGAAAACATAACTCATTGTTTTTTGATAAAATAGTTTTCTACCAAAATTGCAAACACGTAAAATATACCTGAGTATCATCTGTTTTTCCATCTCCTTTGGCTCCAAAGTTCAAAACACTAACGGTTGATGACTCCGAAGTGGGTTTATCGGAGCTTATCAAGCTAAGAACATCATCATCGTTCTTGAGCTTTAGCAAGCTATCGGATTCGAAGCTTCCATCTTCATGACCATATCCATCGTCAACGTTGCTACTTAAAGCCTCGCACCACGAGAGTATCATAAGAACGCATACGAAAACAGCAAGAAGACCGCAACAACGGGCCATTTAAGATTTGGCCTTTTTTATCGAAACGCTTTTTTTCTGAAAAGAAAATTAAACGAAGGTGTGTTGTTTCTTGTGAGTAGTAAGATGAGACTTTTTGTTGTTCTTTTTTCTTTGGGATTGTGTAATATGAAATTGAAGAACTGTGAGTTATGTGTATTTATAGGCAAATAAAAGAAGGAAAAAAAGTTAGGTTTATTAAAGTTTTAATGGCGTTGGAGGGGTATGGAGAGAGATTTAGATTGATACGAAAACATCACTTTAAGCGCTTGTAGCCTTACCTCCTCTCCCCCTACTTTTCTTTCCTTTTTTTCATTTTATTTGTTTTCTTGATTGAGAGTTTATTTTACTATTAGGAAAAAAAATTATTTTCATCATTGTATACCATTCACAGTAACATTCATCATGTGTAATTACTGAGCTAAGCAGTACGTGATGTATATCCATTCATAAATATCAAAAGTTGAAAGCATATACAAGCAAAAGTGATAAGAAAACGTCGCCGTCTCTGTGTCTCTCAAAGTTCGGTAGTAGTTTTGGGTGTGAGGCTGATATATATAACCGTTGTAGTATCTTTTAGGAAAATTTGTAGAGAAAAAAAAAACATCACCATTCTTCTTTGTTGCGAGATATTTAATCACATAGTTGTTTACTTGTCATAGTACCTTTTTAATTAAGTTTCATACTTCCCAGCTTTGTATTTAAAAAAAAATATATATAAAAAAACAAAAAAAATCGGGCATACATTAATAATTTCTTTTACCCGGACTGTAATATAATACAAGAAAGGAGGGTAAAGACAATACAAAATTGGACTAAAATATAATGTACAAAAAAAAATGGAATTTGGGTTGATATGGTATGAGCCTATGAATCATTCAACATAGCTATGAGCCTAAGAGCCTATGAATCATTCAGCATACTTAAGTATGATTGGTTGTATTTGAAATTTCACCCGTAGATGCTCCATGCCTATAATCTTCTCTAACACGTGTTGACATACGAAGTAGTCAAAATTCCTTAGGATTATACATATGACGTTATCGTCGATCGACGCTTCATAATGTGTAAAAGTACCAGATTTAAGTTAGGGTTGTAAATACGTAAACGGCATTAGAATTCATAATGTAATGAGTGATATAGTATCTTATCTTATAATAATGATCTAATTTAAATTAGTCATGCCAACATTATCGAACAGTTTTTGTATTCAAATCAAAAGTTTTTGTTGAAAACTATTGTCCTCAAACTCACACGGCACACAAAATTAGTTTACTGAAATTAAATTTACAATTTTTTTTTTAAAAGTCGGGCGGCCGGGTTGAGGTGTATCAAAAAGTTAGAGGTTAAATATGAAGAACATTTCGAGATATAACTTTAAATTTTCTTGACAAAAAACTCGAATTTCTCAGCTATGCTTGTTTCGAGCTAAATTATTCATAGAAAACAACTCAAAATTTCTGATTTAGATTATATCGTAGAGATTTAAAATTAAAGCCATACAGAAGATTTCCTAATTTTACGCCTAAAACATTAAAATATCTAAAAATTTATCAAAACTCGAATCCTTATGAATGTTTGAATAGATATATCTCGTATGTTAGTTTGTTCATTGTGATGTGTGTATGTAATGCATATTGGACCGTCTGAATAATGTCGATAGTTATACTTATATGTGTATCTTGTCTTGTCAATCCATACATATTTTAGTTAGAAACAAGAATTATATAATTTAGGTTTTGATAACTAAAAACTACTAAAATATTAATTTTTGTTGGGTATGAATGTTAAGACTAAAATATTAGAGAAAAGTGGTTGTGTACAGCCTCTACAGCACAAACCAATCAGCCCCATTAACTTAGTCGGCTTCAAGTAACCTAAAAACTACTAAAATCCATGGGACATCAAAACAACGGTTAAGACATGATGCCCATACATATACTCGTAAAGAACTAAACCACAAAAGATCACGTAATTATCCGTTACATATAAAATAATTACTTCAAATGTTTTGTGACTCAATAGTTATTTTCCAACCAATATATGTAGATGTGTATACGTATGGTGTAAAAATAGGCGGAAGTTAAAAGGCATGTGCAAAGTTTGCTTGCAAGACCTAAAGGTATGGTGGAAATCATGTCTTTTGGAAATTTATCTAGTCGTTGTTATAACTTGGCCCTAATTATTACTTCCTTCTTTGATTTTTTTTTCTTGTATTTATCTTAAATAATGGTTAGCTTTCAACTTGCTCATCGTTTTCGTTCGTGGATGTCGATTTTTCAGTTTTCATTTTACTTCTTTATATTTTAATTACTTTGTGTAAGAAAGAAGAACTTTAAAACTGAAAAAGATAGAAAAGACATGTACGTTTGAAATTGAATGCTTTGGGATTTCGTGTGGCGTATCAGGTAGATGTGTTAATGATGTTTTCTGGTTTTAATGTTAAGTAATTAATGGTCTACTACGTTAGATGTAAATGATAGAAGTCGTAATCCCACTAAGATGACTCGTTGAAATCCTAGTTTAACTGTATTAAAATGTAACATAATTACAAACAAGACTAGTTGAATAGAAGAAATAATAATTACTTTGTAATGGAACTGTCAGTTGTCACATGAGTATTATCACCAAGTAATCTAACAATTACAGCATATAAAAATATCTTGATTCTAATGTAAAAAGGTTATTCAACGTTATTTGTTGTTTTTTTTCATTAAAAAAATGCACGTAAGTTAAATATACAGGAAAAGAAAATAAAGCACGTAAGTTAAATATATTAATTAACCCTCTAAGGTTTTCCACGGATTAAAACTTTCTAAAAACATAACCTTTTACACACGTGCGTAAAGAACATTTCAAATTTCGATTGAACTGATACTAAAATTTGTATTTATAGTTGGGGAATTATGTCAACTAGAGTTGGACCCGCGCCCTGCATGGGGAGATGGTTTCTGAATTTGTATTTTTTAATTAAAAATGTATATTTATCTATTTCAAAATTTTATTTGACAGATTTTTTACCTTGTTAAGGTTTTTATCTTCGTTTATATTGTGGAAATTAAACATTTTAAAAATTATAAACAAATTAAAAAATTGATCATAGACATAGATTAAATATGCTAGACTATAGATTAAATATGCTAGACTTCAACCAGATACATAAAACTCAAATGAATGTATCATATAAAATATTAAAAATAAAAATTTACATTTAGATACCTACTCTTTTACTTACATGGTTGCATATCATCTATTTTTTATAATATATTTTTACACCTACACACAACAACACATTGGGAATTTTAATAATTTTAGTGATTATTTTATTTTTAAAAATTCAAATCATAGCATATATAGAAAAAAATTTAGATTTTCTTTATTAGATTTTTTGTATTATGTCAATTTTTTATTTTATAAAATAAAGCTAAACAAAGATGAAAGGAGATATAGAATGATTTAAAAAAAATATAATGATAGCATTAGATTGAATCTCATATATTTCCTTATTTACTAATTTTCGTAATTGCCAATTAAGGAAAGAGAATGATGATTTTTTTATTAATAATTTCATCTTTATATTATTAATTGAGAAGTACATTCTAATGTTTGGATACAAGAATTAGAGAAACATCTATTTGGATAGAAGAATAAATGGAAACAAAAGTTGTTTGGATATAAGAATAAGAGAAAAATCTATTTGGATAGAAGAATAAATGGAAAAAATTGTTTGGATACAAGAATAATAACTTAAAATAAACCGATGGTTTAGAAAACTTCCGTTTTCCATCTCTTAAAAATCTGCAAAAAAAAAACTTAACATAATCTAACGATAATTCCAAATCAATAGAATATGCTTTTTGGATTTTCGGGTTTTTATAGACAAGTTCGGGTTTGGGTGAAAATCTGAGACATAATTTTATAGAGATATATATAGAGATATAGAAATTGTTCGGGTTTCTTTGAAAATTTCTGTTCGGGTTAGGTTCAATTTTTTTTTTCAGTTTAGGGTTTTCCGGATTTTTTAGATTTCTGGTTTTCGGGTTTAGATATATTAAAAAAATTGAGTATTTTAAAATTTTGATTAGGTATTGGGGTCGGGTTCCGGGTGAAAAAGTTTCCAGATTTTTTTTGTTCAGTCAGGGTTTTCGGGATTTTTTTATTTCGGATTTTCATGTTTAGACCTATTAAAAAAGTTTGGGTTTTTAAATTTTTTGATTAGGGTTTTTTGTCGGGTTCGGATTTAGGGTTTAAATTTTCTACACAAAACAACAACGTCACACCGCACAAACGTGCGGGTACTCTACTAGTATATGATTAATTTAACTATATATATTTGATTTTCTAACCAAAAATATGAATGGCAATGTTTGTAATTAGTCTAGTAAACTAATCCTTATTCTATAAATAACATGAGAAGCTCACTAATGATGACACATCAGTATGACATTCTTATTAATAACACATCAACTAAAGGTTATTTTTAAAGTGTTTTCTCTTTTAATATATTAGGGATTAACGACCTAGTACTATTGATAATGGATCATTTGCTCGACACGCAAAAAGGGAATTGTGGGCAATGGATTAGGTTAGAAACTTAGTTGGCTTGTCATCTATTAAATACAAAGGAGGGCCTAAGTTTTCTTCTTCATGTTCCAATGTAATCTTTGGTATGCTTTTAAGTCTTGGGCTACTCGTTTGATGTAAAAGAATACACCAAACATGTAAAGGGAAACTAATGTAAGTAAAATACGAAAGTAATTATTAATTGGAACTTAAAAAATTTGTAAGAAAAATTAATTTCATGGTGAGCAGTAATGTTTATCCAAACATAGAAGAGTGAATGATTTAATGTCTACGAGATGATGATGAAATACTTATTGTGATTTTTGTTGGTAAAAAAGCACGGAATGTGTCATCATCATTATTTTATATGGGCGGCCGGTGAGACCAAAATGACATTCCCTGAGCAAAAGTATGACAGATGAGAGTTTCTTTTGTTGTTGTATCTTTAACACTTATTCCAAAATCTGTTAAAATATTTCATTGTTGTTCATGAAATCCAACCTCAATTTGTCACTCTTCAACAAAGAATAATACTAGCTCTCTAATTCCTCTACAAACACTGTAATCTATCAGGTAAGTAAGCCAAAATCAACCCATCAAATACAGCACCACCACCTCCACAAAGAACAAGAAACAACCCAACCAAAAGCTGTTTGAATCTTCAGGGACTGCTTCAATCTTGGAATCATCATCCGAGGGCTCGAAGCTGTACTTGCTTGTCGTCATGTTGTGATGCAAAAGTCCCCGATTCCCTATCCCTTGCTTGCCTTCTTCCTCAACAAGCTCAAAGACGTAAACCTCCGAAATACCTTCTTTCCTCAGTGGTGTTCCAGATCCGCTTCTCAGGTGTGTAAGCAAGCCTTTCAAGAACATCTCGCTGTGCAGCGACCCGTATTTGCTATACCGGCACGGGCTCCGGAGGTAAGCCAGCCGGTCTCCGCCACAATCAAGGGAAGTTTCTCGTGGCCCATCGCAGCCATGGAGCTGAACACAGCGTCGACCATCATATCGAAGAGATTACGGTATCTAACTCCGGTATTGAGGTCGCTTTTGTAACCGAAAGGAGACTCCACAAAAAGAGCAAATCCCATTGAAATTGGGAAGCTGGATCGGTAGACATTGTAGGGATAGAGATTGATCAGGAACGATGAGTTGGTTCGTTCAAGGAATTGCAAAATCGGCCTGATAATCACATCTCCGGTAGGTTTTTGGAACTGCGCCGCCGAAGGAATGAAAGCGGCGGGGACGATGTTGAAGAAAGAGAAGGTAGTGGATACCGATATCTTGTAGATTCCCAGATCCTTGAGGGATCGGCGAACGTTCTGCATCGCCCGGAGTAGGGACGGCGAAACGTCCGGCGAGTCTGAGATCGCGTCGTTTCCGACGGAGATGATTGAGATGTTGGTGCGAGGGTAGAAGGGAAGCACGTGGCGATAGACCCAGGCCTTCGCGATGGAACGATCGGAAGCGAGGAGTGGAACCAGAGGATTGGGAACGGAGAGGAAGAGAGAGACGTTCGTGTCGGCGAAGGCGCGAATCATCTCCGGATTAAAATCCAGAAGCCTCACCGCCGGAATCTTCATGGAAACAATCTTCTCGGCGATTCTGTCCGGTGAGAGTATGACGGAACCTGAGATGGAGTCTGGAGTCGAGTAGGTGACCCCGATCGTCGTGGCGGAGGTCGTCGGAGGGATAGCGACGGCGGTTAGCGAGACAAGGAGGAGGAGATAAAAAGCGAGGGAGTCCATTCTCTTCAGTCGCTTACTTTTTTGGGAAGAGAGAGAAAAAGAGAAATCGGAAACTGTGAATTGCTCTCAAAGAGACGAAAGCTTGAAGACGACGAAGTGCCAGAATGGGCGGGACGATTCTGTTAGAGGAGGCAGTGATTGACTACACGTGTCCTCTGAGGTAGATGTTTGACTAAAAAGTCTATATTGACTTCACTTTCAAAATCAAAGTCTCAGAATTTTTATTGAGTTGTGGTTGATACAAGCACGAAAACCATATATATAGGATTTAACATTAACATTATACATAACACCAAATAATGTAAATTTTCCTAATAAATCTTTACAGAATATATTCTGTTGGGTTTCACTTCGGGCTTTGATGGCCCAGAACTCGCCTAAGACAATTCAGATATTACGAACTATGACAATCTTTTGAGGATTTTGAATACGTTTAAAAAAGCACAGTCAAACTTTGAAAAAAACTAATCAAACATGCCTAAACACAAGGCGATTCAGAGAGGCATTATTTATGGACGATGGAAAAATACTTTCAAAAGCTAAGTCTCAGATTTTTTATTGGTACAAAGACTTGAATGGAAACAAGAATATCCTCACACTCAGGCGTTGCTAAATTAAAACCATATTAATGTTTCTTTCCATAAAATGTACATATCTTGCGGATTTGATCAAAGATGACCGTAAAGAAGAATTGGTTTGGATCGCCTCTAACAACATTAAGCATTGTATGTATACCAATATCTGCAAACCTATTTAATGATAATGAACCCGATAGATTATTGGTCGAACCAATCATGAACCGGATTGGTCTATCGATTTTAGACCATTATCACATCCCTAGCTTAACAAACTTTTAAGATACTACAAGGTGGTGTCTATGTGTGAGACCAAAATGACATTCCCTGAACAAAGTATATGCAGATAAGAGAGTTTTTTTGGTTGTATCTTAACATTCTTTTCAAAATCTGTTAAAGATTTCATTGTTGCTCACGCAATTCAACCCAATATGTCACTCTAATCCAACTTCAATTTGTCACACTACAACAAAGAATAGCCTCTACAAACACAGTAATCTATCGGAACCTAAGCCAAAATCAGTCCAATTCCAAAGAGCCAAAAGAAGAAACAGAGATAGCAGAGCATCACCACCTCGACCGAGAAGGCACCCAAAAGCTCTTTGGCTCTTGTGGCACTGCTCGAGTCTCTGGATCATCCGAGAAGTCAAAGTTGTACTTTGTGATGCAAAAGTCCCGAATTCCTCATCCCTTTGGCTTCTTCCTCAACAAGCTCAAAGACGTAAACCGCCAAAAGACCTTCTTTCCTCAGCGGTGTTCCAGATCCGCTTCTCAGGTGAGCAAGTAAGCCTCGCAAGAACATCTCGCTGTACACCAACGTCAGATCTTCTTCAGAGAAGGTCTCGACTCCGGAGCTAGGCCAGCCGGTCTCCGCCACAATCAAGGGAAGATCCTTGTGGCCCATAGCGGCCATGGAGGTGATCACAGCGTCGACCATCATATCGAAGCTATTCCGGTATCTAAGTCGCGCAGGGTAGTCGTCTATGAAACATAGAGGAGACTCGTCAAAAATAACGTGTCCGAATGGAACGATGAAGCTGGATTCGTAGACATTGTAGGGATGCAGATTGAGCAGGAAAGACGAGTTGGTTCGTTCGAGGAATTGCAAAATCGGCCTGATCGTATCTTCTCCTTTAGGCTGTTGAAACCGCGCCGCCGAAGGAAAGAAAATCGCCGGGAGGATGTTGAAGAAATACAAGGTAGTGGATACCGGGATCTTGTGGATTCCCAGATCTCTGAGAGATCCATGAACATTCTCCATCGCAGGGAGTAGGAACGGCGAAACGTCCGGCGAGTCTGAAGTCACGTCGTTACCGACGGAGATGATTGAGATGTTGGTGCGAGGGTAGAAGGGAGCCACGTGGCGATTGACCCAGGCCGTCGCGAGGGAACGATTGGAAGCGAGGAGTGGAACCAGAGGATTGGGAACGGAGATGAAGAGAGAGACGTTCGTGTCGGCGAAGGCGCGAAGCATCGCCGGATCGGAGTCGAGAAGCCTCACCGCCGGAATCTTCATGGAAACGACCTTCTCGGCGATTCTCTCCGGAGAGAAGAGTAGTTCGGAACCGGAGATGGAGCGTGGAGTCGAGTAGGTCACTCCGATCGTAGTGGCGGAGGCCACCGTAGGGTTAGCGACGGCGGTTAACGAGACAAGGAGGAGGAGATAAAACGCGAGGGAGTCCATTCTCTTCACTCAGTTTGAACAATTTCTCAATCTGTGAAATATTATTCTGTGATCGAATTAAACATCATAGGTCAAAGTATTTATACAACTCTTAGAACGTTAAGCCTGTTAAAAAAGGAAATTGAGAGAATTGGAAATTATCTTCTTTTTTTTATTTTTTTGCCAGCGAATTGGTAGTTTTATCACCTGTAAATCAAAACCAAACTCATTTTCAAAACACTGATCTCTAATGTTCAGAGTTTTTGCCTTGTATGTGGAGAGTAGATTGTTTTCATTTTTGTTTACGTGATTTGTAAGCGTAGACTATTGAATCACCACTCCAATCTGCACCAGCCACTTGTGAAATGTGATCAGCATCATCCGCACGGACCGAACCAGTGAGCGTACCAGGAGAATTATCATGAATCCTGTTCTTCTTAGTGTCCTTGCACCAACCAGCTCCTTGACAGTTGAACACACCAACTATGCCAGTAAACTTATTCATGTTCCAAATCTTGAGCAAGCTGGGAAAAAAAAGTTTTTGAGTTAAGTGTTAAGCTGAAGGAGCCAAGAATAAAGAAGAGAATTAGAGTTAGTTTAGTTAGAAGAAAGGCAAACCTGATTCCATCTCTAGCTGGATCAGCGAACAGGCAGTCACGTGTAGGCCTACCCTACCCGGAAGCTTAGCACGAAGAACAGAACCATCAGGAAGAACAAGCTTCCTCAGTAGATCAAAATTGTGGTTGTTTGGCTTATCACTGCTCATGTAATTTGACAAAAACACATCTTAAGTTTAAAATGTGTTTGGAAGACGAAGACGAGGAACGCGAGGATCTTGAATTTAACAGGACGAGTTTGCCCGTCACTAAGCTTCTTCCTGACGAATTTAATAGATCGCATCTAACAACACCAAGCATATATACCAATATCTGCAAACCTATTTAATGATAGTGAACCCGATAAATTATTGGTCGAACCAATCGTGAACTTGACTACATTTGAAGAAGCAATAGTCAAATTTTGAATTAAAAAAACTCACCGACGTCATTAAGAGACTAAAGCTTTTTGAAAGAACAATATCGAATTGTCTTCGATATCCCTTGAAGGAATGATATGGAATTGTCTTCAATATACCTTGAATGAATGATACGGAAAACGGTCATATAGAGATGAAGCTTCTTGAAGGAGTTATACTGAATCTTCAATATAGCTACAAGTCTCAGCTATCTATTGATAGATGTGACCAGATTTTGGCTACTAATTTCTCTTAAATTGTGACCAAATTGGAAATTACTAATAATTATTGTTTTGTCTTTGGTGCAATTGGAATTACTAATAATTCTAACATAGTAACAAACAAGTGCGTACAGATTTTGGGCGCTTACCCACCACCGATAATGGAAAGAAGAGCCTAAGTCCCGTAAACTCTAATAACTGCGGTCAAACCCAGCAAACTTCGACTTGTCTTTGGTTAAAACATGATCCAGACATGTTTAATAATCTCTCATCGCACACATTATTTATTTTTACATTTTTGTTCTTTAGAATATGAAAAAACGCAATGGAGTTCATCTTATTCCTACGAAGTGAGAATTCTACCGTGAAATTACGAGGAAGAAAGTCAGGTCAAAAGAAGAGTCAGGTCAAAAGAAGAGTCGAAGAGTACAACTGCTATTGATGAGCTGGAGGATTTAGGTGGGGTTTCTGATTTGTTGTGCTTCAGTCTATATATAGATAATGTAGAACATCACCGACCTATTTGATACCCGACCGGCCCGCAAATGTGAGTAACATTGTTTGATCGTTTTTATTTTTTTACTATTGCGGAAAACTGTTAATCATTTTGAATTTATAATCATATGCAAAGATCAGAAAACCTATAAAACCTATAACCTATAGAAGAATTTTGGAATAAATTTATACAAATTAAAATATTTTGAAAATTAACCTATTTTTAAAAATATTTGAAAACTAACCTTTTTAATATCCGAAATTTCTAAAATACCCTCAATTTTTTCAAACACAATTCATTTAAATTTATTTAAAATTTTCCTAAAATTAATTCAGTTATTATTTATACTGAAAAATAATTCAGTTATTCTAAAGATAATCATATTTAAACTTTACACATGTTCAGATAATCTTTCGAACTAGTTTTATCCATCTTTTGCAACAGCAAAACCATCTTAACCAAGCAGCTGACAGTAAATGTACTTATGTACACACATTACTAAGTATACTACCTAACATTAGATGGATTATGTTCGACAAAAGACACTATTAGCGAGGATACAGACATCTTGTTGATCTCTAAACCGCACGCCCCAAATCCAATTCACTTCAGCGGCCCCTATGGGCTTACTCTCTTGTACAAATAAATAAACAACAGCAACAACAACTGGAAAATGATCTTTTGACCTGAATGCAAGATGTCATAAAACTGATCAGCTACCTGCAATTGAGTTACAATGTCTCAAGCCTGCTGGACCGACGCGACAACATACAAGACGCACTCAACTTCGTTGTACTTGCTTGAATCCATAGGAAGACCAAACAAGATATTGTCTTGAACTGTTCCGTTCTGAATCCAAGATGTCTACGCTACATAAGCCGTTGTCCCACAAACCCGAACTGTGCCTGAAAGTTTGTGCATTTCGCCAAGAACAGAAGCTAACAATGAAGATTTCCCCGATCCAACGGTGCCTACAATCGCAGCGAGCTCTCCTTTTCTTGACCTCAAAGTTTATGTTTTCAATCGCAGGCTCGTCATCTTCATCATCCCAACTAAAGCTTCCATCTTTGATCTCCACAGCGACATTCCCATCACAGCCTTGACTCCTCTCCACACTCTCTCTCCCGATAGCTCTCTGCTCGACATGAAAGCGTCGAGTCTTCCGAGAGAGATCATTGCCTGCGAAAGTGCGATCATACACTGCGGAAACGTCCTGATCGGTTCTTGAAGTATCTTGAAAATGGTCGTTGTGGTGAACACTGTGCCTGCGTCAAGCTTGAATCCCAAGAAAACAGCGCTTGTGAAAGTGAGCGCTGAGATCAACACCGGCGTGCTCCATAGCACGATGATGTTTCCGGCGATGGAGTAAAGAAACTTCGACAGCCAACCAAACTCCATGTTACGAAACTTGAGGATTCTCTCGTTGAAATGACCTTCCCAAGCTTGAAACTTGATGACTCTCATGTAGTTAAGCATCTCGTTAGTTGCTTTCATCCGGGAATCACGACGATTCATCATGAGGCTGAATTGAAACCTGTTGTTTCGTTTCGTTCCCATGAGAATGAAGACGAAGATTCCGGTTAAACCGACAACGGTAGTGACCACGGCAGGTCCAAGGACGCCGTAGAGAAGCACAAGAGCCACAGCTACTTGCAAAGGCATGAGCCAGCTTGCGTGTAGCTGAAGCATCATGTCAGAGAGCTGTTGTGCATCGACGGCCATGTAATTCACGATCTGACCAACGTCGTGGTTCTGCTTTTTTTTTTTTTTTTAGAAAGTTAAATGTGTTTATTTAACGAGATTACATTACTACACATGCGAAGATACTACTACTACTACAGGCTACTACTACTACAACTACAAACCATTCTCTAATTTCTTAAATCTAATAGTACAAAATATGATGAATGACAAAATAAAAAATAAAAGCGACTCCAAACTACACCGAGCTTCTTTTGCTTAGACCAGAATCTCAACATGCCATCTGAACATTTCCTCCATTGTCACCGGCAGATTCAACGTCACAAGTCCAACCTCCGCGTCGTACTTGAAATCAGTGTCCGTGTTATCAACGGCGCATCTTAGCGGACGCTGTGAAGAGTATGCTCCAAAACGACCACAACCTCTAACACTCAAAGATATCAGAGCTGTTGGAGAACGGTTATCACTGAGCGCCAGAGAAGAACTCATCCCCAAGGAGGACGAGATCTCTCCATCAAAGAGTTCCGGTTTCTTGTCCGTGACGGTATTGATATCAATGGAGTCAATAGCCCCACTTGAGTTGAACATGTCTATTAATCCGATAGGTGCGAACGAGATGTTTCCAGTGATTTCCTACAGAAAAACAAACAGATTCGTCATTTACATTTTTATGAATGATGAAATATCAAAGTGGATTGTCATAATCACTAAGCGTACCTTTAAAGGAGAGATGTGGAAGAGCTCATATTCAAGGACTTTGAGAGTGAGAGGGATTGAGGAACCCTTTGGTAGTTTTATCAACTCCCCTGTAAATCAAAACCAAACTCGTTTTTAAAACACTGATCTCTAATGTTCGGAGTTGTTGTCTTGTCTGTGGTATTTTTTTTACCTGATTTGTAAGCGTAGACTATTGAATCACCACTCCAATCTGCACCAGCCACTTGTGAAATGTGATCAGCATCATCCGCACGGACGGAACCAGTGAGCGTACCAGGAGAAGTATCATGAATCCTGTTCTTCTTAGTGTCCTTGCACCAACCAGCTCCTTGACAGTTGAACACACCAACTATGCCAGTAAACTTATTCATGTTCCAAATCTTGAGCAAGCTGAAGAAAAATTAGGTTATTTCTTTAGGCTTAGGAGTCGAACATAAAGAAGACAAGAGTAAGTTAAGTTAGAAGAAAGGCAAACCTGATTCCATCTCTAGCTGGATCAGCGAATAGGCAGTCACGTGTAGGCCTACCCGGAAGCTTAGCACGAAGAACAGAACCATCAGGAAGAACAAGCTTCCTCAGTAGATCAAAGTTATGGTTGCCTGGCTTATCACTGCTCATGTAATTTGAAAAAAACACATCTCAAGTTAAAACCTCTGTTTAGAAAAACAGAACAAGACTTAAGTTACAAGATGAGAGGAAGGCTATACCTGACATAGATTGCGCATCCACCAACTGCACGCGCTGCAGCATGGTACTCTGCAGTTGGGTGTAGACTCTGAAAAACAACCAAAAGCTTCCATTGTAAGCAAACACATCACTAGACTTCTAAAGAGGTAAAAGACAAAATCTTTCTTTTTTACTTACATGGAACATGTCCCAGTCAGGTTGCATGAATTCCCCAAGGAAGAGTGTATTGTAAGCAACCGAAGCAATGTGGATGGTGTGAGAAGCAGGATCTCTGGGGTAGTAATCATCGGACGCTCTAACAATAGCGGTCTGTTTCGCGCTGTATATCCCATCCGTGTTGTGACACATGCAAGATATGCAACCATTGTCTTTGAAGTTCCTTGCAATGGAAGCTTCTAAAGCTTGGTGGTAGCTCCGAGTGAGAGAGACTCTCCCTCCAAGACCAGCACCGAGTGTTTCTATGATGTTCTGCACGTCAACTTTGACTCCGTCTATACCACATGAAGCCAGATACGAATGCAGCTCGTTGTAGAAGTTGAAAACTTTCTTAGGGTTGACAAGACCGAGACCATGAACAGCGAGGCTGTCCATTACTATGTCTGGTTGGTTCCCTAACACACCTGGAGACTGAACTGGGTACGCCAATGCACTGTCGTAGTGTTCCATTCCAGAGGCTGCAGGTTTCACTCCTCCCCAGTAACCAGCTAAAGCGTGCCACGCGTAAACTTGCCTGTAAGTAAAAGAGTCGAGCAGTATAAATATAGAAACCTTATTGTCACCAGCTTATTAAGAAGAGCGGATGACATACTTCACATTGTGGCGCTGCTTAGCATTGTCAACAACACTCTTAAGCCCTGATACTTCTTGCGTGTCCTTCTGATCACTCTTTTGAAATTTTGCATTCTCCTTGATACCAACAAGCCTAGTAGCAAACCTGCATATAAAGAATGAATTTATAAGCTTTAAAGTGTTTCTCATGAAAAGTTTCCCTAAGAATGTTAAGACAGAGAGAGAGAGATCTTACTGTGCTCCTTCCTGGACAACGCAGTTTGAATCCTTCTCTTTGTTTTCTATTTGTTGCCAACCATCGTCTATGATCAGAAACCTAGGTGGTGTACCTCCTTCTGAGAGGCTGCAATTAAACCAAAACGCATCAGAGACTCGGTCAAGCTTTGAACAAGTACTAACATATTAACAATATGTTGCTCTGTTTCCATATTAACAAGTACTAACAAGGTTGGGGTTTACCTTCTAAGGCCGTCATCAACGCCTTCGGCAGTCACGTCTGTGTAGAAGGCGTCCCATGTACACCAGCCAAACCAGTCTAGGAAAGAAGGCAGCTAAACAAACAAACAAAGATGGAACAAAATGAGGAGATCATATCAAAATCAGAGTGAACTCTTTCTCTGTCACCAGAATTATAGAATGTTCACTGACCTTCTTCTTCTCACGATGATGAAATGTCTGCATGTGCCTCTCTGCAGCTCTGTACATAACGAAAGAATACCATTCGTTAGCAAACACACATAACCTTAAACTTGAAAGAAAACATATTCTTATTGGCTTTTTTTTTTTTCCAAACGTACTTTACGGATTGCCTGATGACTTCAAAGGGATTGGTTCCAGCATGAACATAGACAAGATGAGTCCCCTGGCTAGTTTCAACCGCCTTATCTCCTGCAAAAACAGAGCGACATATTGTTAATATGGAAGTTGTAATCTCATTTCTATGGATCTTCAGCTCAAATAATTTTTCACTTACCGCTCTCAAGACAAATCTCAATCTCGTTCTTCTCATTTCCTTGCAGAACAGCTCTGAACTGGCCTTCAAGCAGAGGGAGAAACACAGTGTAAACAGTCGGAGCATCATCTCCATTTCCTTCAACCTCATCTTTGCTCTCAAGTAACATAAACTGTGTCTCCAAAGGAATTTCTTTTCCACAGCTTCCCATTCTCTGAGTCATCCACCATAGTTTAAACCGGAAACAGCACATAAACCGAAGACCCCTGAAAAGATTTTTATAAAAACAATAAGCACCAAACAAAACCATCAAAGGACCTTGATTTACTCAAGATGATAAAGAAAGTTTGCTGCTTACTCCAATACACCGATGGGGAACACATGGAGAGACTTGCTCTGTTCGAATGTTGCACCTATGAAGGCACCGGAAACGAATCCAGCTCCGGTTTCCGGAGTTAGAATGATGTTGTCCGGGATTTTGGTCAAGATTGTCTTCCCTTGGACAACGAGGTTGTCGTTTTGGACAGAGATGTTTGATGTGATTGTCATGTTTTCAAGGATCCTTGAGTTACCTGTTTTTAACACGATCACACACAGCGTTAGGAAACAATCTTCTATTTGCATAATATTAATGGCAAATAAAGCATAGCTCCCACTTTTCATTCTTCTTGAAAACATTCGAGAATTGTGTTGGTTTTTACTAAACCGGCCAATTATCTGGTGACCAGTATTCAAGCTTTGAGCGAACATTTCTAAACAAAGAAATTCAAATTAGAATATTTCCAAAATTGGATTATGAATCTAAGATGCAACTTGGAGATTTCAATCATGAATCCTACTCCAAAGGTCTAGCAGAGGCAAGTTCCAATTAATGACAAGACTCAAGAAGAGTAATCACAAGATGACCTAAAACAAATGAAATCAGAATTTGAATTCGAAACATAAGAAGTACTCACCGGATGGCTTCCCGTTGAGCTCGAGGTACTAAAGAGAGAGAGAAGCGGCGATATAAGGAAGGGGAGAAAAAAATCTGCTAGACAGAAGCTAAATGTTGCTTCTGTTCTGTAAGAGAAGAAAGAATACACGGAGTCGCCGCCTAAAGTGGTGGCTCCGTCAAATGAAGAATCACTGGTCAAGAAACGAAATGAAACGGTGTTTGGTGGAATGAAGATGGCGGAGAAGACGGTTTATATATGCGAGGAGATTTGGGAAGAGCCGTTGCGATGATGACACGTGTCAGATTAATACTTTTCCCGTGAAAATGGAAAAAGTACTAAAAAAATCATGATATTTTTCGTCTCTTCTGTCTCATTGCTGAATCAGAGACAACTCATTACTAGAAAATATTTAAATGATTTCTACTGTCGTGTTATTTTTTGTCACCTATTTCTACTGTCCCTTTCTTCTTTACATTTTGATTTTTTTTTTTGTCAATTTTAATTTACAGTTAAAATACCAAAATTTGCTTATGCTTTTTATTTTCTTTATAGTATAATATGAAGATAAGTTAAAGTTACAACTCTTCTTTTAAATTTTCAAAATCGAAACTGAAATAAAAATTATAATGTCAACGGTAATGAAACGTAGAAATTACTCTTATTGTTGCAAGCTGTGTAAGAAACACTAGTAATTAAATATCGAATCAAATCATATTACGAAACCATATAGTCGTGGTTAATGTCACTCTTGATACATAACGAAGCCCAAATGTACAAGAAACGTGTAACGTAGTTCTATACGCGTCTTTTATAACATTTTCCAATCGCGTATCTTTAGGAAATATATACATAAATCACCGATTCACGGTCACCTACAAGTTTTACTGATCTCTTGAATAAATATTTGTGATATCTTTCTACTCGTTGGATGACATATTTGCAAAGCTGATCAAGTTTGAAATCTTAAGGATGAAGTCAGACTATTCAATGTTTTTATAGCACATGGGCGGTATATATTCAGGTGTCTCGAATTCACAAATGTCTTTAATTTTTCCTCCTGACAATACATTTCTCCGAAAATGTTTCAGAAAGCTTTAGTTTAATAGAAAAAAAATGTTTCATACATAGAATTATCTAGATATTTATGCCAAAAAGTGAAACACTACAAAACATTAATCGTTCTTATCCTGATATATAAAATCTGTTTCTAAATATCGCTAATGTTTAGTGAGATATGTTTTTCTAATAATAATAATGAAAGATGGTGTAAATGTCAAATTGATTAACTCGGAAAATATTGTATATATCGATGGCCATTTTGCTTCCCAAGGAAAGTGACGATTATCTTCATGCATGGACTGGCCGGGCCGGTGGCCGCGACTCTCTATTCAAGTAAGGATCACATTTAAAACTGTCCTCAAATATTGTAAGTTTATCATAAATTCATAATATAGTACAAACAAATCAACTATACGACGATCGATACTAGCAGAGTCTATCGAGATTCGATATAAAAGCACATGTTTATTGTTTTGCAGAAAGTTGTTTATATTTCCTATATTTGACGAGAAGATAATACAAGTTTTTTTTTTTTGGTTTTAAAGATAATACAAGTTGTGTTTTATTTTGACTCTTTTGCGGAGGTTATCATAACAACGTCGCTGAGATACGGACCGCAACACATACCCACTTGAAGTCACAATCCTTATCCACTTATCTGGAACCACGTATGTGGTCAACACTTGACGACCGGTTTGCGCCGGGTTAGTTAACTTGACTCCTCTTTTGTACTAAAAGCCACATATTAGTAAACGTTATGGATAAACCCTATAGGGAATGACACACACCGATTAATTTTCTCAATAAATAATGATACGATATTATTGAGAACTTCGAGTGTGATATATACGTATGTCCATCAATCGGTGTGCATTATGAAGATAAGAGTTTGTTCGGACTATGAACTAGTTGTTTTATCACATTTTCTTATATTGAATTCCTAAAAATTGGATAATTTCTGTCATCATGTGATAATAAATTTGTTGGAGTGTATTCCGTTTCACACTTAGGTAAGCTCGAATTCATCAAACAGCTTGGGTTTGAGCATAGTTTTAGGATAGTGTCAAACAAAACTTGCTTTTTAGCTCAAGCAATTGCTAGCTAAAATGTTATTTAAAGTGGACGTTTTCATCTATATAGTGAATTTGGAGAGATACGACTTGCTTTTATAGTCGAGTGTTTAAAGAATGGGATGCCGACACACCAACAACGGAGAAACAAATAAAAATGTTTTTACCAACAAAAAAATGTTAGTCTGCTATAAATAATCGATATATGAAGAAAATAAAGTTCGATTTATAACATTTTGGTTAACCGTCCTAATTTTGCAAATCACCTTGTCATTTATTCTTTGTCTAGATTGCTTTCGAAATCTTTGTTATTTTTCCATTATTGATTGAGATGGAAATAAAAGCGACCGAAAAAACACAATCAAGCTTTCAATTTCATCTCATTCAGTAAATTCCTAATAATTGCATTAAATTTGAGTTAAGAGATCTTTATCCTAAAATAAATAAGACAAAAACATGAGTCAGATAAAGTAGGTGAAACTTTTGTAATCAAACGGCGCAAGTGGGTCCCAGCCACGTCAGATTGAGTTCATCATATGTGAAAAGATCTATCTCCGCATCGATCAGTTGAGTTCACCATGTCCTTGTCTTTATTCCTTTTTCACTTTGTGCACTTTTTATACATATGTTGTGACACGATTATTGTTCTTCTTAAACGGCTGTGACTATTAAATCTATTGGCTTCGTATCTATGACTATGATTAAAATACGACGATTAAATGGTAACTACGGCTGATTAATTACTTTAATGATAAACATGTAATCATGATTTGCGTCCTTACAAAGCATATTGTTTTTTTTTACAACAAGGTCCACATCGGACATGTGTAACGTTCGTGTACCGTCCATCCTCAGACCTTTTTGCATGATTGATTGTTTTTAACAATTTGAATCGAATTAGGATTTAGGAACAATACAAAAATCGACACGCAAGTCTCCCGTGTCGATGATAGTACTATGACGAGGATATACATTAGACGTTTAACGAAAAAGCAATGATCCGAGTTAAAATTGTCTTTTACCTAAATTTTGTGAATTGTGATTATGACACATAACAGATGTCAGTGATGCTTTTTATGAATACTGTTGTATATTAGCTAGTGTCTAGTGATATCAAATTTGCAGTATTTCAATATCATAAACAGTACTTGTAAACTCAGCTAGTAAAAAGAAATGATTATAAAAAGTAATTTGTACAGTTGTTGGAAAAAAATGATTGGTGTTTGTATGCATGATGACAATAATATATACGACATAGAACTTAGTCTAGCTGTGTTGAGATTCGATTCGGCGATAATACAATAACGACATTATTGTGGCTTGGTCTGAATTTTTCCGGACTAATAACAGCTACGTATATAGTTTGAGAAAAACTTCAGGCCAAATGGTTTTCCTTATTTGTTTTCCTCTAAAATTAAAGGACCCTAGCTCCAAAGATTGTGTGTTCTGAAATAGTCTATTTGATTCTCACTTGAAAAGAAGATTATTGTCTTCTGATGAAAAAGCATACTGTATAAGATTATTGTCTTCTGATAAAAGTCTCTACATCTTCTGGATTTGCCAAATAAGAAAAGCAATTCCAATCTCTCATATAATTGTTGAATATGGTTATAAAAAAATTACAGACATCTTTATCAACATACAATTATACAAAATATCTACACACACCCACATGCCACACTCTGTTCCTCTCTTGATCCATATTCACTCGCTCTTCAGCCAGAAACTCAAAACACACAATTTGTTACAACTTATATGCCTAAATCATGGTGTAAAAAAAAACCCCCCGAAAAGATAAAAATTAAGAAATGAAGAAAGATTTGCATCCCTTTTGAATTTAATCTTCCAAAATGCTGAGTGATAGATTCAGCCTCTGTCTCATACTCTCATCTTGTAGTATCACCATTGACCTGCAACGACGCATCTTGCATCAGTTTGAGACTGATACTGTTAAACCGTTCCCTTGAGTACTGCCTCGAAGCCTTTCTCCAATCAGTTCCTGTTTTCATCATTGTCACAAACTCCTCGTAACTTATTTTCCCATCCTGCAAAATAAAATATTTGTTTTCGACAATGTTTTAGTCCTTTCTTAGACTGTTTTCAACATTTAAGAAGAGAGTGAAACCATGAGGCTAATCAAACCTTATCGGTATCAACATCACGAATAATGGCATCAACAACTTCTTCACTGGTACCAACTTCATCAGATAAAGCTACCCTTAACTCCTCTATTTCGATATATCCGTTATTGTCTTGATCGAAGAAGGCAAACGCTTTCTTGAGATGCTCGTCGTTGCCCATTTTCCTGAGATGCACTGAAATGGCAATGAACTCGTCACAGTCCAAATAACCATCTTTATCGATATCTCCCTACAAAAGAAAAGAAAACCCCTCGTGAGTTCGTATGTCAAACTTCAAAACCAGCATTGTTTGTAAGTTAATGATAAATGAAAAGCTTACAGCTTCCATCAAAATTTGTAAATCATCTTGGGGAACGGCATGACCAAGTTTCTGCAATCCGACTTTAAGCTCGTCGATGTTAATCTTCCCTCTCTGGCTTGTGTCCATTATTTGGAACCCTTCTCTTATACCTGAAGCCTCTTCATCTGATAAATGCTCAGCGATAACCTTTCAAGAAAGCAAAATAGACAACGAAACTATTGTTAGGCTTTTCAGATGACATAAATTACCTGAAACCATATATATATAAAGGATGTGTATTATACCCTGAGTGCTCGTTTCTTGAGCTTGTTCATAACGGTGAACTGCTTCAGCCTTGCTCTCACTGTTTCACCCAATGGTACATTAGGAGCTGTCTTTGCATTCTGTAACCACGAATGATCTGTGGAAAATGAAGCAAACACCGATTATATATTACTCTTTGTCTCTCTCAGATTCCATATGACAACATCATTAGAAACCATAAAGCTGTACCTAGCACTTGCTGAGCTGTAAGACGACGCTTTTGGTCAGGATCAAGCATTTTCCTGATAAGGTCTTTAGCGTTTTCAGAAACCTTTGGCCAAGGATCTCTTCTGAAATCCAGTTGAGATCGAATAATTGCTTGTGCAACTCCTTGTTCGGTTTCTGAAAACAAATAAAAGACAAGATTCACTATTCTTGTGTACACTCCTGAAGACACATTTGCCACAGAAGGCTTCAAGAAGAAGGCAGACAAAAACTAACCTGCCCAGAAAGGAGGGACACCACAGAGGAGAATGTAAAGAATGACACCAGCGCTCCAAATGTCAACTTCTGGCCCGTAGTTACGTTTTAGCACCTCAGGAGCCATGTAGTAAGGACTCCCAACAATCTCGTTAAATCTCTCCCCTGCAAAAGCAAACAATAACAATGCCGTGTGTTAAAAAACTGTTACCATAACGCAAAAGGAGCTGAAAACAGAGAAAGAGAACAGACCACAATACCTGGTTTAAAGAAGACAGAGAGCCCGAAATCAATCGCCTTTAAAGGTGCACTCTCCTTCTTGTTTCCAAACAAAAAGTTCTCTGGTTTCAGATCCCTATGCATTACCCCATGCTTATGACACACCTACAGAGATCACATCCACAAATATCACTCCAAAGACTTCACATTTGCATTAATCCAAAAGACACAAAATGGTTCTTTTAGTCTCTATGCAGCAAACAGAGAGTACCCTTCAAGCAATCATGGCCGTTTCTACACTAAGATTGACTCTAATTCCAATGCCCTTGAGCCTAAAGTTTTGGCCTTTTTCAATTTTGCAGCAAATGCAGAAGAGATAAAACCATTGACGAACCTGAACAACTTCCATGATGGTTTTAGTCACAGCAGCAGCAGCTCTCTCGGTGTAATGCCCTCTCGCAACAATCCTATCAAACAACTCACCACCTTCACAAAGCTCCATAACCAAATGCACGGCGTGCTCATCCTCGTAAGTCTCCTTCAAAGTTACGACATTTGGGTGCTCAGGCATATGCCTCATGATCTCAACCTCTCTCCTAACGTCCTCTATATCCACAGCAGTCCTCAGCTTCTTCTTCAGAATCGATTTGCAGGCGAAAACCTCGCCGGATTCTTTGTCGGTGCAGAGATACGTGACGCCGAATTCGCCGCGGCCTAGCTCTCGGCCCAGTGTGTATTTCTGCTCGATCTCGCGACCCGTTGGGTCTTTGAGGACGATGAGCTTGAGAGCTCCTCCTCCTCCGCCTCCACCGCCGTGGTGGAGGCCGTAATCGATCGAGAATGGGTTTTGCTTCTTCCTTCCTTTTTTCGGCTTGTTCTCGTTTTGAGCCAACGATCCCGCCGTTCCGCAGCAATTACCCATGATTTTTTCAAAATTCTCAACGACGAGGAATCGATTGACCGATTAAATCTCTCTCTCCCGCGCGAAATTCGAAATTAGAAGAATCCGAAATCAAATTCGTAGCAGCTTAGGTAGAGATTCGCGATGGAATTCCTGGGAAATGGGAAAATCAAAGGATTGGTACTTCGAATAAATCTCGAAGAGACGGATATATAGAAGAAGATGAAGAACATAAAGGGGGGTTTGAAAATTGAAATTCAACGCGTGAAAAGGAAGAAGAAGAAGAAATGGATCGAATTAACGTCAAATTAATTTCTTTTTGGGTTTGATCAAATTGTTTGATGTTTTGTTCTGAAAATCACCAAAAGAAGAAAAGAAATTAAATTAAAATTAAATTTGACATAATTACAGAGAGAGAGAGAGAAGAAGGAAGGTCAAAAGAAGCTTCCCTCCCAATCTCTCCTCTGCAGCTCTATGATTGTTTTCCTTTTCTATATTTTTATTTTAAAAAAATTCTCTTTCTTTCTGTTAAAAAAAATTAATTAATTACAGTATAAAATTTATTTTTAGGACTGCTTACCCCAAAACTCTAATGTCTATTCAACCCTTTGTACCCCTCAAGAACTACAACGCAGAGCTTTAGACCCACCAGCGTGGAAGGGTGTTTAGATAATTTACCTTAGTGACATTAGGGAGTCTGTGTCACGTTGTAAAGCTTCGAATCCTGATGAAACACCAAAAGGGTAAAACTGTAAATATAAGAGCCACCTTCCTTTTTTTGTGCTCTCTTTTTTTTTTGGTAAGGGTCAAACTCGACGATTTTGACTCTTTTTTTTTTTCCTTTGGTCGGAACCAACTAACATTTTATTTTTTAATTGCGACCCAACGAACAGTATAATTGAAAAGATGCTTTGGTTTTTAAATCGTGGACACTCTTGATTCTTGTGTTACACCGACGCAAATTTGTTTTCTAGTTCATATTTAATCATCAAGAATCTGATATGGCCATATGGGAATTTGATTATCTATATGATTACTTACAAGAATTAAAAGGTATAAAAAAACGTTTTTAGTTAGGTGAATCATTTTTTAAAAACATAACTATAAGTTAGACTAAATTATTATAAAAAATTTAAAAAGAAAAGTCAACGGAGTAGTAAACGAGAAAGCGAGAGGACGAGACTTTGTCAAATGTGTTGGATAATGGTATATTTGAGATCCAAGCTCGATGATGATGAAACTTCCTTACACGAGTGTTTCTGTTGTTCCTATTTGATCAATAGCTCGATTATACTAAAGACTGGATCTTGTTACCATAAACAAGCAACACAGACAGGGTCTCTAGGCCCATTAATCCATTATGTAGAAGCCCAGATGGATGAGAAAGAAAGTGTAGCACAAATGATCGCTCTTTTATTTTTGTCTACGCAAGAAGTTAGGACTCGGCAGCAAAGAACACACATATGATCTCTAAAAGGAGTCAATCAACTAGTTCACAATTCATATGAAGCTTTTTTTTTTATTGAACTAGTATTTAACTGAAATGTTATATTACAGTTTTACAATAGATAATATGATACATTACACATATGACAAAAAAACATACAAAATTCATCCATATCGGATGACAATTCAATTCATACATGTAGATACCAAACCAGGCGGCCACACAGAGTTGGATAAAATACCCCAACGTGAATGCTCTAGTTTTGGAGTGACTAAACGATACATAAAATAATCAGTACCTTTTCGCTATTACATTCTGTATATACACATTGATTCCCAAAAGAAAATCGTCGGTTTGTAGCATATGCATGTAATGTAACAAAACATAAATCATATATCTTTTACATTATGATACATTTTGATGAAATCGAAAAGTAGCTTAGCTAGGAGAGAGAGAAGAAGGAACGTTTGGCCGGAGGTCGTCCCACGGCTCTCATGAGATTAGAGACTTCAAGAACCCTAGCAACCTCCGTCCCTCTTTTCGCTTCCGCCGTCGCTCTCCTCTCCTCCGCCTTCCTCTGAGCTTTCGCCACTTTGTTTTGTGTTTTCTCCATCGCCTTTGCTCTCCTTTCATCCAATTTCCTCTGCATCCTCATCGTCATCAATATTACAACATACATATAAAAAAACGGTTAGCATCGATGCAGAACTAATTGATCTATATCAATTAGTTAAACCGCTTTAAGAAATTTTTTTATGTATCTCGCAAACATTATTGTCTTACTAAAAAAAACGAATAAAAGTTTGTTTTTCACATGCAAAAGCTTTTTTCTTTTTTATTGAGTTGAATTGAAGTAATATGTGTAGGTCTACATGCGACCTAGTGATTTAATTGTATTTAAAAGTGAACTAACCTCGATTTTCTTCATCCAAGAGTTTGCGTTATGGACTTGCTCATTCAACCAACCGTTAATAACGGCGTCTTGCCTCTTAAACCTATTATTAATCTTAGCCACCTTCGCCGTCTGCCACGCCGTTATCTTCGCATCCACCTCCTCCCTCTTCACCCTCTGCACCGACGCAGTCGCCACCATATGGTTCTGACCACCTGATGACGTCGTCGACACGATATTCTCCGAACCGGCCCGGTTATTATCGTATCCGTCCGGTACAATCGCCCATGGATTCGAATCTTCCTCAGGCACCTCATGATGACCACCACCACCACCATCAACGCCATCTTCATCTTCGCCGATCCTTGTCATCAGCTCGTTCCTTTCCACACGTATGACGTCACGGTTACTGTTATTCCCGTTGTCCATGGAAGAGCCAGCGATGACTAGAGCGTTGAACTCTCTGCTCACGGTGGTGAAATTCTCGCCGGAAGAAGAAGTTCCGTCGCTGAAATTCATCGACCTCGACGGAGACAAGTGTTCTCTCCTTTGATGTGGCCGAGGAAGCTCCGTTGTGGTCATCGCGTGGATATCTCTCACGACGGTCTCCGGCGGCGTGTCGTCCCGGCGATCGGTACTTGTGGATGTCTCCGTTGACCTCTCATGATCGTACAAAGTCAACATCAGAGATTCAGAGTTGTAGTAGTTGTAGACTGTAATTAGTTCGATGCTTAGCTCTGGTTTTAATTAGACGATGCAAGAGAAGAAACGAGGCACGGAAATAAATAATCAAATGATTACGACTTAATAATTTGGGTAACGAATTGTTTACATGAGAGGTGAAATGTTAACAAGTGTAAAGTCTTTTCCATGAAAGCTACGTTCGTCCAGTAAGTAAGCGACTATATATGCATTTGTATTAATGTATTATGCAGACGTGTTCTTTGGCTCTTTGCAGATATTTAAGCGAGAGACTGATTAATTAATTATGTGGAGATTAAATAATACGTCCTTGTAATGATTTTGATTAGAACACTTTTAACCTAAATTCTGTTCAATTTTTTTGTTTATTCGATACTATTATGGCGATTTCATGTTGCGATAGAGAGGTTTCTCTTTTTGTATTTTTACAAAAGGGAAAGAAAAACATAAATTATCTTTGTAAGAGGAGTGTCGGCAATAGGGGACCCGCCACGAAAAATGAGATAATGCTTGTGGACCAAGCTTTGGACTAACACGTGTCTTCCCGTAACAAAGATTATCTACGTGGCTCAATAAGAGTGGTAGGGTATTCCCGCCAAAATAAGCTACACACGTCAGCTTCGTTAATGTGCGCGGAGATCCCACTAGGAAAATGCCACGTACTAGATTAGATATCAAGTCAGACTCTTGTTTGTCTAGTTTTTTTAAGTAATCTCACTACTAATTATATAACTTTCTTATAATATTCTGATATATTGACCCAAATTAGAATTTTTATTTTGAAAAAATCACAAACATTTTAAATTAAAGGACTCATACCAACAGATAACATTACAATAAATACAATTAAACATTAGGCAAATAGTGAAATAGATTATGGTTTATACTTAATAAAAACTCAACAAATCAGAGTGGCGCAGCGGAAGCGTGGTGGGCCCATAACCCACAGGTCCCATGATCGAAACCTGGCTCTGATATTAATTTTAGTTAAAACTTTTTTGAAATATTAGTTTGTCAAAAAAGGTAGATCAAAGTTGTTTCTCATAAAATGCAAACGCCACTAGTATCTGTTTTGTAAGGCTAAGGCATAAGGAAGGAGTTATTGTTGCCCACAATAAAAGGGTTTACTAAAAATTGGGCCGAAGAGGGCTACTAATTACTGCAGTTTCACCAGAGCCCAATCAAGTAACCCAACTAACATAGTTTAGTCATGAATTATGATCATGTGAGCCTCAATGTGTGTTTGATATTGGGTATGAGTGACTATGTATGTATCTTGTTTTTGGTTGACACATCGTAGAATGAAACTGACAGATACCAATCAAAGTTAGGACTGTTAGAAACTTGTCAACGTAAAAAATAAAAAACTTGAATTTCCGAAACAACTCAAAACTAAAATGATGTCACATTGACGTTGCAAACACGTTAAGGTTGGTATCCGTAAGGAGACCAAGTCCTAGTCCACGACGTTGTGACTCATACATTCATCTTGACTAGTAGTGTTATACATTATCTTTTGGTTTACAAACAAAATTAGTAATAAACCAAATTGAAATGGAATCTATTATTTTTGATCTTTTTGGTACAATTTTAGTTTGAATCTGGTTTTGAAATATATATTTTTGTTTATTTTGTGTTCCTCCATCTCGTAGAATCAAAGTACTCAGCCGAAATTTGTGATACAGAAATGTCCGGTTTCTAGGCAATATCTCTATAAACATGTTTACATTTCGTCTTCTGCCTGTTTTTTCAAGCTACATTACCCACATTTTCAGCCAAAACAAACCTTCGCAGCCGTTCGAGCTCGAGCTTGACCAAACTCGATTGTCATGTCATATTGCCGACGGAGTTCACACGTCTTGTAAAAGTGTTTTAATTCATTGATCGTGGATAATAATATTCTTTACCCAAATGGTCATAGTGGACTCGTCTTCGTACAAAGTATTGGAATAACGGAGAAGGGAATGTTAAAATACAAAAAAGAATGAGGACAAACTTTGTTTTGAGGTCCTTATCCACTTTCCAATGTTCAAAATTGGAGGATTGATGGTTTGGTCAAAACCATGTCATGTTTGAATGGAAGTTTGAATCTTTGGGGACAAAATCCCATGTTTCTAACCAATCCCATATGGCCTTGTCGAACATTATTGGTCCAGTTTCACATTTTACGTAACTAATTAAATTAAATGTTAACCTCTTCTATACGTTAACTCACTATAATTCTCTTTTCTTTTAGTCGTCTCAAACTCTTCAAAATTCTACCACTTTTGGCTTCTCTTCCGAAAATGTTGCTTTCAGTCATTTCCATGATTCTATTTTTTTGGGTGTAAATGTTAAGAGATATCCATGATTTTTTAACCAGTGGTTTGAATAGTGAAAATGATTGTATCAACAGTCTCTGCTCGACATTGGTCAAATAGATTTGCAAGTCCAAGTCCATTTCTTGCACAATAGAGGTAAACTTTAAAATAGTTGAGACTTTCTCCACATCGATTATATTTTTCTTTTTGTGAGCAAAACTTTTTAATGTAAAGATACATGATCAAAATTAGTTATTTTGGACTATTATTATTGTAATGCATCAAAACTATAAAAAAAATGTTAAAGAAAATACAAAAAATTGCTGTTTTTTTTTTTCATGAAGTTCACACTTCACACCACTTAAATATCAATTTTATTTTAACAAAAAGCATAGTATATAGTTGACACAAATTATGTATTGGTTGAAGTTAAAAATAAAATTGACATTTAAGTGGCATTAACTTCATGAAAAAACAACAATTTTTTCCTTTGTCTTTTTTAAATTATTTTTATGATTTTGATGCACACTACAAATAATTAATTATCTTTTATTTTTAGAATATTATTTTATTTAATTATAAAAGAAGCTCCGAGATTTCCTAGAGGTAGCTTTCCTCACACCGTCACGGCCGCTTGTCTCCAAGTTGTCTTGGGACTTGTCGACGATGCACAAATATATATTCTTCGCCTAAATTTCCAGAGAGATATATCGATTGCCCAAAAACTGAATCTTGTTGTTGAAAAAGCTCCCCAAAAACTTGCTTCTCAATTCTCTCCTCTGCCCCTTTTCGCCGATATAAAAATACACATCCTCTCAACCCAATTCGATCCAAAAACGTTCTCTTTCCTCAGCGTTTTCCGGTGTTCATATTCGAGGTAGGAAAAAAAAAAGCATTCTCTGGGCTTAATTTCTATAGATCGTTTTCATTGCTCTAGGCCGAGATCTGTGTTTACGTTTCCAAAGTTTCGTGTTTTAATATGATGATTTCTGCATTTGGGTTTTTGACTGTTTCTGCAGAATAAACGAAAAAGGTCTCAACTTTTTTGTTTCTATATAATTTGAGATTTAGAAGAAACCGTTTGTTTGTTTTGATCTCTGAATTTTTGTGCTTGTGCCATTGCTCAGGCTGAGTTGTTGTCTTCTTGGAAGGCGTAGAAAACCTCTATGGTGAGCCTCTTTTGGCGCGATTCACTTCGTTGCTCTTCTCTCTTCATAAAATTTCTCACATTTTTTTGAATGATTTTATTGTTGTTAGGGAGAAGCACCAGCTTTCTTTGTGGACCACCTGGAGAACGGACACACCAATGGCTTTGGTGTAAAACCCGAACCCAAAAACAGAGATACATCAGTCCATATTGGGGATCGATCCGTAAGCCTCTCAAATTTTGATGCTTTAGAATGTGAAATTGGGGTCTTGATCTGATCTTTGAGGTTTTACCTTTTTGTTGCAGTATGTGATTGGTGGAATTCATGAAGGGAACCCATTGTTCCTTGGAGTTCAGATTCATGACAAAATCACCAACAAATGGTGTGTGTTGTTCATTGATCTATTAATTTTCTCTTCCATTAGTTTGGAACCTTAAAGATTTGAATTTTGAAGCCGAATTGGGTGCGTTTCAGGTCTAGTCCTACTGTTCTTGGTACCGGCCCTAAACCCTGCAAAGGTTACTCTGCCATTGTTCTCAAACAAGGTCGGATTTTGGTTATCAAAAAAGGCTCAGCTTCTGATGACTCCATCTGGTTCCTCGAGGTTAGTGTTTGGAGATATTGATAGACTTTTGGGTGTTCTTAAACCTCTAGTTCTCATATGGTTTGAGTATGCCATTGTAGGTGGATAGTCCTTTTGTCCGGGAGCAAAGGAAGTTGTTGGGAAGAGAGGTTGTTGCATGGAGCAAAGGAGTGAGAGGGAATGCAGAGAAGCCTATCGTTATAAGCGGTCCTTCTGGAGTTGGCAAAGGAACGCTTATAGCGATGCTTATGAAAGAGTTTCCTTCAATGTTTGGGTTCTCTGTGAGCCACACAACTCGAGCTCCGAGGTGTATGGAGAAGAACACTGTCCATTACCATTTCACTGATAAGTCAGTTATGGAGAAAGAGATCAAAGACGGCAAGTTTCTCGAGTTTGCTTCTGTTCATGGTAATCTATACGGAACCAGCATTGAATCTGTTGAAGTGGTAACAGATTCAGGAAAGGTATAACAACAAAAGATCATTACTTGTCTCATCTTCTCATGCATTTGATCCTAAAAAGTGATTCAAGTTCCTTTTTTTTTTGTCTGTGTGTAGAGATGTATTCTTGACATTGATGTTCAAGGAGCGAGGTCTGTGAAAGCGAGCTCTCTTGATGCGATATTCATATTCGTATGTCCTCCTTCAATGAATGAGCTTGAGGATCGTCTTCGTGCCCGGTAAAAAATCAGTCTTTTTTACCATATGAGTTGGTTGTTTCTTGGAGATTATTCTGAATTTTCAAATGTTGGAATAAAAAACAGAGGAACGGAGACAGAGGAGCAGATCCAGAAGCGGCTTAGGAACGCTGAAGCAGAGATCAAAGCTGGGAAATCCTCAGGGATTTTTGGTCATATCTTGTATAATGACAACCTTGAGGAGTGCTACAAGAACCTTAAGGTGACTTTACTTTCCTTTTGTTATGAACAAATTGCTCTCTTAAACCGGTGCCATTTTCAAACAACAATGGCTCTCTCTGTTACAGAATCTCTTGGGAATAGATGATTGCGCTCCTGTGAATGGCGTAGAAGGTAGTAGAACCGTAGAGTAGACACAATGTATTATATATGGATTGTGGTAAAGAAAGTAAGCTTATCAAGTTTTGTGATTGTTTTTTGATAAAAGCAGTAGAAGGGATCAATCTTCCCAAGGAGCATACAGTAACAAAGATGGAAGATAAGATTTTGATTAAAGAAACGGGAGAAGTGACCAAGAGCAAGATGTAAGTACACGATTTATGTTGTTTGTTTTCTTAATGAAATATCTGTAGAGTTTGCTAATGAAAGGTCTTTTGGTGAGCAGGATCGTGTTGGATTTATCTTCGATTAACGGTGGAGCACCGGGAAGAACAAGAGGGATCGTTCTGGATACGGTCAAGTCCAGTTAACAAAGAGCCTTTTTCTTCATCCGTGGAAAAGCCAAAGAGAAAAACATTTAGATGATGATGATGATTATGATGAAAGATTTGTTTTTTTTTTACTGAAAATACTTTTAAGGCTTTTTCGCGGTTGAGAAAGGTAGTGTTATGCGTTCACTAGATAGGCACTGATGATGATGATTATGGTGGTTACTATGATTAAACAAAAAGACATGATCTCTTTTTCAGAGAGATGATGAAATAAGATTTTTTTGTTCCTTTTACTCATTTTAATCTAAATCTTGAAAGAATCTATTCTTTTGGTACTATTAGGACATAAAAAAGGTTGAAATCGCTGCAAATGTTTTTTCTTGAGATTCTCCAACTCGAATAGGACAGACAGAGGAAAATTAATTACGAATTTGGGGATATATGAGATTGATCCCACCAAAACAGTGTTTAGTATTCGTACAGAGACTCTGAGATTTTCTTGGACAAAAGGATGATGACAGTTAGTGCCAGTTTACAGTTGAAAATGAGCCAATCAAGTAAAAGCAAAGCATCTCTCAATAAGAGAAAGAAAAAGACAAAGCTATAAAAAAAGAGAGCAACTTGTGGGACTTTAAGACCTAAATGGGTCGTCCAAAGACTGCAACTTGCATTGATTCGTGGGTCCGGAGTCGGTGACAGTACAATTGAAGGAAGTTTCGTCTTAGCCCACCACGGTTTCACTTTAGTTAAAGAAGACGACAGTGATGCATCTCCAACCACAACCACACGTACTTGTCACGTGACAATGTTATAAGCGTGTGGCCAATATTCCCAATCATACCACTTGCACTGAGTGGTCAGTACACAGATCTTTCTTTGGTATAACGCTTGGTCGAACGACATAGGAGAAGACAAATATTGGGCTCAAAGAAAGCCCAATACTAAGGCCCAACTCATCCGTAATCCCCGAGTTTCGCTTGAAATAACTAATTTATTTAGTGATATGATAATCATTGATTGTATAGAAGATTATTCCTTTGGAATTTATATATATCTTTGATCTCTTTCTATTTTCGCAGAGCGTATTAGCATCCGATTTCAGGGTTTGACTAAGAGAAGTTATAGTTAGAGGTCCTGATCCAGTCATGGCGGGTGCAGTAGTGAGTTATCTGAGATCGGTTTGTTCAACTCGCGTGGGTGTTATCAATGTAATTTCCATAGCGTGGTTACCATTCCTAGGTTATATCTACGTACAGCAGGAAAAACGCTTTGCTGTAATTGCAGAGCAAGAGAAATTGGTTAATGCGTGCTTTGCTGACTTGAGAGCTAGAGGAATAATGATCCGAGAGCGGTGATCAGGTCACAGATTTTCCAAAAGGGGTGTTTTTGTTTTTTTCCTTTTAATTACTTTTTTTTAATCTGTTATCCATCTATGTTTCCATTAAATAAAATAAATCTTTCCATTTATCTGTTTAAGAGATGATCATAATCATCTCATCATCATCTATGATCTATCCCATGGATAGGATTTCTCTGTTTGGCAACTATGGTACCGGAAGTCAGAACAAAACATTGTTATCCAAAATAGAAGGTCAAAACAAACATAGCCTAATGTTATAAAAAAAAACATTGTCGTTGATCTATACAGAACCAGCATTGAAACCGTCGTTGTAAAGAAAGACAAGGCTATATATACCTATATGTAAAAAATAGACCAACTTGTGGAACTTTAGAGAAGTTTCATCGTAGCTAGCCCACCAGATTTTCACTTTGCTTAAGAAAATCGTCCATCTCCATTCACAACCACACACACTTGTCACAATATGTACTATATGAGAAGAAACAATCTCTGATGTCCGTATGAGAAGAAACAATCTCTGATGTCCGTTGATGTATGCAAGGTGTCGTGGTAAAAACAGTTTACCTTAAAAATGAAATTCGAGAAAGAGAGGTGAAAAATACAACAATTGAGAGGAAGGGAAACTCTTCAAAGTGTCTCTGAGTTACAAAAGAGAAAGATGAAGATAAGACTCAAACCACTAATAATAATTGCCAAAAAAAAAGTTGTTTATAAGACTAAAAGTAAGATGAAGGCAAAGATTTGATATCTTATAAATGGAACAAACAATGCCATTATTCAAAATACAAACAAAAAACTAAAAATGATTATCCGGTAATCATAGTTCCGGCTCCTTCATCAGACATAATCTCATGAAGCAGAGAATGTTGTCTCCTTCCATCAATAATACTCGCCGTCTTCACTCCCTGAGCAATCGACCTTATGCAACACTTCACCTTCGGAATCATCCCACCAGCAACTTTCCCATCTTCAATCATCTTCTTCACTCCTTTGATATCAATCTCCTTCACCAAGCTACTCGCATCCTCCTTGTTCTCCAATATTCCCGCCACGTCAGTCAGCAGAATCAGCTTCTCTGCTCCCAGCGCCGCCGCGAGCTCTCCCGCCACCGTATCAGCATTGATGTTGTAAGCCTGCCCGGCTTCATCGGCGGCGACGGAGGCGATCACTGGAATGTAACCGTAATCAACGAGTGGACGCAACACGTTCGGATCGACTCTTGCAACTTCACCGACGAAACCTAACTGAGCCGAATTGGGGACAGGTCGCGCAGTGAGAAGACGGCCGTCGTGTCCCGACAGTCCCACGGCGGTGGCTCCGGCTGCGTTGATAAGAGATACGAGATTCTTATTGACTTTTCCGACTAGGACCATGGAGACGATCTCCATCGTTGTGGCGTCGGTCACGCGAAGTCCGTCGCGGAACTCTGCTGGGATGTTGAGTTGTTTCAGGTAACGGTTGATATCGGGACCTCCGCCGTGAACTAGGATCGGACGGAGGCCAACGCACGCGAGGAGAACGAGATCGCTGACGACGGAGGCTTTGAGCTCCGGCGAAGTCATGGCTGCGCCGCCGTATTTGACGACGATGGTTTTCCCGCGGAATTTCTGGATAAAGGGGAGAGATTCGGAGAGAATCTCGACTCTGTAATCCGGCGAAGGTGCATTTGCGGTTCCGATTGTAGGCGGCGCCGATGTGGATGCATTGATCGATAAACCTAGACGCTGATGGTGATTGCGATTTGGGAAGCAGAGAGATGGAGATTTGGGGATCAGGGATTTCAGAGGATTGGAAACAGAGAAGGAGAAGGATTTAACCGGCGCATTGGATGTGACGGTGGCCATATCTGGACTTACCGGAGGAGAATGCGGCGGCGGCGAGTAAACTAAAGCGAGAGACTCTCTTTCTCAGGCTTTCTCAAAAATTATCAAATGATGTAGAGATGTCAAACATTTAATTAACCAATAAGGGTTACCCACGTGGACCGGAACTCAAAGCCTGTCCTAACCCTAGGTATCTTACGACGCCGTTTAGAGCATATTATAACGTCATTGCCCAAAAACGGCATGGTTTATTTGTCAGGTCCAAACGTCGTCGTTTATCTTGCAGCGGGAATAAGCTCGATTTCTCGTTCTTCGTCGTCTTCCCTGACATTTGTTACAAATTAGACTAATTGTAATCGGAATTGCCAATTATTCACACTAGCGGGGTTGGATTGGAGTGTGATGGAGCGATCGGAAGATGAATTGATACGAAGAGCAGAGCCGGAGTCTTTGGTCTCCGTCACGGTCGGGAGGTTCATGAGTACTCTGCTCTCTACTCGCCCTAAAAAGCTACGGGAGTCTATTTCTCGTCTATCTCCCGATTCTCAAAAGGGTTCCTCTGGTAAGTCGTTTGCAATATTTGTCTCTGTATGAGTGCTTTTAGAAATGTTGCGTCTTCTATGATGGGGTTTTTTAATCCGTCTGTCTTCTATGGCTGTGTCAGGCTCAGTTGATGAGGCTCTCTGGTTTCTGGAAAAGTGCGTTAGAGACGCTGCTGAGAGAAACGAAGCAATGGGTGAAGTTCTTGTTCCAATCATCGAACACGTAATTTCTAAAACCTTTGAAAAACCCTGTTTAATTGTTGAAATGTCCGGTTCTTACTGGTTTGTATAATCTTTGTTTGCTGTTGTTGTTGGTTTTAGACGTTAAGGTTTCAGGATTCTAAGCATGGAAACCCAGCTATGATACTTCTGAATTGGTTGTTTCAAGATGAAATTCGCTTTCAAGCCATTTCGAGAAACCTTTCCAAAATTATTTCGAGGAATGAAGATAAGTTTTTAGCGCTCGGATGGTGTTTACTTGTCCGTGGTCTTGTAGAATCCGTGGATAATGGGGATCAAAGTTTTTGGAATGGTGAGCATTATAATCATCCTTGTTACTATATAGACAAACTGTTTAATTTTGGTTATCTCTCTTGGGAGAAAAGAAAAGACTTTCCATATTCTTAGCTCACTTGATTTACGTTATGTACTTTCATGGTATTCCCTTTTGACAGGAATATGGGAGAAACATTCGATTTTCGTGGAGATTATTACATCTTGTGTGCCTCACTTGTTGATAATTGTACGCAATGGAAGGTATAATAAAACTGATATCATCTCCTGTTCAGTTGGTCCTATTTGTTTTTGGTTCTCTAGTTTTAAGTTTTGATAAATTACTCATAGTACACTAGTATGTTTGTATGGAGTAAGTTTCTTCACTTGTATACATAGTCACTTCCACCTAGTTTTGAGCTGTTATTTTGTTTAGCGTTTTGCAGGATGGATATGAGGTGCCATCTCGACTATCTGTTTCTGCAGCTGATTGCTTGCTGTCAATCACTGGAGCCTTAGCAAAGAAGGATGATACTCTGAAGCCATCAACCAGTATGGGATCTCACCGACCGGTTGCTTTGATACCTAATGTTAGTGAGAAGAACAAAAAGCAGACTTCTCGACCTGAAGACTCAAACAGTGAGGAAAATTGCTTACTGTGGAACCACCTGGAGGAGCTGAGACGCCTTGTACAGTGTCTCTTTGGTGTATGTTCACTGATCCATTTAAATATGCGTATTCCGTGGTCTTTATTCTGAATTGATGAAGTTATATTGACAAAAATTCCTTCCAGTGGAACAGAAAAACTCGAGTACTGCATGCTAGGGGGTTAAGTCAAGTGCTGAAGTGGTTAGAGGTGTTAAAAGAGCATCATGGTGTCTCCCAAAAGGAGGCAGGTCTTTGACTAATGCCACATGCCCTGGTTCATTTCCGTTTCTGTTTTCGATTCTTGCTTATCAAAAGTTTTGGTCATACCTGGAATCTAGGCACGGGGGTACCTGCGGATGGAGCTCGGCTGCTCTCTAATTGTTGGAAGCATTATAGTGTCTTGCTCCACATGGAAGATCAGAAGTTTTCAAAGATTAGCAAGGACTTGTTGGAGCAATACTTGTCTGGTATTAAGGTTAGACATAATTGTCAATCTTCTTTGATTCAAAATTGTGGTAGGGATAACTAATTAGTGACTTTGTACTACATGTAGGATTTACCGTGTCCATATCTACATCTGCTGTATATGTTTAAGTTCTCTGACCTAGTTTTGTCTAAGACTAAACAGATTTTATGTCATTGCCTTCTAGTTTTTGTTCTTTGTTAAGAAGATAGAAATGTGCAAGTAACATATAGTATAATCTACTTGATACTTAATGGAATGTGTATGTGTTTGCATGGTATATAAGTGAGTTGATATGCTCTGGAGTGTCTAATTCACGCTGGATACCTTTATAAGCTATAGAGAGAAAAGTTGTAGATGCTGTATTGGTAAAGAGCTACTAGCTTTCTGTTTTACCTCTGGTTAGTGTTTTTCAGTTTGATTGGGTTTGTAAGAAGCTAATAGCATTAAAAATGATGCAGTACTTGTTTTATTGCTTCTCTAGTTTCTTGCTCTTTCTCTTGCTTTTTTATCGATTGGGTCATCAGAAAGCTAATAGTGATAAAAATGCTGCAGTGTTATTCGGAAAGTAATTCTCAGGGACGTTCTGACACCAAGACTGGTAGTATAGAGACACAGAAGTTTTTCCTGAATTGTTTATGCCTTTTGTTGGGCCGCTTTGAGGGAAAGAAATTTGAGAGCATACTATCAGGGTATGGAATGACGCTTGTGCCTTGTCTTCTATATCAGGTATCATTCCCCAATTACAGGAATTTACAGGAATTTCTGTTGCAGTTGTATAGGCTGGTTGCTAGAAGATTATCCTTATATAGAGGTTTCTACTTATAATATTGGTTCTGCTTCATTGCTGCTATGATTATAACGTATCCTGATAAAATTAATCTTGAAGTATAGTATATATACCCATGTGATCATTTTAGTACTTACATTCTTCCTTTGCCTTTGAAGCTTCGCAGTAACAATGAAGAGATATCAGAAGGAGTTGTTGCTATATTTAAATCAGTTATCTTTAAACTACAATCTCAGTCCGGAGACGGCATCTCTGATACAATGTGCAAGGACTTTGTTATACCATCGCTGCTTCTCCTTCTTGATGAGAGAGATGTCGCGGCCAAAGCTGCTAGTGTCCTCCTGGCAGACTTTTGTTACAAGTATGTCTATTCTTGCTTTCCCTTCAATGCTAAATCACAAACCTAGCTGTCTAGTTACTAGTTATGGTTCCTAGTTTGTCTGCTTGTTGTTTTCTGACTTAAAGAAACATTCACCAGAAATGCAGGAGATAACGGTCTCAGTGAAGTTCTAAAACGCCTTGTTTCTGGAACTACTGTGCAGAGGCAAAATTCTATAGATGTGATATCAGAACTAATCCTCCTGGCAAAAGATTCATTCCCTTCTCATATACCCTGGTATGCAATCATTTGTGTTTTTTCGTCTCAATTATCTTCTTTAGTTCCTTCATTTTAATTTCATTCTCATGCCTACAGAAGTCAGAACTTATTTTCTGCATTTATTTCAGGAAAAAGATTGCGGACTTGCTATTAACGTGCCTTGGAGATGAGGAAACTTATATCCGTAAACAAACTTCAGACTTGCTGAAGTCCATTGGTTGGTCTTCTGGCCTCTCTTCATTTTATAAGATGAATTTCAAAAAGTTTGTTGAAAGTAAACCAGTGTTTGTTGAAAGTAAACCAGTGTTTTATTCAGATGAGAAAACTTGTTAAGATCCCAATTTATGGGGTCCAAGACTTGTTGTTCCATATCCCGATAGAGTTTTACGTCATTTGATAACATTTATTTTCAACTTTCCCATAGAATCTAGACATCAACTGCGTGATCATGATTGTTTTTTTCTTCCAGAGCCATCTTTCGTACTACCAGATTTGGTAACACTCATTTATTCAACCAATGGAAAAGTACAATCATCAGCTACAGAAACATTGATTGGGGTCCTTAAGGATCATAAGGAGGATTCTGATGTCATATGCATGCTGCTGACCTGTCTAAGGTATCATGATTTGTTTTTTTTCTCCTTTTCCCCACGTATACGTAGTTGTTTGTTTCATACTTGATATTGACATGACTACCGGATTGGGTTTTCTATTTTCAAAAGTCTTTTCTGCTTCTGATCTCTTCTTTTCTCATCTAGCAGTGCTCAAGCTTTAGATACTTCAGAAAGTAATGGAAATCCCATAGAAGGTATTCGGTTTCTTATCTCATTACCATAGGCTATAACATAATTTGTGATAATATTTCATTTTGTTGCTTTTTGGCCATAAACATTGGTCTTATATATGCACAACCAAAAGTAAGTTGGAGAAGATATAAATTAATGGAATGTGAAAAAAATAACGATGGAATTATATGTGCTAGTTTGTTGCTGAATTACTAACTGGACACTGTCAAGTTTTCCTCTGGCGAGTGCATGCTCATCTTCTTTTTGTACTGTTGCAGGTTCAACTTTTGACAGTGATCGAGTGCTAAAGCTGATCCCAGAGTGGGCTAGAAGTGTAAGTACCACAATATGTCATGGTTGCTAAATTGTTTGCTATCTTTGAAATGAACTCTGTTTTCGTTTAGTAAGTGCGTTTTAGGCACCATTTACTAACTGTTCGTAGCACTACTAATTGAAAAAAATCAAATAAATACAAACTTTCAGGCGTTGAGTGTTCCTGTTACCTTCTCATCTAATTATGTTATTGTGTATCTGCTATGCAACTCTTCACATAGCTTGTGCCAGCTATCATTAGGCAATTAGAATATTTTCCTGCTTGTTGATTGACATAAAAAAAATCCTTACAGGTCCAAAACTGGAGCTCACTGATTGGACCATTGCTTGACAAGATGTTTTTCGAGCCATCCAATGCCATCATGGTTAAGTTTCTTAGTTGCATCAGTGAACATTTGGCAGATACATCGGACATGGTCCTTCTGCATGTACTATCACGTGTGAAGGAGCAAAACAAGTAAGTAAAAGTTCTCTTAGAAATGTAACAACTCAAAATAGAGCAATATACTCATTATTAATCTGATTTCCGTGGTAAGAAAAACTTCTAAAATACTCCGAAAATGTAAAATGTTGATCATTTTATGGTAGGATGGATCTCATTTCCAGATCTGATACCAAAAGTTTCATTGACAGAAAATTGGAGAATTCGCTATTTGATCACCTTTGCCCACTGCTTATATTACGGCTGCTTCCCCAAAGAGTGTTTGATAATATTGATTCCTCTTCAATTTATGGTACATTCCTCAGTGGAGACTCTGTGAATGGTATGTATGCTTATGCCTTTGATTTCCTTTTACTGATAAGAGAAGAGTGGATGTTTTTATTAAGATCGGTTGAAGCTTTTTGTCAATTAGATTCAATGTTTTAGCTTTCTTTAGATCAAATTTGATTACCGGGGTGGTGCAGAGAGGCAATCTTAGACTTAATTCACCATATCTATTTCTTTTCATGTGGTATTTATCAGAGTATCAAGACATCAAGTTTGAGGATTGTCAATGCATCGCTGCTTTCCTTTTGGAAAGGTTATTTTACTCCACAATGATCGTCAAATATCATTTACATCAATACTTATTTGATATCTAACAAACTAACTCTCCTGGTTCAGGGCATTTTCTAAGTTAGAATTTGAAGAAGTTCGGAAACTCGCTGCCGAGCTTTGTGGACGTCTCCATCCCCAGGTATTAACTCGCTTCAGTCAATCTTTTGTAAATGCTTGCATATGTCTTTAGCCTCTGTTTTAATGCACTTCAATTTTCACCCGTCATAATACTAGACTCTGTTACTAAGGAGAAACTCTTGTTGCATTAGATATCTGAAAAAGTCTAAATGCTTGACTTCAGTTTTACTTATACAACAGTTTAGTTAACTCCTTCATTTTCAAAAGTTGTAATTTTCTGGCACTTTTGTTCAACAGGTGCTATTTCCAACTGTTTTGCTGCATCTTGAAAAAGCCACAGAGTTGCAAGACAGCCTCAAGATTAAAGCTTGCCTATTCTCTATATGCACATCCCTTGTGGTAATATTTTCATCTTTTATTTTCTATCTGTGCATCTCCGGCGATCCCTGTTGCCACTTGTTTGATACATTATTGATTGAATTATTTCCGTACCTTACAAACTTTCCATCGCTTGCAGGTTCGGGGCTGGGAGTCTTTCTCACACAGTGCGATACCTAAGATCAGGAAAGTCCTGGAAAATATTTTGTTATGGCCTTCTGATGAGAACGAAAGTAAGACACTTGCTACTACTCAACTTTGGTTACTTTTCTTCAGTCTCTCACGTCATGGCTACTATCTATCCATGCAGTTTCTAAAGTACAACATGGATGCATAGATTGTCTGGCATTGATGATATGCGCTGAACTACAACATCTTGAATCTTCAAAAGCATCCAAAGGAGAAAAAATACGTACAACAGTGAAGAAGGACACATCTGGTTAGTATCGCTGTTGTATGTATGTGGTGTTGATAATGTTTTCTTTCCAGACTTGCTTATAAATTATATCCTGATCTTTAGGTGTTGATGCGTCAAGTAATTCTGTCCTAGATTACACGATCCACTGTTTAATTGAAGACGGAAGTGAACATTCAATTGGGGAAAAGCGTCTTCCTGTTCAGTTTCGTCTATGCATGGCAAATGTGCTCATCAGTGCTACTCAAAAAGTCCCCGAGTCTGCCAAGAAGACTTTTGCTCAAAAATCTATTCCGCTTCTTGTTCGATCCCTCAAGGTAAACATTTGACGGCGTACAATTGTTTTTTGATTATGGTCAAATCTGTTTGTATCTTGTCATAGTTTTCCACAAAATTCCTGAATCTGGTGCAGGTCATATCTGCGCCTGAGGTCCGTGCAGCTTGTATCCAGGTCCTATTCTCGGCCAAGTACCATTTCAAGTCCACAATTCTCCTCCCTTATTCATCCGATCTGCTGAAACTTGCCCTGAGATTCCTTGAACAAGGATCCGATAAGGTACTACAAGACACTCGAACTTGATTTCTTACATGTGAACTGGAAGTAGACTGCTCTCAGAGTATCACTATCATCCTCATATGAATCTTGTAGAAATTCATGTTATGAGCTGTCGTTTTCGTTCCACATGAAACTTGTGATTCCTGTGACTTGTGTGTGTCCACATTTCTCAATCCCTACAGTCCATATCTTGAATTGTCTGCATATGAAGTCGAATATTTCATTGATGCCTGCCTCGGAGTTTACGCTTATGTGCGGAAGTCGAATTATTCTCGTGCTGTTGTGTAGGAAAAGCTAGCGGGAGCAAAACTGATGGCATCACTCATGGCGAGTGAAGAGGCGATACTGGAGAGTATATCGGAGGGATTGCTCGAAGCAAGATCAGTTCTGTCCAAAGCATCTTTGTCAGATCCTTCTCCACACGTACGTGAAGTCTGTGCTAAGCTATTGGCGTGCTTAATGCCCTCGTGATGTCTTTTTTTTATATATATATTTTTTCTCAATAAGATCAGATTATCGAATATTAGATTCGACTTTTCTCACTTTTTGTTTTGTTCTCATGTGACGAAGAAGTTGGTATGTGGATATGTGGTGTTGTATGGTATGTTGACAAAATATTTGTAATGCATGTTAACAGTTAACGAATTCAAATTATAAGGATGTAAATTAGTTTATTTGGACCGAGAACAAAAATATGTGAATTAAGTTATTCTAGATTCAAACACCATTTACCAACAATGGTTATCTTATTGAAATTATCATTAAATATAAACATTTATTTTTGATCAAAAACTCATTCATATGGTCATAAACTCATATTATAGTAACAGAAATTGGTTAATTAAGTAAATGGATTTAAGGGACATTGTCGTTTGGTTAAATGTGAACATAAGAGGGAATGAGCATGGGATAAATATGAATGGAGCGGCGCTTAAATCTGAAATCTCTAAAAGACTAAAAAAAACTTGATTTCGCTCTCACGATCGGACATGTGATTCTTATGTGTGTGTTACTCGTGACTTTTGCCTCTCTTTTCCATGTCCTTCCAATTCTCCTCCTAAAGAATAAATATTAAAACCCAAAAGCTTTAAAGTGATTTCAAGAAAAGAAAATTAAAATCCAAACACACCCCATAAATTGAAAATGTATCAAAACTAAAATAAAATAAACAATATTTTGCTAGTATTTTGGGTTGTTTTCTTACTTCTAATGCAATCCTCAAAAGTGGTCTTTTGTTCAAAACTTCTAAAGCAATAATCAGAAGTGGATAATGATAATGGGATTACGACTGTTTGAAATGTAGGGGACATCTACAGCTAGGGATTATTTATTACATAGTTTTAGGCTAAGGTATAATTAGATAAATAAATGGTTAAAACATAAAAGACCCTTTATCCGACAAAGAAAAAAAAAGACGCAGAAAAAGACTTATATTTTCCGAAAATAACAGAAGATGAAAAAGCAACGGTCACATGCGCGGGTGAAAAAAGCAATTCTTCTCGGAAGTGAACGAAACCGTGACAATATTTAAACTCTCATTCTTTCTAAGCTCCATTTATCATCATCCCTCTTCTTCTTCACTCTCAATCTCTCTACACAAATGGAGAAATCATCATCCTCAATGAAACAATGGAAGAAAGGTCCTGCTCGTGGTAAAGGCGGTCCACAGAACTCTCTTTGTCGGTACCGTGGAGTCAGGCAAAGAACTTGGGGCAAATGGGTGGCTGAGATCAGAGAGCCCAAGAAGAGAGCAAGACTCTGGCTTGGCTCTTTCGCTACAGCTGAAGAAGCAGCCATGGCTTATGATGCAGCCGCTCTCAAACTATATGGCTACGAAGCTTATCTCAACTTACCTCATCTGCAGCGGAAACAAGGACCTCCTGTGAGCAACACTCAGAGGTTCAAATGGGTGCCTTCAAGGAAGTTTATCTCCATGTTTCCTTCTCGTGCCATGCTTAATGTGAATGCTCAGCCTAGTGTTCACATCATCCAGCAAAGACTAGAGGAGCTCAAGAAGAATGGACTTTTATCTCGATCCTACTCTTCTTGCTCTTCCTCCACCGAGTCCAAAACTAACACTAGCCTTGCTGATGAGAAGAGAAGCAAGGGAGAAGCAGAGAAGATGTTGGAAGGTGATGGTGATCATGATCGTGATCAGAAGAAGCCAGAGATCGACCTGAACGAGTTTCTCCAGCAGCTAGGAATCTTGAAGGAGAAGAAAAGTCAAGCAGAAGCAAGTGAGGTTGCAGAGAGCCATTCAACGCCGTCTTGGAACGAGCAAGAAGAGACTGTAAGTCCATTCAAGGCTCAGAGTTTCAGCTTGGACACCTTTACTGAGATGCCAAGAAGTGAAACCACGACTATGCAGTTTGATCTGAGTAATTTTGGAAGCTTTGATTTTGAGGACGATCTTGGTTTCCCTTCCATCTGGAACTTCTGCGAAAGCTTAGATTAAGTGGAAGCTACTTCTTTCTTACTGTAGATCAAATTCAGAAGTACACATGTTGTTTCTAGGTTTAGTCTAGTGTAATAGTGTGACATGACATGTATGCTCAGAGTGCAGTCTTTTATTAAGCGGCAATATCATTGAGTCAAGTGTACTTCTGAATATGAACGAGTTGTTCTGTTTTTTTGGGATATTAATGAAGCATGTTCTCTTTTACTCAATACTTTAGCTCAAGAGTTTAATATGTAAAAGTAATTAGAGAAAGCGTTAAACTTCAAGAATTTAACAAACACAGAATTCCTCTTCATTCCAATTATAAGAAACAATGAAACAGATACACTGGTCATTCCAAAGGGGAGTAATAACAACTCTCAAGTAATTTGATGCTTCATCAATGTTTGAAGTCTGTGGAAGAGCCAAGAAATTAAAAAAGCCTAAAACCCTATGATTATGAATCATTTATATATAAGGGCATCACGACCGGGACCAATACCAATGTAATGAATCGGTACACCAACGAGTTCTTCAATCCTCTCAACATATAGCTGTGCTGCCTTTGGAAGATCTTCGTAGTTTCTGATTGAGGATATGTCAGACTTCCATCCAGGTAACATTTCATACTCCACCTACAAACATTTTGCACACATTTTGAGAACATGAAGCTCTGTTTCCCTATGCATTAATGGAGACAGTCAGACACATGTTAGAGAGCTACACTTACTTTCAGTTCCTCGAGAAGACGAAGATCACCAGGGAACGAATCAACACGAGTGCCATCACTCTTCTTGTAAGCCACACCAAGCTGGATCTCGTCCAGGTCAGAAAGTACATCAAGCTTAGTGAGATTCAGCGATGCAAATCCATTGATCTGGCAAGAGAATCTCAACGCAACAAGGTCAAGCCAGCCACACCGACGAGGACGACCAGTTGTTGTGCCAAACTCCTGTCCAGCCAACCTAAGAAGGTCACCACCTGCTCCCAGATTCTCCGTTGGGAATGGACCTGAACCAACTCTTGTAGTGTATGCTTTCACCTGAACAAAACAGTAACAATCAAAACGTATGAGCAACATCAAACGCTACTTGTTTCTTAACAAACATCAATCTATGAGTGAATATATCATGCTTACCACTCCAATGAGATCACCAATAGCTCTAGGTGCAATACCAAGACCTGTGCAGATCCCACCAGCTGACGGACTGGAGGAAGTAACAAAAGGATATGTACCAAAGTCAATATCCAACATCGTAGCTTGACCACCTTCGACCAGAATCTTCTTCTTCTGAGAAATCGAATCGTTAATGAAATGCACCGTGTCTGTTATGTACGGCTCCAACCTCTCAGCATATCTCTTGTACGCTTCCACTTCTTCCCTTAGCATATCCGGAGTGTACTTGAAACCTTCGAACCTCGCCGCTGCATCTGACAGCAAAACGTCAAGCTTCTGAGGCAGAGTCTCCATGTGCCTGAGATCACCAACTCTAATACCGTTCCTGATCACTTTGCTGGAGTAGGCAGGACCAATCCCTCTCTTCGTTGTGCCAATGAACGACTTCGCAAGCTCAGACTCCCTGAGCCCATCAACCTCTTGGTGGAAATCGAACAGCAAGTGAGCACGATCAGAGACCAAGATCCTTCCTTTACAGGAGACGCCGTTGGACTCCAAACCATCAATCTCCTTGAAGAGACCTGGCAAATGCACCACAACTCCGTTCCCAATCACACAAGTCGTGTCCTCGTTCAATATACCAGAAGGCACAAGGTGAAGAGCAAATTTCTTTCCTTCCGAATTGTAAATAGTGTGTCCAGCGTTAGCTCCACCCTACGGTAAGCAAATTCACAAACTTTCATTCAAACAGACAATAAAAACTTAAACTTTGTGTGAACAAATCAATCAGGGAAAAAGAAATTGACCAACTTTTTTTTCTAATTCAACAAATTCAATTCAAATGTTCACAAATCTCAGGTTAAATGGACTCCAGATAGAGAGTTAAGTACTTAAAAATGTAAACTTTACCTGACAGCGAGCAACGATGTCGAAGTGTTGGGCCAAAATGTCGACGAGCTTGCCTTTACCTTCATCGCCCCACTGGCAACCGAGTACACCCGATACTTGACTCAGTGATCCAATCCGTCCGAGAGACTCAGTGGCGGCTGAATCAGCGGTGACGCTGAGTGACGCCGAGACAGTCGTACGTTTAGCAGATAACGAGACGAAGCTCCGAGGATGGTGGAGCGGAGGATAGCGTTGGTTATATGGACCTCCGACGGAGATTCTCGGATTGGAGCCGAGAGAGAGAGAAGAGAGAGACATCCTTGAAGAGAGAGAGAGAGAGAGAGAGAGAGAGAGAGAAAAGTCTTAGGGTTCGCCGGCACTGAGAGTGTATGGAGTAGGCAGACCTTTTTCAAACGGAGTTCAGGTGAACTAAAATGACCATTTTGCCCTTTACATGAAATGTGTTCTGAATCAACAATAAACCGAACCGGACAAAACAAATTAGATTTAGCAAAGAAACCTTCAAACCGATCCATTCGAGTCTTCTTGGTCTCACTCACTCTCACATTAGTCAAAAGCATTAAACCGAAACCCAATTGAATAAATTTCATTTCTAAGTTCAAGTTATCAATTGAACCGAATATGGAATGAACTTAAACCGAGACTAAAACCGGTGTAAACACAAAACAAGAAGCCAAGAACTAAACTGAATTTTTTAAAAAGAAACACTGTTTTGCTTACAAGATATGAATTTGATGGTATACCTAAACTCATAACCCAAGATTATCCCTTTTCAAAAGAATCGATGGCAATGATTCTGCCAAGTGTATATATGTATATGCTTCTGCATAGCTCCTGTGGTATATTTACTTCCAAAGTTCCAAACTTTCTTTTTGTTGAGAAGATTTTGATCAGATGGTTTTCTGAAGACATTCTTGAGGCAATCCGTAATCTTTAGTCTTGTTCAAAACTTGTTGCTCTCGTCTCCATGGATCATTGTGTAGCTTATAATGCAGAGTCTGTATAAAAGTAGCAAAGACATCGTCATGTTTCAGTTTAGAGAATTGAACAGCCCAGTCTTCTTCATGTCCATAACTAGCTTTCTGTCTCTCAGCTTCAAGCAAGATCGAGTCTCGGAACAAGAATCTTTGCCATATCTTCTTTACATTAGCCAGCCTGAATTGTATCTCTGTCTCATTGAATCCCTGTAAGTGAGCTCAAGATTAGAAACAGATTGTTACAAGACTTAAGAGAGAGAGTGGTAAAAAATGATTACTCTGAGAGTGTTAATGAGATTTGGAATGTCATCTTCACTGACACGAACCGCAAAGCTTTCGTAATTCAGCATGTTCTCATAAGGTAAGTAGATTCCATCCTGAATGATGACTGGGACGCATCCTTGTAAGATACTATCTTCCATGCGACCACTCCAACCATCTCCAGGGAACACACCACAGAAGATTGACTTGGCTATGTCCTTGTGGTAATTGTCAGCACGTAATGGAGTGACAATGACATCGTCTGCGTGTTGCTTCCCAAGCTTCCCTTCTTTGTTAGGACTTGAACCAAACTCTTCTGCTAGCTTCTGCCTGATTCCCATACTATACCTGCATTACATGTTATTGGACCGTTACATACTTTTCCACACTATGAATTCTGTTTGAAGTAAAGCAAAGACTTACGAGTCTTCTGGTCTTCCTTTATCATAAGCTGGTCCGAGATTCCCATTGAAGTAAAACAATGTTTTCCGCTTCTCTCGTGGCCTGGTAATAAAGAAACAAAAAAACAAGAAGTTTCAGGTTTTGAGTTCTAAGAGATATGGACTGAAACAATGTCCAAGAAGCATGAGAGATCATTCATACCTTGCCCAGTAATTGGCACGCATGGAGAAAGGATCAGGAACTTTCCAAGCGGGAATGACGAGATCTTTGCGAGGGTCAAAGCAAGGATGGTCTCCTCTCCTCTCATCAGAGATCTGATCCCAGTTATCACCCCAATAAGCTGTTGTTGAATGGTTGTGCTTAGAGTTTGTGTTACCCCAATGAACAAGCATCATGCTGTTCCATATCTCTTTAGGAGCATAGCAAGCACCTTCATCCCATGAGAAAAACTGCCTTTTTCAGGCGTCAAAATGTTTAGCCACATTAGTGTGGAGAGAACCAAAATCAACAAACAAAGCTTTGAGATCTAATCCTGATATGTATATACATCAATTCATACCCAAATATGGTCTCTCCCAGATGAGCGGTTCCAGTATGGATATTTCTCAGCGATGTGTTCATAAGCTCTTTTGTAGAACTCTAAGGTAAGTGAGCTTCTTAATCCAGTATGGTTCTGCAAGTAGTAAAAGACATATAGAATATATAAGCTCTAGAGCTTCTGCAAGAAGAGAATCAAAAAGGAGGCCTTCTTGACCCAACCTGCATGCTAAGGTGAGGTGAATCATCAGCACGAGTTATAATGCAAGAATCAAGAACAGGAACAAAGAAGAAATCCGCCTCTTCGCCATTCAGTGTACGATGAGCAGTGGCCAAAATGTTCTCATAGAATGCCATCTTCAGAATCATAAGACGAAAATCAGTCATCTCAAATTCAGGAAAAAATAGCTGAGTTATCTCAAGATTAGTAGGAAACCAACCTGGGAACCATATAGATAATCTGTCCATATTGTTGCATTTCTGTCATCATAAATCCTGTTAACACACTCAAGCTTAAAATGCCGGCCCTGCAACATTCAAATTCCCAACAAGAAGAGATTTAAAAACTTTATCATAAAAAAGGAATTTGACTTTGTTTAAAAGAGAGATAAAAGTTTTGGATTGTGACCTCAAGAAGTAAACTGTTGAAGTCTGGTGGTAGATCATAGATGTATATAAGAGGCCTCTTCTTCTTCACCACAGCACTTAGATTAACGAGACTTCCAGGGACATTTTTATCACTTATTGGGACTTCGAGATGTGCTGGTCGAAGCCATTGTGGCCACTCTCCAACCGTCGAGAGAGTTGATGGAACACTACAGTCTGTTCCAAACCATCCTTTATCACACTGAAACAACCAAAAGGAAACACACACAGAGTTAAGAAGTCTCGTTAACTAGATTATAAGCTTGTGACAGTGGATATAGTATGTTACCTGACAGAAACCTCCTCTGCATTTTCCATGTAGAGAGCACTGATTAACACAAGTGCATTGTACAGGAACTTCGCAGAACCGTCCCCAAAGACAATCATATTTACAGTCACATTCCTCTTTGATTTTCACCTTTGAAGCATATGCCTCTTCCGGATCCACATTGCACCATCCTTGTTTGCTACTGTTTGTTGTTATAATATCCAAGTCCGGTTTTGACCAATCTGTCATTTTAGGCTCTTCAGGATTCACCGGCGTACTAAAACACATGTGCGTTACGTCAGAGAGTGTTTCAGCTTGATTTGAGAAAAAATTAAGATTCTAGAGAAAAATACTTACTTAATTTGAAATCCACATGACTCTGGCACAGGACGGTTTGGATATTTTGTGCCTTCTCCACAAAAGCACATTGCTCTTGTGGTATCACAGTGTCTTGAACATATTGAAACAACCCATTTACCATATGGCATCTCAGGTGTTTTCTCATAGTTGCAATCTAACTTCAGCTTTTGAGAACAATCTTCGCCTACACATAAACCAGCCAAAGTAAACTTCATATAAAACACCAATAGAGATCAATAAAGAGATCAATACTAACCATTAAATCCATGGAAGCAACGGCAAATTCCAAATTCATGGTTACAAACACCTTGACCACTACAATCATTCAAACACTTCCTCCCACCAATTGGCTGCCACAAAACAAAAAAAAACAAAAACACAACCTTTATAACCAAAATCGAACAAACAGCATTGCTTCAAGATGTCAAAAACAAGACTTACTTCAATGATGTCAACTTCTCTAGCAACTGCATCACAGCTAGAAAGCCATTGGCCGATCTCAGATTTCCACGAGGCATTCCGATAAACTACTGCACCGTGTAAGTCAGCAGGAAACCGGCGATCAAAGGCAACAACAACTACTGCTTCTTTCTTCTCTTGGCTCACTTGTTGTGTGATTGATTCATTGCTTGGTCCACAGAGGTTCTGAGCTTGCCTTGCATTGAAAGAATCAAAAGAAGGCACCACAGGACCAAGAAACAGATGAACAAGTGAAACAAGAACGATCACAGAAGCAACAGTTGCTATCTGAGACCAGGAGCACCACTTCCATTTCTGGTGTGAATACATGATCATCCAACAAAGCTCTTAGTGTTCAAATTTGACCACCTGAAATCATAAAGAAGTCAACATGACAATAGATTATAACCAGTTTGTTAACAAAACCCAGTTTCTCAAGAAACAGAAATTGAAAATGATAGATAATTAAACAAACTGGATTTAAACAGAATCGTCAAAGAAACGGAGCTGAGATTAAGGAACGATAGCTGAGAAGGTTAGGCAATAAACCATAATTACAAGTCGGTGCAATTATTAGAGACTTAAATAAAAGCATTAAGCTTTGACCGAGTAACAATGGAGCTTTTTTCTTCTTTCTCCATGACAAATTTTCATTTCTAATTTAAATTAGGAAGAATGTGAACAGAACACTAATGACTCCCAGAAAAATTCAGTTAGTTCCAGAGAAGTGAACATTGAAACCGATTAAACAGAGGAGAATGATGAGGATTGCATGCATCAACCGGATCCGAAACGGAGGAATTAAACGATTAAAATTGAACGTAGAGCTTTAAAAAACTAATTTACAAGAATCACGAGAATGAGACAGAACATTGTTTAGAGAAAAGAACAAAACAGAAAATGGAAGAAGAGAGAGCGACAAAACTCACCAGCTCTGAGGGAAAACGTCATGGGTTTACAACTAAACTCAAACCATGGGGGAGTTGTGTTGTGTTGTCTTGGAGGATTTATATCATAATCATTAATTACGGACAGGTTTTGAATAATAATTATTGTACTCTTATTATAATGAAAATTAAAGATGCTTCTTGAAGATTTGTAATTATTGAAACAGAGAGAGAGAGAGAGAGAGAGAGAGAGAGAGAGAGAGAGAGAGAGAGAGAGAGAGAGAGAGACGGCCACGGGGATCTCTGGCTGGCCGGGAAGCACAGAAGAAGAGAAGGAAAGCAATTTTGATAGTGGAAGTGGTCGTCGTGTGTGCGTCATGTTCCTCTTCTCCCAATATTTTATTCAATTAACTCTCCTAGTTCACCGCCTTAACCGATTCTAACCGGGTTTTTTACTTTCTTTATTTAACATCAATTTTTGAATTGTGACCAAACCGAGTTGTAAATTAAGCAAAACAGTAAACTCAACCGGTGTTGTCTAATCTTATTCACTACTGTTTATTTTTATTTTTCGAAAGTGGCCACCAAAACAAGGAATGAATTACTACTCTATAGTTGACATAAAATATAAAAATGATAATAACTAGTAACGGTGATTAAAAGAAAAGACTAATCGGGTATTTTCAATATCTTCCAATAAAGTGTTCCGTCGACGGGGAATAATTGAGGCGGGGCGTTGACGGCTGTGGGCAAAATGGTAAATTTAACTCTCTTCCTATTTATAATTCGGTAATTCCCGTTTCGCTGTCTGAGAAAGACCGTGGTGGGTGACGCACTCCTCTAACGGAAAATTACGTAATTTACTGATTCAGCCCTGGTGATAGCAATGTGTTTGTTTTTTTTCGAGCATCTTTTATTCTTTTTTTTTGTCAGTCAGTAATTGAAAAATTAGACTCACGTGAATTACTAAACGTATCGTTTACTCATTGGTTATGATCTCAGCGAAGACTGCTCAAAATTGAAGTCTTTTTTCCTCCCTTTGAATATTCAAGTTCTTGAAATATCTTTATTTCGTTCGATCACACATCTTTATAAAGAAAATGTATCAAAAACTCATTCCAAGTTGACAAATTATGAGACTTTATCAATCAACCAATTAAAAATCTTGAGGAATTTGTTAGGTTGTCGCCATCCACCATAGATCGTTGTTACTGATTGATTGGTATCTAAAATGAAACCCAAATATTCCATTTTTTTTGTTAAAGAAGAGACAAGTCTTATGGGATGAGGTGAAAACGTGAGAGAATTTTGAATCTTGACGTCAACAAATAAATAAATAAAATTCAGAAAATGGCGATGCACATACTGATCCGAGCAGTTGAGCATGAACCTGTAATGTTACTGGATGATGCAATAATTTTTCAAAACTTATTCAATTATATGGAAGTTTAGTTGTTATTTTAAATTGTAAGGTGAAGCCAACGAAGGCAGTAGAAGACTGCATACATAATACTCCACAAATAAGGCTTCCTGGGCCTAACTTATTTTGAGATTTCTTGGTCTTTAACTTTGTTTTATTTCTAGCTAACAATGATGATCCCATTACCAAATGGTCCAAATCCATCCTCCTGATATATCTACCATTCCAAATTTGCTTTCGTTTAAAAGTTCTATTTTGTTAAAGAATTATAAGGTAAATCATAAGTTTTTGTAAAGGCATCTATGGAAGTCTCTACTCTCTTGCATGAGTCTTTTAGAAGAAGAAAAAAAAAAACTTTCCTAAACGTTAATTTTCCTTATCAATAACAAACAAGAATATGCAACCTGTGGGGTTTTTGTAGAGGGTGTAAATTATAATTTGATGTTAATATTTTGTGTCCAATTGAAACAATATGATGATCTTATAACACGAGATTAAGAAAAGTGACCTATTGAAGCATTTCGTCGATGCATTACATGTGGATTTCAGTGGAATAAGAAGGAGAAGAAGCGTTCTTAATAAATCTCTTTAGCTCTTTAGCAACTTCCACCATTTTCGGAACTTCCCCTCCAAGACCGATGCATCTTTCCGCGAGGACAAGGAAAGCTTTCATTTGGCAATGCTCTTCTTCTGAAACTCGACCCATTTTCTCTAACAAATGTGGATCCACGACCGCATATATGCTAAACTCTCCGATGGTATTGGACCAGCACCTCGGAACATTCATGTTATATGAACCTAGCCATTCAGTCCGACGACCATTAAGCTCACGAAATCTTTCTTCTCCGGTCAAAAGCTTTTGCATGAAAACCCCAAAGCTGAAGACGTCGGTTTTCTCAGAGACTACGCCGTTGAGGAGATAATCATCATCCATGTAATCATAGTCTCCACCTACGCAACGAAACCCTAGCTTGACAAATGTTTCTCCTAGTGGAATCGAGACGCAGTGAGAGAAGTTACTCAGCTTGGCGGCTCCATTTTCATCCAACAAGATATCTCCGAGACGCATAATCCTATACACGAAGGGCCTTGGGAAAGCAGTGTGAAGGTAAGCCAAAGCAATCGCAATATCCTCTGCTATCTTTAACCTCTCTCTCCACGAAACTACCGTTTTCAGATCTAAACTCGTAGGTTTCTTCTCCACAGCGTGATAAACCAAAACCGGATTTTCAGACTCGAGAGAACATCCCATGAGCTTCAGGAAGTTCTTGTGACCACTAACCATCGATGACATGGCTATGTCGCGGCAAAAGTTTCCTCGGTTGTGATCGTTTAATCTGTACCTCCATTTCTTGATGAGTATCGTGTGATGATGGTCGTTGTTGTTATCTTTCTGCTTACCTGAATACCAGTCGAATGGAAAATCGTCGTACAGTTGAGAAACACGATTAGACTCGCTGAAAGTGTCGGTGGCTTCGAGGATCTCATCGGCTGAGAAGCATTTGATGGGATTGGATTTGCCGTCGCAACATTGGATGGTCTCTTGCAGCAGTATCTCCCCTCTCTCTCGTTCTCGGACCAACCTCTGTCTTTGGAGAACGGCTCGTGGTGATTTGTTGTTCTTCTTCTTCCACCAATCCATCTCAACAAGGTTTCTTACGTTTGAGGATGAAATGACGAGATTGAAAGCGAATGACGATTTGCATACGTGTAGGGTCCATGTGGATGAGTTGTAATCTTATTTTATAAAGTCAACGATACACGCACACAAAGAAGACTTCCGTGGTCTACGGACGACAAGACTTGCTTGTCGGTGGTTTTGGTGATTTGATTAACGGAAAATAATTTGATGGGATTGGATTTGCCATCGCAATACTCGATGGGCTCTGATTTCTTTTGTTATGGGCCTCACGGCGTTAGAATTGGACAATGCATTCCATATTGTCAAAAAAACCACACCATGTTTTTAGGATGTACACGTCTCTAACAGATTTTGTTTTGGCATTCGACTGTTTGTTGTGGATATGCACAATCACATATATAAAGATCAGACAAATGATCTTACATAGGAAAGTTGTAACTAAAACAGTAAAACTCAACAACCCTTTGTTCTCTTTTCTCCTTTCCAGCAATATATATTTGAGAATACTAATAAAGCTGTGAACAAAATACAGCTAGAAAAATAACATGAAGATCAACTTTTTCTTTCATTTGCTGTGATTTTTCATTGATGTTTTTATATATAAAAAGAAATTTGGTTTGATAGATCAACCACTTCAACTACATTATTGTGTACCTTCAAACTACTATTAAAAAAAACCATGATTGATAGTTAAAGTTTGGTTAAATCAGGTAATGGTAGTGTAGTGACTCAGAATTGTTCTGGAGATAAAATTATACTTTTATATGCCACTTTAAATTTGGTAGATTCTGATTGATAACAAAAGATAGAGGACTAACTGAAGTATAAAAAGAAATTGAGGGGCTAAAATCGAATAACAAGAAAAATGCCCATTCCGTGTTCGGAAGTTTATGTATCTCCTCGTGATCATCTATCTCCCTCACACGCATCTCCGTATATAATCAATCAATCAATAAAAATCCAGTACTGCTACTGATAATTTGTTTTTCCTTTTTTTTTTTGAATCGCTCCCATTAAATCGCAAAATTAACTTTGCGATTGTTTCTGGTTGGCTATTTAATTTTCCCCATTTAAAAATAAAATCTGCAAGTTGTCTTGGAATCTGGGTGTGAAATTCGCCATTGGTTTCTGTAAATCTCAGAACTGTGTTGGTTTTTTTCTCTCCTACTCGCTGTGTTGATTTCTTCTTCACCGACATTAGCTCGGTGTTTCTTCTCGAGGCATTTCCCATGGTGATTGCTGCAGCTGTGATTGTGCCTCTGGGCATTCTCTTCTTCATATCTGGTCTCGTTGTCAATCTCGTCCAGGTGGGTTTCTCTGATTTTCGAAGCTTCCTAGGTTTGTCCGTATCTGATTCGTCTCTACTGTTGCTCGATTCTAGATTCGTTGTTGTTCTGCATTGTGGATCTTTTCTTCTCTTTCACCTTCTCGGTGTTGATTGATTCACTGCTTTTAGGGTTTGCGTTCGCTGAATTGGTTCTTCAAATTTGTCGCTACTTATGAGTCTTTTAAGTTCAAATTTCCATTCGAGTAGCTTCATGCACTTAGCAGAAGAGTGTTGTTTATCAATTCCTTCAGATTTATGCTGATTCACAAAGATGAATATGCTAAAAACTCCTATTTCTTAAAGCGTTGGAAGGAATCTCTCTGCTATGAACTTCGTTTGCTTCAATTTGATGTTTACAACGTTTTATTTTTCAGGCACTTTGCTATGTCCTCATTCGACCTCTGTCTAAGAACACGTACAGAAAAATCAACCGTGTGGTTGCAGAAACCTTGTGGCTGGAGCTTGTCTGGATCGTTGACTGGTGGGCAGGAGTTAAGGTATCCACAAATCTTTTTCCTTTCTAGTTAAATGGTTTATCAATCAGACCTGTGCTTGCCTTATCATTATCATAGGAACTTATATAAGTTAAGGGAAGTTTTATTTATCTTTTTCAAGTAATGAGTTCCTCTGAAAGTTTTATTTTTTCTTTTGCCAATAGATCCAAGTGTTTGCTGATAATGAGACTTTCAACCGAATGGGTAAGTTCCTGCTTATTGGGAATCGAAATATAATAGTCCTATATATACACGTGTATGTAACTTCAGCGACTGTTCTATACTTTTCTTCCAGGCAAAGAACATGCTCTTGTCGTTTGTAATCACCGAAGTGATATTGATTGGCTTGTGGGATGGATTCTGGCTCAGGTACCTAGTTCAATCTCACTCTCTCATGCATCTATGCATAGATGGGGATCAACATAGACGTCTTGGTGACCAAACTTGTATATGTGTAATGGAACCATGTGTTGCTTTCTAGTTTCTAGTGAATATAGTTTCTCTTAGGTAGAATGTTACAGTCCAGAATGATCCACTGATGAGATAAGAGAGAATATAGCATCATCATTTTGCTTTATCAGGCTCCATGTTATGCTGCTTATTGTTTCATATTTTCTTTCCTTGCAGAGGTCAGGTTGCCTGGGAAGCGCATTAGCTGTAATGAAGAAGTCTTCCAAATTTCTTCCAGTATGTGAATCTATTAGTTTATACTTGCTGTGCTTGCTAGATTTGAAAGAAAGTAGTTATCTTTAGTTTTATTTCTGAATCTCTGCTATAAGTTAGAAACTTGATAACTCGCTTTGGGTTGAGAAAAAGATCATTGTTTTAGGTTAACAATACACGTCTTCTCCTATTTATTCTCTTAATAGTTAATACTCCAAAGTATTCATAAACATAGAATTGTCTCACACATACAGGTCATAGGCTGGTCAATGTGGTTCTCGGAGTATCTTTTTCTGGAAAGAAATTGGGCTAAGGATGAAAGCACTTTAAAGGTATGAATTTATATTCTTCTTCTGCAACTCATTTGGTTTTGCTCCTGTGTAAAATGCCTTTACCTTTACACTGAGGGCATTACCCTGATAATGCAAAATCTTTCATTTCCAACCCATGAGATATGTGTGTTTGTCTAAATTTACAGTCGGGTCTTCAGCGCTTGAGCGACTTCCCTCGACCTTTCTGGCTAGCCCTTTTTGTGGAGGGAACCCGCTTTACAGAGGCTAAACTTAAAGCAGCACAAGAGTACGCAGCCTCCTCTGAGTTGCCTGTCCCTCGAAATGTGTTGATTCCTCGCACCAAAGTAAGTCGCGATATCTTTCTTTTTTGCTTCTTCCTTGGGAAACTTGATATCTTCACTGCACTCTTTATGCGTGGATTTTATCTTAAACTTACGCTTTCATCAGATCGACTTGGTGGTGGATATTACGTTTTCTTCCCTAATCGCTAGTATTGGTTTGTATTTTTATTTTTCAGGGTTTTGTCTCAGCTGTTAGTAATATGCGTTCATTTGTTCCAGCCATTTATGATATGACAGTGACTATTCCAAAAACTTCTCCACCACCCACGATGCTAAGACTATTCAAAGGACAACCTTCTGTGGTAAGCAAGTAGAAATATGAATAGGTCTTTTGTACGCAACAAATTGCAGCTACTGCACTCTACTCTCAACGAATTTCAAAGTATTCACTCCCTTGGATCACATCAATATCCAGTTTCTTTTCACTGGAACTGAGATGAATATAACCCTTTATCTTGTGGATTGCTGGTTTAAGGAGTGATTTTTCACTTATCCTAACATAATGTGTAACTGTGTAAGAAACCATAGGGCTCATCGCATCCCCAAGCCATTTTTTAATAAACTCCTGACGCATTCTTCAAACCATTTCTGCTGGTTTCAGGTGCATGTTCACATTAAGTGCCACTTGATGAAAGATTTGCCTGAATCAGATGACGAAATTGCACAGTGGTGCAGAGATCAGTTTGTAGCTAAGGTAAAGATTACGGATTTACTGATTTTTCCACTTTCCACTTATTGGCAACGAAACTTGTTCAAGATTCAGTGGAGATAAGCTATGAAAAATGTTCATTTTGACACTCTCTTCTCGGTTCTGATTGTGTGATACAGGATGCACTGATAGACAAACACATAGCTGCAGACACTTTCCCCGGAGTTCAAGAACAGAACATTGGCCGTCCCATCAAGTCCCTTGCCGTGAGTCTCTCAAAAAGTCAAAACATTCTCTTGGATCCCATCACACAAACTGATAACCCTCTTTTATCTTTTTTTCCTTCTCCAGGTGGTTCTGTCATGGGCATGCCTACTAACTCTTGGAGCAATGAAGTTCCTACACTGGGCTCAACTCTTTTCCTCATGGAAAGGTATCGCGATATCGGGGGTTGCTCTAGGTGTCATCACTCTCTGTATGCAGATCCTGATCCGCTCCTCTCAGTCAGAGCGTTCGACACCAGCCAAAGTCGTTCCAGCCAAACCAAAGGACAACCACCACTCAGAGTCATCCTCCCAAACAGAAGTGGACAAGCAGGAGTGAAAAAGGTGGATCTCACAGATCAAAACAACAAACACAAGAAGAAGCGTGTCAGTTTTGTTATAAGAAACAAAAACAAAGAAGTGAAAAATCCCTTAATATCATCAATTTCGTTTTGTTCAGCTACTATTACTACTACTACTACTCAAGCCTGTGTCTCTCTTAGTGGATTGATGTATAGGGTCATGATCAAATCAACGATTTATCCCTATTGACCTTGGGATTTTGTTCTTTCAAGTGCATAAGCCTTGTATAACTTTCTGTTATTAGATTGGAATTTGGGATTTGCTCTTATACCTTCCTTTTAAACAACAGTTTTTTCGGTTAGTCTTCTTGTTGATAGTGTAGAACTATGTGACTAGACACAATATTTTACTGCAATTTGCAAGAGGTTTATGGACAGGACGCAACAAATGTTAAGAAAAAACGAATTGCAGTCATGGAACTAATTTCATGATTATAAAAAAAATTATTGTCGTCGCATGATTTGGAAAAATTTAACTATTTAGTTAGTAGCAGAGTGAGAGAAAAATATATAAGTTTTTATTTTATATATATATTCGGTTTTTTTTTCCATTTTCTTATAATCGGTGTATTTGTATGGACGGACAGTTTATATTGATCAACCCTAAAACCCTTCACGCCGAGTTAATAAACAAAAGGGAAAAACCTTCCAGTCCAGGTTCCTCGCGCCGCTTTCAAACTCCGATTAAAATTCCGGTCGTATTAAGTTCAAAGCAAAGAGATTGATAAACCCTAATTGTCTCCTTTATTGCAGAAATCCCTCAATTCGTGGACTCACTAAGTCGCATAGCATACACACTCTCAGAAATCGGCACCGTGGAACGCAATGGCTCAGTCTCAAACCACCGAGGTTCGTTTGAGTTTTTCTATGCTCTTTAATGATTTTCATGGCTTCTGAGCTCTGTTTTTCTGCTTTGGATGGTTTAGCTTAAGTTTCCGAGTGTTTTGGTTTCTCTACAGGGAGCTTCCCAGGTGGTCGAATCAGTCAAATTCAGTTTCATGACTGAGGAAGATGTTCGACAGCATAGTTTCCTCAAAGTTACAAATCCTGTATTGCTCGATAACGTTGAGAGACCTGTTCCTGGCGGTCTCTATGATCTTGTATTGGGTCCTTTAGATGACAGGACGCCGTAAGTCTTCTTCAATTTACTTTACTCTCACCATAACTGGTTTGAAAAGCTATAAAGTACTCGCCTTTTTCACGGAATTTTGATAAAGAAGTCATTTTTATTCCTTGTCTCGGCTTGAAAATGTTGATTCCGATGGTAACGTTTGGTTAGGGATAAGAGAGATTAGATAACAGCTACAATCTGATCATACATACACCGTTTCTCTGATAGTGTTGTTTGTGGTTTCGTATGTTTCTCTAATCTAAAGCTTTTTCCTTTCCCTCTTTGATGCAGTTGTAAATCATGTGGTCAGCTCAGCCTTAGTTGTCCAGGACATTGTGGCCACATCGAGCTTGTCTATCCTATTTACCACCCTTTGCTGTTCAGTCTTCTTTTCAATTTCCTGCAGAGGACCTGTTTCCTCTGTCATCACTTTATGGCGAAAAAGAAAGACGTAAGATAGATATATATGATAAGATTGATAAAGTTTCGTCTCATTCACACTTTTGTAGTTTGCTTCATCTTTGTTTCTCTTTCTTGTTTCAATTCAAGGTTGAGAGATGTGTTTCTCAGCTGAAATTCATCCTGAAAGGTGATATAGTTGCCGCTAAGCGGTTGGATACCGAAGACAATGATTCATCAGAAGAAGAATGTGAAGATCTTGACATGGGGAAGGAGAGATGGACATCTCTGCAGTTTGCAGAAGTCACTCGTGTTATGAACAAATTCTTTAGGTTGAAATCAAAGAAGTGTGACAAGTGCGGGGGACAACCTTGCAAACTAGAGAAGCCCATGTTCGGATGGGTTCGCATGGTATGTCCCTTTGAAAGTTAGTATTGAATATGTGCTTGCGAAGGAATTTTTATCATGGTAGCACATAGATGAGAATGTAGTATATTTTCTTTTATTGATTGAAGTGTTAGGTCTTGAATTGCTCTGTTTAGCCTTGATTCCTCTCTAGCTTAGAGTGTGTGTGAGAAGTACCTTAGGAAGCATGTTTAGCTGAGTGCCCTCAATGTCAGTATGCTCCTGCATTTGAAGATAAATAACTTTAACATGCTTTTATTTAACACTTTCCGTTTCCGTTATTTCCTTGATATTCTACTTGGTTTGAAACTCTACTCGCCTTTTGAAGTCGTCACATTTAAGAATCTCATACTTGTTTTAATTGATTCCATGGATTCTAGAGAGTGTATTTGTTGTTTGTCTCTTTAGCGTTTTTTTTCGTGAACCCTGTACTATACATGTGCGCACTGGATTTCAAAGAGAATTTCCATGTCCACCACACTTCCTTTGAAATTCTCTATGTTATGCTCCTTGATATCAGTGAAATCTTTTTAAACAGAATATGAAAGGCTCCGCCGCTAGAGATAATGAAGTTCGTGGGCTTAAGCTAAAGACCAGTATGGAAATTTCCGATAACTGTGATGACATTGGCATCGATGCATTATCGGAAGTCGAAGATGGTGTTAAAGAGAAAAGGGGAAAAACTTCCGGAGGAAAGAAGCAGAAGGAGAAAAAAGACGTTTTGCCAATTGAGGTTTGTTTCTGATACGGTTTAACTTAATAAATTTGTCGCGACCAAAAGTTTCCACATTTATAATGTCTTGTTGTTGTTATACTTTTACAGGTCAAAGAAATCTTAAAAGGTTTGTGGGAAAATGAGCCTGAGTTTTGCTCCTTCATTGGTGATCTTTGGAAGAGTGGATCTGAAAAAACTGATTACTCTATGTTCTTTTTGGAGAGTGTTCTTGTGCCTCCCACTAAGTTTAGAGCTCCAACAAAAGGAGGTGATAGCGTAAGTAATTCCTAACTAATTATATTGCTTGACTCTTCTATTTCCTATATAATTTTTGGAGTTTGTGTTCATTTTATGACTGTTGGCATTGCCTTCTGTGGGTCAATTTTAGTCTTCTCTCAGTTTCCTTTTCCATTTTTAATATCTCCAGTCTGGTCTGATGGTTGTTCCCATTAACTCCTGTACGTTCAGAAGTCTCTAACAATTTTGTTTCTTGCAGGTTATGGAACATCCTCAAACCGTTGGGCTAGTTAAGGTGTTACAAGCCAATATAAACCTTGGGAATGCCTGTACTAACAAATTAGATCAATCCAAGATAGTTTCCAGATGGATGAATCTTCAAGAATCAGTCAACGTCTTGTTTGATAGCAAAACTGCCACAGGTTAGCTTCTAGCGTATTCGCTTGTTTGAGGTGCATCAGTCACTAAGAGTTTCCTTATTTTTCTTCTAGTTATGTGTAGCTGTTTTCTTGTATTGGTGTGGACTAACTATAATGGCTAATTTGCTTAACAGTTCAAAGCCAGAAAGAGGGTTCCGGGATATGTCAATTGCTGGAGAAGAAAGAGGGTCTATTTCGGCAAAAAATGATGGGAAAGAGAGTGAATCACGCATGCAGATCTGTGATATCTCCAGATCCGTATATCGCAGTCAATGACATTGGAATTCCTCCTGTTTTTGCTTTGAAATTGACGTATCCCGAGGTATGATGTCATATACCAGTAAATGGCACTTGTTATCCGACACATAATTACTTAGTTGCACTTTTTTTTTTGACTGCTACTTAGCTGCACTTTTACCAGTAATATTTTGACTTGAAATCACATGCCCGGCAGGCTTAGATAGATGAAACGTTGGTTTATTTGATCTTGATCTCAAGAGTCAAATGTGAGAAAACTATTATTTTTGCTTCTAATACTTGTCAAAGTTGAAAACATAGTCTACTTCAAGAGTGATTGGCAACAATTCTCTTTGTAACTTTGATTTCCTACCCGATTTTGTATTCATCTTCCAAGTTTGCAATTAGTGTGTGGAAATGGCTAGTGGCAACTGTAGTCTAACCTTGTCATTGCTTATTTCTGCAGAGGGTGACTCCTTGGAATGTTGAAAAGTTAAGGCAGGCTATCATTAATGGTCCTGACATTCATCCGGGAGCTACACATTACTCTGACAAAGTATCTACACTGAGGCTGCCTCCTTCCAAAAAAGCACGAATAGCAATTGCAAGAAAATTATTCTCCTCACGAGGAGCCACTACAGAACTTGGAAAAACTTGTGATATCAACTTTGAAGGTAAAATTGTCTATCGACATATGCAAGATGGCGACGTCGTCCTTGTGAATCGTCAGGTGTGGACACATTCTGTTTTATGTCATTAATATTGCATATCTCAAATGTTTCTCAAGTTTTGTGAGGCCTTTTACTAGGCAACTTTGGAAAGAGTCTTCTGGATTGTTTTTTCAAATTTGTTTGTTTATTTCTTTCTTCAGTATTGGTTGCCGTTTCTGTGTTACCTGTTTATTTACTTACAATTTTATTTTATTGTCATGGCAGCCAACATTACATAAACCTAGTATAATGGCGCACATGGTCCGTGTTCTTAAGGGGGATAAAGCACTTCGTCTCCACTATGCAAATTGCAGGTAGAGTCGGTTGATTTAGAGAATTCCGTTTCTCCAGATGTCATGTCGTTGTCAACCTTGTCTGCACTCTCTTTTCAGATTTACATCTGAGGACCTTTTCATGTCTTGGTTGATCTTCCACATGCATTTTCTTGTGTCTCAAGACTGAGTTAAATAATTTTTATTGGTTCCAGTACATACAATGCAGATTTTGATGGTGATGAGATGAATGTGCACTTTCCACAAGATGAGATTTCACGTGCTGAGGCCTACAATCTTGTCAATGCCAACCACCAATATGCCAGGCCTTCTAATGGTGATCCACTTCGAGCTTTAATTCAGGTTGTGCATTCAAGCTGTTTCTTCAAATCCTTGTATTCATTTCACGACTTAGGTTGTTTACCAGCGATATTTATCAACCTTGCTTATACTGAACAGGATCATATCGTCAGCTCCGTTTTGCTTACTAAAAGGGACACCTTTTTGGACAAAGATGAATTCAATCAGCTCCTCTTCAGTTCTGGCGTGACTGACATGGTACTCGGTTCTTTTTCTGGAAGCTCTGGCAAGAAAGTCATGGAACTAGCTTGTGTTGCAGAATTATTGACAGTCACGCCTGCTATTTTGAAACCAGTTCCCCTTTGGACTGGAAAGCAGGTAATCATAATACTCAGTGCGGTTTTTTGTTCTGTTTATAATGTGTTGGCTCTCTAACTAAGCTGGTTGACTCCACATGTGGCTATTTCCCTTGATATAGAAATTGTATCTAGGGATTCATGAGTAGTTGGCTCAGTTACTAAATATCATTAGGTGTCAAAGGAATGCCTTGTCTTCACATGAGTAATTTCCTGGTTATGCTTCTCTGCTAGGTCATCACTGTAGTGTTGGATCAGATAACCAAAGGTCACCCGCCATTCACCGTAGAGAAAGCTACCAAACTTCCAGTTCATTTCTTTAAATGTAGATCAAGAGAAGTAAAGTCTAAGAGTGAAGAAGTCAACAATAAGAAGCAAGACGTTGATGCGTCATGGGAAAAAGAACTTAATGAAGATAAACTGCTCATCAGTAAAAATGAATTTGTCTGTGGTGTAATTGACAAGGCTCAGTTTGCGGACTATGGGTTGGTTCATACAGTGCATGAGCTGTATGGTCCAAATGCTGCAGGAAATCTGCTTTCCGTGTTTAGTCGTCTCTTTACAGTCTTTCTTCAGGTTTGCTCTCATGAAGTTGATCATTTATTTCCTCTGTTACAGAATTTGTTTTCTGAACCTTTGTTTGAACATCTTTCAGACTCACGGTTTCACCTGTGGAGTTGATGATCTTATTATTTTGAAAGATATGGATGAAAAGAGGACAAAGCAACTCCAAGAATGTGAAAAAGTTGGTGAAAAAGTACTTCGTAAGACTTTTGGCATTGGTGTTGATGTTCAGCTAGGTATGCATATTTTGCTTTAATGTATGCACTGCATTAATGTGTGCATGCTTGCTAACATGCTTGGTTGTTACATTCCGGAGAATGGATGTCCCTTTCTGTAGTATGAGGCATGGAAGTTGTAGTTTATCATATAGACTAATTGATACCTAATCACGGATTACTGCCTTGCCTGCAGATCCTCATGACATGAAATCCAGAATTGAACGTATTCTTTACGAGGACGGGGAACCTGCCTTGTTATCTTTGGACAGGAGCATCGTAAGTGGGCTCAACCAGTGTTCAGGCGAGGGTGTGATGAACGATTTGCTGTCTGACGGATTACTGAAAACACCAGGAACGAATTGTATATCGCTGATGACAATATCTGGGGCTAAGGGCAGTAAGGTGAGTTTGTGTTGCCTTCTTCAATAAGCTCAATATTGTTGGTTGTTCAAGTATGCATTTACAGTATCTAAAATTGGTTTGGACCTTTCATGTCTTTAGAACTTTCCTCGTCTTCGCTTCTGCAATTTATTAGCTCATGCCAGGTTTTTCCTAACTAAAAGTTTTAGTTTTTTTTGTGTTAGGAGATAACAAGTTCGTTTCCCAAAAGACAGATAGCTTCTTGTCATCAATTTGAAATATTTACCTTTGTTCTTTTCAAATGGAGTCTGTTAGTGCTGAATAAATATGCGACAACTTTCTCCCTGTTTAACTGGGTGATGGAACTGGCAGCTCTAAGCATATAATGTTATAGCAATACAGTTAGGAAGTGACTGCAGTTAACTATTTTCGGGAGGCTAAGCTTTATCATTTCTTTGAGCAGGTAAACTTCCAGCAAATCTCTTCACACCTTGGCCAGCAAGATTTAGAAGGAAAAAGAGTTCCCCGAATGGTGTCTGGGAAGACATTACCGTGTTTCCATCCATGGGACTGGTCCCCTAGAGCTGGTGGTTTTATTAGCGACAGATTTCTTAGCGGTCTCCGGCCCCAAGAATATTACTTCCATTGCATGGCTGGACGAGAAGGGTAACTAGCACTTTCTTTTTTCTAACTCAAGTGTCATTTTATTTTGGACCATATATTGTTCTACGTGCCTTGCTTTTGATACTAGTTCTCCAAAATTTATGTAACTGGTTTCTGTGTTGAACTTTTACTTGGTTGAAGGTCTTTTGTTGTAATCCCTATGATATTTGTGTCAAGAGTCGGTCAGCATCAGCCTGTTTGTCATCTTTGTTGTGGCGTTTTGTTAACGCTTAAAACATTCTTGTTGACAGGTTAGTTGATACTGCAGTGAAGACGTCACGTAGTGGGTATCTGCAGAGATGCTTAATGAAAAATCTTGAGAGCCTAAAGGTCAACTACGATTGTACTGTCCGGGATGCTGATGGGTCCATTATCCAGTTCCAATATGGTGAAGATGGCGTGGATGTTCACCGGTCTAGCTTCATTGGAAAGTTCAAAGAACTGGCACTCGTAAGCAATCCTTTTCAAACGGTTTAGCCTTTTCCTTATCTTCTCTTGGGAAACTTATTTTGTTAATTATTCAACTTACTTTGGTTCAGAATCAAGAGATGATACTCCAAAACTGCAGTGAAGACATGCTATCTGGATCCAGTGGTTACATCACCGATCTCCCTATTACTCTTAAGAAAGGAGCACAGAAGTTTGTAGAGGCAATGCCTTTGAATGAACGTATTGCCTCTAAAATGGTGAGACAAGAAGATCTACTGAAGCTAGTGAAATCAAAATTCTTTGCAAGTCTCGCCCAGCCAGGGGAGCCTGTTGGTGTTCTTGCTGCCCAGTCTGTAGGAGAGCCATCAACACAGATGACGTGAGTTATTTTCCCATCTTATGTTGCGGTCTAATCCTTCCACCATTTGCGTATAAAACCCTTTGCTCTGTCGATTTACAGGCTAAACACTTTCCATCTTGCTGGACGTGGAGAGATGAATGTGACGCTGGGAATTCCGCGTTTACAAGAGATTTTGATGACTGCTGCGGTAGACATTAAGACGCCAATTATGACATGTCCATTGCTGAAGAGCAAAACAAAGTAAGTTGCTTTTGTTACGTTCGGCTACCTTCACTGATAACACTTGGAAGACGGGAAAATCCTTGATAGTGAGCTTCTCTTATAAAGAATACGGGAAAATAACAATGTTTAAACTCTGTGGCCTGTGGCTCTCAACATCTTGGAGATCTAAGTTTTGTGGTTACTCTAACGTTTATGATCTGTAATTTGTGCAGAGCTGATGCAAAACGTATTACTGATAAGCTGAGGAAGATTACGGTGGCAGATATAATGAAGAGTATGGAAGTTTCCGTTATACCGTACGCGATTCATGAGGATAAAGTGTGCAGTATTCACAAGCTTAAGATAAATCTCTATAAGCCAGATCATTATCCGAAGCATACTGACATAACTACAGAAGACTGGCAAGAGACGATGGAAGCTGTGTTTTTGAGGAAGCTGGAAGACGCTATAGAGACTCACATGAAAATGCTTTTTAGAATGAGGGGCATACAGGATGAGAAAGAAGACGCTCGTCCAAAATCTGGAAATGACGTGGATGATGAGGATTCCGTCAGTGGAAAACAGACTGAAGATAATGACGATGATGAGGACGAGGGGACAGAGGTTGATGATCTTGGTTCAGATGCACAGAAAGAGAAGAAGCAAGCAATAGATGAGAGGGATTATGAGGAAAGCTCCTCTGATGATGAGAAGAACGAACCATCCTCAACTAGTGGAGTAGAGGACCCTGAGATGGATAACGAAGATGATGACGCGGAAGTTAGCAAGGAAGAAGAGACTATGGAACCGCAAGAAGAGGCAAAGAATGTTAAAGAAGGGAGTAAAAAGAAGAGACGGATATATGTTAGAAATACTAAAATTGACAGGAATATCCGTTGGAAAGGCAAAGGAAAGACATTTGAGGTCGATTTCAAGTTTAATCAAGATGATCCTCATGTCTTACTTGCTCAGGTACTCTTTTTGTTAACTGTAGCTAATTGACTTTGATGTGTGCTAAGCAAGGTAGTTTATACGTTTACTTTTTTAACATATGCAGATTGCTCAGAAAACAGCGCAGAAGGTTTACATCCAGAATTCTGGCAAGATTGAACGTTCCACAGTGGCTAATTGTGGTGATCCTCAAGTCATATACTATGGAGACGATCCAAAGGATAGAAAAGAAATCTCCAACGATGAGAAGAAAGCCTCACCAGCTCTCCACGCATCAGGAGTCGATTTCTCCGCTCTCTGGGAATTCCAAGACAAGCTTGATGTCAGGTACTTGTACAGCAACAGCATTCACGACATGCTCAACACTTTTGGTGTTGAAGCAGCCAGAGAAACCATCATCAGGGAAATAAACCACGTGTTCAAATCATACGGTATCTCTGTAAGCATCAGGCATTTGAATCTCATCGCCGACTACATGACATTTTCCGGTGGATACCGTCCAATGAGCCGTATGGGAGGAATTGCAGAATCAACCTCTCCGTTCTGCAGAATGACTTTTGAAACAGCAACTAAGTTCATTGTCCAAGCAGCTACTTATGGAGAAAAGGACACTCTAGAAACTCCATCTGCTAGGATCTGTCTCGGCTTGCCCGCTCTCTCAGGAACAGGATGCTTCGATTTGTTGCAGAAAATGGAGCTCTGAGGATTCAGTACACATCATTCTTCAGCCTACTGCTCAGTTTTCTCTAATTTCATAATATTTTGTAGTTTTTCAAACTATTTTGTACTCTGTGTTTTCCCATAAATGGATAGATTGTATCTGCCGACATATTGAGGAAACGTTTGGAGGCAAGAGCTGCATTTTTGTTAGCGACGTTTTGATGTGATTTGATGTGTTTTACTTAGAATGGTGTAATGCATTACCCCACTTTATTTTGTATTTCTACCTAAAATTGTGTTTGGTGCCTTTTTTCTTAGATTATTCGGTGTGTCGGTTTTGGATTGTGTCGAAGTCTTAATCTAGTTCTGTGCACTAGTACAAAATTTGAATTAATAATTAATTCTTGCAATGCATTCATATACTATTGTATTGATGCTAATATATGAAAGACTAGAACATTTTGAGTTTCTATTAGCAAAAAAAGAACAACCTCTCCGACAACAAGTAGGAAGTGTTATTTTGTTAGTTTCTTTTGAAATTCTTATGGTGATTGATCAAGTGTACAATTGTGTCAAGTTTGGGTACACTATAACAAAATCATGAGATAACCTTATGGAGTCATTTACATAGGAAAACAAAATCAAAATTTAAGGTCTTTGAAATTGTACATTAAAGTTTTTTTTTTCCCATTCCACATTAATTTGCGTAATTTGACATTAAGGAAACACAAAAAGTCAGAAATGTTAGGAGAAAAACACAAAACACAAGAGTGGAGAAAACGACGACGTCTTGACTCTTGAGACTGCCCCTCGTGCTGTCTTGAAAGTCTCTCCCTTTGGTCAACCCCATCCCGACATCTCTTTTATTACGTACTTCCCCTAGCATTCTTTGTTTCTGAAGATCTATTTTTTTTTTGGGCAAAGATTTACTATATTATTTACTTATTCACTGCAATCTAACATTGGATGTGTTTCATCCACTCAGATCGATGTCATCCATCGCTGCAAAAATGCTTGCATGTTTCACTAACATTTGCTCGTTCTTTCCCAACCCCAAGACTCATATTTTATTGGGTTTAGTTAGTTTGTAAGAGAATGAACGGTGGTGTATCGAAAGAGTTTTAAGATTTGTGCATTTGGGAATAGTGTATTATTTTTTTGTTCCTACTTCCTTGCATTCGTCTATTCCTTTTTGGTTGTTTAAACTGAAATCTAGTACCAAGTCAACCTTAATTCTTGAAGGTGATGGTGGTATGGTATATATATCGATAGAAACAAAAATAATTAGTCTTGCTGAACAACCCAAAATAAAAATCAAGATTTATAGGTTGGAATCTGAACTAGTCGTGGACTTTTGGATCTTTGTTCATATATTTCTTCTTAGGAAAATATTTCTCTCTCGAAACAGAAATTGATCTAGTGGGATCAAAAACACACAATTGTTGAATAAGTTCTGCAATTGTGTAACTAGTAAAATTTGATCTTTTATCCAAACCGTCAAACAAAAACAAAACATTAAAAAAAAAACAAGCGAAAATATACATAATTCCTACTTAAATCATTGGTGTAGTTGAGTTTATAACTTTATATTTAGTTGTTTCGTGAATCTTTCTTGCTTTCTTGAATTTCGCTTATTTTCTCGTATGTGTACCCACCAAACTAGAAAAGGTGGTCTAAAGATTTTATTGAAACTTTATTTGAATACTGCAATCATTTTCTTCATTCCTTTTATTAAATATTCAGCCTTTTGCTTTAAAGGAAAAGAGAAAGTTGGAAATTTAACAACATAGCTGCTATGTATGATAGTTAAAATGATAAAATACGCTCCTATCGGTCATAACAAGAGTCTCTCATAACAAATGATAAGAATAGATATATATTGCCCACGAGGTGTTGTGTGTATGCGATCGTCTATATGTGTATAAGCATTAGAGTTGGTGATATACACATTAGGTGAAGCCTAGAGTTTGTGGTACACTTCCTTTAAATTTGAATTGTCCAAATAAATTTAGTAGGTTACTATTTCTCTTCCACAATGTCCCACCAACATATTAATTGGCAATATAGTTTTAGGGTCGAAATAATAATATAAAGAGTGGTGCATAACATACAACGGATCGATATAAGTACTAGAATAACCGTAGCTGCTATGTGTTCTAACTTCTAACAAAACAAATGAACTAAATAGCTGATTTTAAAGTATTCTAGCTAAAAAAAATCAACTAAATTTTTCAAAAAATTGAAATTTATATATAATGATATTAATCGATAAACTAACCAACACGCAAACACTTTTAATACAGAAGTCGATCAGCATTCGAATCAGTCATCGCGTCCTCTTCACGGCGGCACTAAGGATGGTTCCACATAACTCAAACATTATTTACCGCCTTTATGCTGAAATATATACTATGTCGTTTAAATTATAAAAACTGAGTGATTATGTATTTATTGCGGTTCGACAATTTCAACCTCAGCAAACAGAATCACTATTTAAACCCTTAGTCATAGTATCGATAAAACTGTTTCGAATAAGAAACATCACATGCAATATAAAATGTTCTATATGGAATTAATGATGTCATGAACCGACAGATAAAATTTATCATATAGATACATAAAACGTCACATCCAAAATAAAACCTAAGCACAAAGAGGGGCATAGAACGAAAAATGGTGATGGCTTCTCTCTCCATCTCTATGCATATGTGTGTGTGTATATGAAACACACATACAAACAGTCACAAGGTGTGTGGCTTGTGAGGGCCCAGCCTCTTGTAGAAGGCCCGACGTCTTATTGTGTTGAATTTCTACTCAATGTGAGTTTTACCAACTAAGACCCAAATTATATCAACTCTTAGAGAATGTTTCTCGAGCTACATACCAAGATTATCTGTTATTATTATATATGCTTTAAACTTAGGTATATTCCATGAATCAAATATGTGAAGTTATTACATCCAGTTAGTTATATTACTTTATTTTCTATGGTTTTTTTCTGTTACTTGTAGTCTTCTAATTAAAGTGAATGGTCAATTAGTTGACGATGGATATGTATGACTGATGAGTTTAATGGGGGTTGATGGTTTTTCAGTGATTATGGAAAAGTGGATATAAAAAGCGTTCAAAAGCTAAGAAATAAATCAATTTGTATATTAAAATGGACAGTTAAAATGATAGTTAAAATTAGTAACAAACGCTTAGATAGTATAACCTATTATGTATCCGCTTTTGTGACAGAAAAAAAACGCAGCTGAAGCCTCAAGGCCTCAATCGCCTCCAAAAGACATCAAATCGTGTTAATCAAACAATTATTGATTCCAACTTCAATACTCATTTCTACTCTTGGAGAAACTTAGCTTAAAAGGAAGCACCAGCGAATTTCCTTTCTTAACCACAAGCATCCTCTCAAAGCTAAACATCAAACCAGCGCTTTGGAAAAAGAAACCTAGCTATATATTATTTTGCCTAATGGATGAATTTATATGCAACCTATATATTTTTAATTCAGCGCAATTTTGTTAATTATTTAAATATCACATGTAAACATCTGAGCCATGAAAAAAAAAATATACAGCGGAATCGTTCGACCACTATATTAATTAGCATATTCTTTTAAAATTCAACTTACGAATTATTGGTCATGCTGCATGACTCATGCATCTATACAGAAATGCTGCGATCAATAAAGTTATGATCTGATTGTGTTTAACGTAATTAACATGTTGGCCGAACTAAAGATGAGGTCGAAATCCAGTGTATATGTTACTGGTGAAAATAGTACTCGTGTTTATAACCTACATATATTGCCAAAAAACAACATTACAACTGCAACAGTGAACATGATATGTTCTTAGTGAACATGTGGTCCGTTTTATGCATAAATAGTGTCATGATGGATATATAAAACCAAATTATGTCATCACAAAAAACACTATTGTGTCATTAACGTTAGATCATTAACGTTATCTCCGAAACTTGATTATTGTTTATGCCTAACGATTACGTTTTTGATATATTGTACATAACATTAGTTTATGCCTAGCGACTCAATTAAATTACTTCAAAAATCCACAGTCATTAATAATTTGCACATTTTATATATAGGTTTGATTAAAATTTCCTAGCTAATTAATTGACCAGCATCTTAAACATGAATGATTCTGCTATGATTATAATTTATATATTTACGACTTTGATTGTTAATTTTCGAAACGATCATAAGACTGCATTTTGTAACTAAAAAGTAAAAACACACAGTTCCACGTAACTAAAAATGAATTTGTTCCACATTTTTATTCGACCAATATTTCATTCTTCCATAGTTCCTCGATATGAATTTTTAATTGTTTGTTCTGTATAACACAGAATAGAAAAGTGGAGAAGAAAGAAAAGGAACAGTGAGGCAGGATCTGCGGTGGGGATTTCGAAATTCAATGATCTTTACCGTTTGAGGGAAAGCCGACCATTGATGCGCACACCAATGCAATTGCTTCCCCTTTTTTTGTTTCCTTGTAAATCTGTGATATTGAAACTCCTATCATAAAATGACAATTAACATAAGCAAAACGAAAACATTTGTTCTTCTTTTTTGGTTTTATTTTTTTAATCATGCATGAGGAATAATATAGACGATGGCAAAAGCTTAATTATTGCGTGTACATTTCAGTTTTCTCTAGGGTCCTCGTACTTGATTAGCGATTTTTATTTATTATTGAATTCCCATGTGTGTCTTCAACTTTTCTTGTTCTTGTTTATTTTTGTATTAACTTTTTTTTATGATCCGAGGACATCCATTATTCCTTATTTGTGAATCTATTTTTCAATATTTTAAAACAAATTTCAGACTGTGACGATATTAGTTCAATTTAATTAAGTACAAGATAAACTCACAAGAAAGTTTATGTTATTACTTATTAGTATGGTTTAGGGTAATTGATAAAGATAGATATTATTCATCTAACTTCTTTCCGTAGATATTTTTTTTTTTAATATTCGAAAGTCGAAACTAAACCGAATGTTTTTATGAATAAACTTTTTGGTGCGTATATGTTATTTTGTGTTCCTCTTGTAATAGTTGTGGAAAAATCAGAATTGTGTCTTGAATTTATGCTACTTTAAATTGTTTTATTTGATTAAGTCATGAGTCAGGAAAGACGTAATAATTTTGATGCAATAGATTAGTTCATTTACATATATAGAAATTAATTCCTTAAATTTATCCTGTCTTAAAAGTATTTTCAAGTCTCAAAACTAGTAAGAAATGGCCTTTAACCAAAAAAAAAAAAACTGGTAAGAAATGGCTTCTATTTTAATTTTGTTTTTATTGTTTTTGAGAAAAAGTTTTAAGATAAGAAATTTGTTTGGGATGAGAGCCAATCTCCGAAAAGCAGTGACATTATCTTTGTATGCTGTATCTGCACCTCATATGCTTTATGTAATTTTTTTATTTTTATTTTGTCAAATACGTCCTTTATTCTTCAAAAGAAAAAACTATTCCATACAGCCAAGTTATTAAGATCGAGTAGCTTTTCGTTTTTGTCATATATAATTTTTAATTTGACTACTGTCTTGGGTGCATGGTTTTTATTTCTGTTATACATTATACATTCAACGTTGCCCTAATTAACCCTCATTGGCTACTGATATATCTTCACGTACATTTTAACCTAGCTTTATGAAAATGCATCCATTATTGCTTTAAGTACATAATCCACATATATGAAGTACTCCAGTACTTGTATGGTTTATACAGTTTCCCGTTTGTCCAACAAACCAAGAAAAAAAATTCGAATCATCAAAGCATAGTTTCACAACAAATTATGTGATTTTTACCCACCAAAAAGAAAGTTAAAGAAATTGTTACAAGCAATTTTCTCAAAGTTATTACTTGTTACAAAGAACAAGGACCTACATATCTGAATGAAATAATTACTTTGCGTAGACTAATATACACATTCGTATTTGACCTGCTCTTTTAAAGTCTGTTTTTCGTTTTCACTCCATAATTAATAATATCTCTTTCTCTCTTTCACCCCCAAAAAAAATCTCTGTTCACAAAAAATAAAATAAAAAGACCTCTCTCTCTCTCTCTCTCCATCCCATCACAGTCTCCATCTCCATCTCCATCTCCATCTTCATCTCCATCTCTGTCTCATCTTGTATAAAGATAATCCCACAAGACTAAAAACTATTCCCTCCCCTCTCTCTCTCTCTCCCCTTCTTTCTCTTCACCATGACTGATCCTTATTCCAATTTCTTCACAGACTGGTTCAAGTCCAATCCTTTTCACCATTACCCTAATTCCTCCACTAACCCTTCTCCTGCTCCTGCTCCTCCCTCCTCCTTCTTCTTCTTCCCTCACTCCGGCGATCTCCGCCGTCCACCACCGCCTCCACTAACCCCTCCTCCTTCTCCTCCTCTCCGTGAAGCCCTTCCTCTCCTCAGCCTCAGCCCCGCCAATAAACAACAAGACCACCACCACAACCATGACCATCTAATTCAAGAACCACCTTCAACATCCATGGATGTTGAATACGATCATCATCACCATCAAGATGATCAGAATCTCGATGACGATGAGCATGACGTCACCGTTGCTCTTCACATAGGCCTTCCAAGCCCTAGTGCTCAAGAGATGGCCTCTTTGCTCATGATGTCTTCTTCCTCCTCTACCTCGAGAACCACCCATCATCATGAGAACATGAATCACAAGAAAGATCTCGATAACGACAGCTACCCTCACGGCACCGCCGGAGGAGGAGAAGATGACGATGAAGATTCAGTCGGTGGCGACGGCGGATGTAGAATCAGCAGACTCAACAAGGGTCAATATTGGATCCCTACACCTTCTCAGATTCTCATTGGCCCTACTCAGTTCTCCTGTCCTGTTTGCTTCAAAACCTTCAACAGATACAACAACATGCAGGTTCTTAGTTTAAACTCACACTAATCTATATCTCTCTCTATACTTATGTTTGCATTTGTTTTGAAGAATTCGTTTTCATTTTCCGACCAAACCCAAAAGGTAAAAACCAAAGAAAATGTGTTTGCTCAGTAAATATCCTCGGAAAAATAAAATAAAAAGTTTTGACCTTTAACCGGTAAATATATACATAGATGCATATAAATACTGTTTTCAAATCAATCAAATGACGTGTCTTTGCTCTCTGATGCATGAATAAATCATTGCATTACAAAGAACCGAGAGACTTGAGACTGTGAAGACTGAGACTGAGATTTAACAAGACAGTAAATGTTCTTTATGTCTTTAGTACTTTCAGAGTCTCTGTGGTTTTGCTGCTTTCTCTACATTATCGGCAAGTGTGTCATCCTTTTCTTTACATGAGAGTCTTTTAATGTCTAACGTGTAAAATAACAGTACTCATACAATTTCATATAAACTATATTCAATTAATGTACACTGATATATGTACGGCTTCATTTGCTCTATATATGAGCTTGAAAAGATTTTGTATAGAACATGAACTAAAGCATCTTGCTTATTAATTTATCCGTGATTTATTTTGTTTTACCTAAACATGCATTTACATATCTTGTTGTTATGTCTTTTTAGTTTATGACATCCATTTCTAATTTTATTAAGTTTCACTATTAATAAACATCATTGTTGGATGAATCTTGTTGTCTTTTGTCATATGCTTCAAGGTTGATCTGCTAGTTAATCTATGTGTGCTAGTTAGAGTAATCATAACGTCTTATAGTAAGTGGACACATGTTACTAAAACGGCTAATCATAAGCTAATGTTTCAAGACTCTCATACTTTATGAACTTTTCGAACATAGTATAAGTTATTCAAACCCTACATGCATGATCATATATTTATACATGATTTCTGTCTACAGATGCATATGTGGGGACATGGATCACAATACAGAAAAGGACCTGAATCTCTAAGGGGAACGCAGCCGACAGGAATGCTGAGGCTTCCGTGCTATTGCTGCGCACCGGGATGTCGCAACAACATTGACCATCCAAGGGCAAAACCTCTCAAAGACTTCAGAACACTTCAAACACATTACAAAAGGAAACATGGGATCAAACCCTTCATGTGTAGGAAATGTGGAAAGGCCTTTGCTGTCAGAGGCGATTGGAGAACACATGAGAAGAATTGTGGTAAGCTTTGGTATTGCATTTGTGGATCTGATTTCAAACACAAGAGATCTCTCAAAGATCATATCAAGGCTTTTGGAAATGGCCATGGTGCTTATGGCATCGATGGGTTTGATGAAGAAGACGAGCCTGCCTCTGAGGTAGAACAATTAGACAATGATCATGAGTCAATGCAGTCTAAATAGCTTATATAAATTAGTATAAGTACTTAGTTATTCGGTATATATTTTAATCAATTATAAGAATACCTAAATCTATGGACCAAGTTTTGATGGAGATAGGGCTTTCTGAGTAAGAGCTATATCATCTAATTGATCATAGAAAAAATGAATCAAGATCACTTGGAAACAATATATTGTATCTGTAGTTTCTAGTTAAATTTGTTACAAGTCAATGAACTAATGAGGTTGTCTACGGTTTCTATTTGTATATATTGTTTTACCCCCATTTCGAAGGAAATCAATTATAATTAACGTAACGTTTGAATTATATTTCTTAGGATAGTAAAATACTATAAAAGTAGCTAGATTCTATACTTTCATGCATGCATTCTGTTAAAAAGTTTCTCTAAATATACCATATTCTAGATCAAAATGAATATTTCCAAATTTTAATTTAAGTAATAATAGTTTCTAATATTTTATTCCCAGATTTTTTTTTTTGTTTTTTATCTTTATAATTATTTTATAGGAATACTTAAATGATGATACTTAATTGCCTACTGACATCATGGAGAATAATGAGAGAATGGACACTAGAGAATATTACTACTCAAGTGCAGAACTTTCTTAGGATGATCAAATAGTATCAATTTATACTCTATAATGCTTTCTTTTATTTGTTTTTTAAATGATGTGATAATGCTACGTTTTGTTTTTTAAATGATGTGATAATGCTACGTATGTCAAATGGGATGATAATATTATATGTTTTTGCATGTTAATAATTATCTATGTATATGATGAGGCTTTAGTCAAAATTTGCTGGTTTATTTTTTGATATTTTTTTTATCTTTATGCGAAATGGTCGTCTTGTGATAATTAACAAATATATATGAAGTGATGTTCAGACTTTTTTTCGAATAAGTAATAATAATTAACGTGGTGCAACATTAAAACCAATTCTTTATTTTATACTAATTATGAAAGAAAGAAATACCGGACGACAAGTGATTTTCTTGTTATTGTATTTACAGTTTTTGTTATGTGTCAGTTTGTTGGTAATTGAGAATCCAAGATCCAATTTGGATCTGATTGTGTAACTAGGATTACAGTTAGAGAGAGGCTTTTCTTCCTGCAAAGAGCTTTTCAATATGCTCCTTTTTTTCTTTCTCTCCTCCTTTTTGTTAGTGGAGAGACATATTTGCTCGATGAAGGAACATTACATCTCTTTACCTATATATGATTCACTTTTAAATATAGTCTTAAGATTCGAAACCAAACGATTATCTCTCGATTTAGGCATATATAACATAGATACAATCAGATATTAACCTAATCTTAAAAATGTATAAAGGTATGCATAAACAGTGAATATTCCTTGGTGCTGCTTGGATTTGCATACGTATGCATGCAGCCATGTATACACACATGTATGTATATGTACATGAAGATGATGATAAATGGGTGAAGAAGGGGCAAAAAGTAATGTGAAGAAGAGTGATATAAAAAAACAAAAGAGAAGAGAGTGGAGCCCTAAGGGTGTGATGGGTTGGGCAGATTTGGGAGCAAAGATTGATGGTATCAACAGTTCTTTTTCTCTCTCTCTCACTCACTGTTATTTGATTTGACATCTCATTTTTCCTTTGACCATCTCTCTCTTTCTCTACACACACTCTCACACAAATGACTCAACTTTCATAACTCCTCCAGTTAAAAAAACCCACATGCTTGCTTTTTTTTTTGTATTTATTTCATTTACAAGATAAATTTTTTTCTTTCTTAAAAGTATTTGAACCAAACTAAAATGTTACATTGCGTTATTAGACCACGATTTCTGGATATTTTAAAAAGTTTAACTTCGATGGAACATTAAGATTGATAAAATAGTGTGCATTTCTAGAATATTGATCTTAGCACCGAATAGCACGAATACATGTATATAGGCGATAGTAAGTGCTGCGAAGATTTGGTATATAAGGATAAAAAATTTTGCATCAATATTCATGAAAACGTACAATTGATCCAAGAAAATATGCACAAATCCCATTTTGTAGTGAGTGATGTATATAAATATCACATATGGATTCTTTTTACATTGATCACAAGCTGCAATTAAACAGTAGAAAATCTGAAAAAGTTATAAACGCACATCTTTAAATTATGTAGGATTCAGACAACATTTATTACCAATCAATTTCCTACCCCTTTGTTGGGAGATATAGACCATCCCTACCTCTCTTCCTTTGACCCCATCTCATCTTCCCAAAACTTCTCCACATTTCTCCACCGATATATATATTTATATTGGTATACAAATAAACACTTAAGTAGTTCTTATCGAGGGTATGACTGGGGGACCAAATAGAGGAAAAAATTGGTAGAAATTAATTATCTATTAATTTTATCAATCTAGAGGGAATGGGAAAGGAAAATGTTTGCCTTATTCCATGAGAAAATGGAGACACACATGAACAAAATAAAAAGCCGAAAAATGGAGACATTATGTTTTGTCCGAAAAAAAAACTTAAATAAAAAGCCTTAATTCCTACTTTTTAAAATCCCCAAGCTATATTAGTACTAGTTCCGTAATGAAAATTTTAATTACTTTACAATTTCCTATGATCATGTCGAGAAACGCAAATGTAAATTACTAATTCAATTTTGTTTTTATTCTTACTGTTCATATTCCAAGGCTGATCTGAAGGAGACAGCTTTGTCTGCCGTGGCTCAAATCTCCATCTTCCACATTTAATTTAATTTAATGGCCACGCACGTACGTACACTGTTTAATTATTTTATTATCTTATTATGAGTATGTAAGAAAAAACATTTTTTAACGTATTCGTTTTGTCTATACATATACGTAAAGATTTAATGAAGTTGTATATGAAAAGAGTAAAAGAAATAACTATTAATTAAGTAGTACATAAAGAAGTTTAATGTAGCTATGTATGATTTTCGACAACTTTGTTTGAAGGAGGCCCCAACATGCAAAAGAAAAAGGGAGAAAGAAGCCAAATTGAGCTTGACTCATGATTAATCACGGGTACCTCAAAGGAGCAAACATAAAGAAATTGAATAAATGAATTTCATGACTTAATTTCAAAAGAATAATTGTATAGGAAAATAGATCAGAATTAAATTATGTACAATTGTATACTCCACAGAAGTTTCTAATTTAGATTAAAATTATTGTCAAATTCATTTGCCTAAAACTTTGTAAGATAATTTTCCATGTGTACGTCGTTTGTTTCAGTCCTTTTCGTTTTTTGGAATTCATCTTAGCAATTATCACGGACATCTGGTTGAAATAAACTTTATATTTTTTAATTATAATTTTTAAACTATTCGCGTACTATTAAGTATTAACAATATAGTATGATCCAACTTTTAAACATTTTCTTCTTGTTACATATTATATAATCGTTAGAGATGAGGTCTCGTTGGCTCGTGATCATTGTCCGAGCGTGTTCTTTTGTCCATATTCTTTATTTGATCAACTTTATGTTTTCTACTCCTGTTAAAGTTATTTGATCATCATGCATGAGTAGATTCTCCAAGTTGTATGTAGTGTTGGGTTTCTTTCACCAGCGAATATTATCCCAAGGAAATAAAAAAATTGAGAAAACTAATTAAAGAAACAAATATTACAAAGAACACTTTTTCTATAAAGTTTTTTTTTTAATAATATTAACCCTCAAACAAAACAAACAATACAGAATTTTCAAACTCATTAAGATAAGTTTTCGTACATTGCTATAGTACAAATGATAGTTACACAAAGATCAAACGTGACTAGATTACCACATTTTTCTGAGATGAGTTTTTATTTCCAATTTACCATCGTATATATAAAAAATATCCTACATGGTTTAGTCTCACTAATGATACTTATTTGGAATAGTAAAAAAGTTTTGTATACAATGCATCATCTATATACAAGCTGACAAGACACATATATGCATATATACAACGACAGTGTGTATGTTAAGCACTGAAGCTAGAGGGTGAGAACGAGATCATCACAGAACCGAGGGGCCGATGATACCAGGAAAATGAAAAGAAAACAAAAGGTGAAAAAACATACGTATCTGATTTTATTGGTGCTTTTATATAACAAAAAAAAAATTATTTGTTATGATTGGACATGGCATCGACTTTTGTCTTTCCAATTACTTTGAGAAGAGATTCTATTTTGAGGTTAACACAACTCCTAAGAAATACCCACACTCTTTTTCCCCATTTCCCAATTTTACCCATCAACCTTTCCTACATTGATTACCCTTACAAGTATATTAAATTATATATCCACCCACATACATATAAATCTATCCTACACAATATATCTTTAAACAATTCATCAACATCAACCATTGAAATTATGAAAATTTACCCACAATTACTAAAGAAAACTATTTCGAAGTTTTAAGGAATCATTTCATCACAAAAGTTCAAAAACATTGGAAACTTTCGAAACTTAATGTTCATCTTTAGAATGATTTAGAAATTACTTTTTTTTTTCTTCCGGAAATGAGACTTGCACTGAATAATTCACATTCAGACAAAATATAAAATGCGAATTCGGTATCATTCAACTTAATAGCGTAGTCGGCCAGAATAAAAATAAATTATTCTGCTTTTGATCAAAATATTATCACGAGAAACCTACCAGATCTATTGCGCTTTGATTATGCAGATGCTCGATTGGATGATTGATATCAATTTCATCAAGTGGAGTTTTGGTCAACTTAGTAACAACGATACATTTTCTAATAGTGGAGTGTTTATTTTGACAGCAACAAAAATTGGACCACATAACGTAAGTGAATTGTCAGTGAAGGTATTTTCATTCAGGTACTCTTTTCTTTTATGAACAGTGGACTTTGATAAGAGCAGGTCTGTTATCCTCTCTCTCTCACTTAATTATTTTTCCTCTCTTCTTTTTTGTCTTTTTTTTTCTTCAACCCTCTCTTTTGTGTCTGCAACAATGCTTTAAGTGAAATGTGTCTTTATCTCCTTTCCCATACCTCCTTTTTTTTCTTTCTTTTTGTTCAATTACTTTTCAGAAACCAACCAAATTTGAAAGTATAATTCCTCACTGTTATTGAAAAAAGAAAAGCCAGTTGTTCATATTTTCTTTTTTACAAGGTGTAAGGTGTATTTGGTTAATATTTTTCAGTTTTATATGGACTATTTCAGGGGAACAAAACTAAAGTGAAGTATACTAACTCTACATGTGTATTACTTAGATGAATCCAGCACAGTAAATTTTACGTAAATAAACGGTAGCATGTACATTTTACTATACTTGTAATGTTTCAAACATTACTGATATTCAAGTAAAAAGAAAAGTAATATATACGTGATTTCATTAAACGAGTGCCTTTACCAAAAAAAAAAGAAATGTAACATATAAGCAGATCTAGTTGGATATTCTGAAAAGCTATTATGTCTCATACTATCTCTCTTATAGTATCATTAACATGGTAATTATTTAGTATAAAATTAATCAAGTGGTTACAATATAATAGTTTCGTTCTATTCATCGTATACTTTCTTTCCACCGGTGCATTTCTCACACGCTTTAGCTATCATGATAACTTCCATACCTTGTTTAGTTAATAGTTATAAGTAAATACTACTAAATATATCTAGATATGTATGTGGACCAGTGTGGTGATGAATATTGGTAGTGTTTTTATAATTGATAATAAGATCGTTAAATTTGAATTTTGGTCTCGGAACTCAGAACGAAAGAGTACGTTCACGTTGGGACTAATGTGAAAGCCAAAATATACGAGAGGGATGGGTTTATGAATTATGAGGAACCCCATACTTACAAAAATTACCTTACAAAGGGGAAGCAATCAATTTGGAGATGAAGTGCATGTCGATCTAGTAAACATTCCATCTCTAAAGTCAAAACCCTAAATTTCAGTTCCATTTCCCCCGATGCATGCACATGCAACACTTTAATTGCATTCACGTGTCATGGATTATCTATATGGCTGCCAAAACCAAGTACTAATTCATATGTATACCCTTTTATCAAAAGTCTTCTTGATCATATGATTATTTATGATGAATCAACATCAATTACTTACGAGTTACGAGATACATAACCACGAATTTTTTTGACTAAATCTATTTGTTGTGATTCCGACTAATATTTGGTCCCTAACGTTTTCGTTTATGTAATTCATATTAAAGCTAAAGAAATACACCATTATCGATCGCTTTGAAAACATTCCGAGGTGCTGGTTCAAATTTCAAAGGCCTTAACATGCACCTATGAAATTTTGTTATTCAAAGAGATTTCAAATAGTGAAAGTTTAGAATATTTTTTTTTGTGGAAAAAGAAAAGAAAAGAGTATACAACAAGTATTGTAAGAAAGTTCCCGTTACAGGCCCAAATCAAAACACAAAATGGGCCTTACTCACACTCTCTGGTCCATCCTTATAGATCCTCTCTGACACGACTGAGTCACTGACGTCATGTAAGTCTCAACACGTGTACTTGTTGATTCCAGTTCTTACTTCAGATACGCAACAGCAAAAAATCTCTACGCCACAAAGATTCAAGTGGGCCCTACAAAGAATCGTCCACAGTTTGATTTAAATGTCTTAATTCTTAAACACGTCATTAGATTAGAGAGTAGAGACAAACAATAAAAATCATTTCACATTTCTCAATTCTCACTGATTTCAACGTTTTCTCTTCAAATTTCAACATGGAAAAAACTGTGATTCCAAAACTAGATCTTCCTCTGTTACACTTCCCGAACTCCCGGAAACTCGCTTCTATTCCGTCTCCGATTCTTCCATCTCCAAGCTTCAATCGCTGTAGGCGTCACAAGAAACGGCCTTGTCTTGCATCGTCTTCGCGTCAAGGGCTCGAAACAGAGAGCCATGGTGTGATAACGGACAATACCGTTGGAAGAAGATTGCTCGGTTTAGCCGCCGCCGTTTCCGTAGCGGTTTCGTCGTCGACCTGCTGTGATTCTCCGGCACTCGCTGAGTCTCTGACTATCGCTTTCCCCGTTTCACGCGCTCGTGAGGTGATTGAGCTTCTTTTTTATGAATCCTCTGTTTCAACTTCCCTGAATCTTTTTGTGTTGTGATGTCTTGTTAAGGTGACTAGAGTACAGAGAACTCTTGTGGAAGCTTGGGGTTTGATTAGAGAAACTTTCGTCGATCCAACATTTAATCACCAAGGTAATGAATGTTCAGATTTTACTGAATTTGTGGGAGGATTATGTAGAGATGATGGTGAGGGAAGTTTACAATATTGTTTGTGCAGATTGGGATTCAAGGTTGCAGCAAACGATGGTGGAGATGTTTCCGTTAAGATCAGAAGATGATGCTTATGGAAAGATCAAAGCGATGCTCTCTACGCTCGGTGATCCTTTTACTCGAATCATTAGCCCAAAGGTCTTGTAATTTGCATATACTGATTATTCCTCCATGAATGTGTTCTTTAACTGTTTCTTCTGTGCATGATTTGACGTTTGGTTGGTTACTTGACTTGCAGGAGTACCAAAGTTTCAGAATTGGTAGCGACGGAAATCTTCAAGGCGTTGGCCTTTTCATCAACTCAGAGCCAAGAACAGGTCATCTTGTAAGTGACCAAAACACATCTTGAGGCTTAGTTTTTCATTATATTTTTCAATACCGGTTTTTTCTTGATTTTGTGAGGATGAAGTAGATAGATGTTGTTTCATGGTAGAGTCCAATGTAGGTTGTTATGTCTTGCATAGAAGGTAGCCCGGCGGATCGTGCTGGTATTCATGAAGGCGAGGAACTAGTCGAGATTAATGGTAAATTTGTCCTTATCCCTACCACAACTAGATTTCTGAAAACTCTGTTTTGTTTTGTTCTTTAACAACAACAAATAAAACTCTGTTCTGTTTCTTGTTGAGATTTTCAGGTGAAAAAGTGGATGATATCGATAGCGAAGCAGCAGCCCAAAAGCTGAGAGGCAGAGTTGGAACATTTGTGACAGTTAAACTTAAGAGTGTGCGTACTCTCTTTCGTCTTCTCTATCTTTTTCTGCTGCATTCTCTTTGTTGAAATGTTATTGTCATCTCTTGCAGGTTAATGGATCAGGGAAGGATTCCGGTTACCGAGAGGTATGATTATAACCGGTACTTATATATCTTAGATTTGTTCTTGGGTGATTTACTTATTAAAAGTCTCTCTAATATGCGTAACGTAAAGGTCAAGTTACCTAGAGATTACATTAAGCTATCTCCGATATCAAGTGCTATTATCCCGCATACGACATCCGATGGCCGTCTAGCAAAAACTGGTTATGTCAAACTCACAGCATTTTCTCAGGTTAGTGTTTGTGAAAAAAGCAGAAAGATAGTGATATTTGGTATGTAATTATGTATAGTTCACTGATTTTTGAAGCTTGTAATAGACTGCAGCGTCAGATTTGGAAAATGCGGTACACGAGATGGAGAATCAGGATGTTCAGTCATACATCCTAGACCTAAGGAACAATCCGGTAAATTTATAGGTTTTGTTCTTATATAGCGAGATATTGTCTATCTGCTACTTACCTTTTGTAATTTCCATTTTCCAATGCAGGGAGGTCTAGTTAAAGCTGGACTCGACGTTGCACAGTTATGGCTTGATGGAGATGAGACCCTTGTGTATACAATCGACCGTGAAGGTGTCACATCGCCTATCAACATGATTGCTGGACATGCCGTGACTCACGATCCACTTGTCGTGCTTGTAAGTAACTTCATATATTAAAGCTTGGCTAGATAATCCATATGGTGCAATCTGTTAGGTTTCAATTCAAAAGATGCTTGGTGTATACGTCAATATGTCCGAGGTCCATAAGTGTCTGTGTATATCTTGATCAAATGTTGAACAGGTGAATGAAGGAAGTGCGAGTGCAAGTGAGATTCTGGCAGGTGCTTTACACGATAACGGTCGAGCTATTCTTGTCGGTCGCCGCACGTTTGGGAAAGGGAAAATCCAGAGCGTAACAGAGCTAGACGACGGCTCGGCTTTGTTTGTGACGGTAGCTAAGTATTTGTCGCCGTCTCTGCACCAAATTGATCAAGTAGGGATCGCACCTGATGTACAGTGTACCACGGATAGGATCGATTCTCTGACCGGTGAGATACTTATGAAGATGAACAGTTCGGTTCCTTTGCTTGAAGCAGATTCTTGTGTTATGGTCGCTGAGCACGAACTTGAGACTCGACGATCCAATGAAATAGCTTCTTGATTGGTTGTACCCTAAATTTCTAGGACAAGAATATGTTGTAGCATGTATATATAGATAGTTTAGTGTATAAATGTATTTAGGTACGTACTGTTGCTACCGTGTGTATACGTAGAATTGCTGAACAAGATTTTTTTTGGTGTAACACCGGGAGCTAGCTCCCAGTTTATTCAAACAAGAAAAAGTACTACAAACGAACTTGCCGAGGACGTGAGTCGCCACGCTCATCATCCCGCAATACACTTAACAGAACCGAAGGAACAAAATCAAAAACATGAAGCCCTAGTGGCAAAGTAAAAGCATAGTTAGCCAATCCATCAGCTAGACGATTGGCCTCCCTATACACGTGAGTAACCCGGACCTCCCAGTCCTTTGATAAGAAGCCATGGCACAGATGCACCAGGAAAGACAGTGGGTGTGTGTCACAGATCCTGTCTGAAGAAAACCTACCACCAGTGAAGAGTCCACCTCGACTTCCAGTCTCGAGACCCCCTTCTCCCACGCAATGCAAAGACCGTAGTAAACGCCCCACAGTTCCGCCATTGGTGCTGTGCAACGTCCAATATTCAACGAGAATCCTCCATGCCATTGTCCGTCACCGTCACGTATCACACCTCCTGCTGTTGCCAACCCCGGATTACCACGAGAGGCCCCATCCGTATTTAGCTTCATCCAAGTAACTAGTGGTGGCAGCCACGAGATAAGTCTCTCCTCCCTTGTCACTACTCTCCGATTGCTGAACAAGATTGGTAATGAGGATTATATTTTGTAAAATTACATTGTATTGGTAATGTAATATAGTCTTGTTTATTTCAAGATTTTGTCATTTTAGATGAAATCTCATGTAGTATTTCGAGTTCGTCGATATTGAAAACAACATTAATACATTAATGACGTATAAGATAATTTTGCGTTTGGTTAGCTTTTGTATATGTGAAAACCCTAAGGTTTGTTTTTCAAAATTGTTGCGGATCATGTTCAAGTGACAAGAATATACAAACGGAAATGCTAAAATAAATCTAAGCCACAACATCACAACTCTTTTAACCGCAATTATAGCCACATTCAACGGTGATTTAGTTAATTTTGACCATCATAATCTTATTTCCCTGATTTTCCTTAAAATTAGCTCTGCTTTTTAGGTAAAATATTACTAAAAATAACACAAGTTCCACACATATAAATCCCTCATCAACACCATCCATATTCCTCAGACCTGCAAGAACTTCAAAAAAAAAAACACACACACAACAAAAAAAAAGTAAATAAAAAGAAGAAGAGAAATCCCTTTCAGGTCTCAAGAATGGAGATGAAGAAGATTGCTTGCGGTGTGCTTTTCGCTGCTGCCTCCATGACCGCCGTCATGGCTGCTGAGGAAGTCGGAGCTCCGGCACCAGGACCCTCATCCGCCGCCTCGGCTGCATTGCCTGCTCTCGGCTCTTTGGTTGGGGCTTCCCTTGTGTCCCTCTTCAGCTACTACATGCACTAAGCTATATCTTCATTATGTAATAATACTATTTTATGTGATCTAATTCATTTCCTACCTATTTCCATTTCACTTGTTCATTAATAAAACTGAGAAAGTAATCCAAGAATAAACGTTCTCTTCTTCATTATCTTCTTTTTCATTTCAAGCTAGCAATTTTGGATTTTTCGATGGTGTGAATTGATTCCTGAATCTGGTTTCCCTCCTGATGGGAAAATTGGACAAATGCTAGAGCCTATAATAACAATTACATCTTCAAGAAATACGTAATTTTATCAGTACATAATGTCATAAAGTGAAAAAAATCTGGTTTATTCACATTTGATATATCCAAAAACAAATTATTACTTAATAGTTTTAAACTCGGGAATTTTAACCAGTTATTGATAAATTGTTAATCATAGAACGTTAATATATTTAAAGAATTTTTGTTGTTGATGATTTTTCAACAAAATATTGTTTTATTACTTACAAAGTAAAGAATGTTAAACTCCAATCATGTAGTTGACTTCGTTGACTTGACATGTTCTTGCGTCTCCAACTCTCTTTCTTTCTCGCGTCCCTTTCTTCAGAAGACCATCTTCATTCTTCAAACTCAATTTCTGGGTTTAGAGATGTTGCGTTTGTTCAGCAAAAAGAAGAAGAAGAAAGAAGTGGAGATCCATTTCCAGAAGAATGGGAGCTTATTGTTGGAGGAACTCATAGCAACTTCAGGAGGTAAGTACAATCCCATCCGTATGTTTTCCTCCAACCAAATCCTTCAAGCTACAAACCACTTCGACTGGAACTACGTAATCTCTGAAGACAGATTCGTGTGGTTCAAAGGCATAATTGAAAACAGGTGCGTACTCATCAAGAAATTCCAAGACTGTTCCCTTTTCGACGCTGACAACTTTTACCGTGACATTGCGGTCTCATCATTGATGAGTAGCCACAAGAACGTTCTCAAGCTCTTAGGCTGTTGTCTAGAGTTTCCTCACCCGGTTCTCGTATGTGAATACCCTGAGAATGGAGCTCTTAACGGTATAAGACGCGCAAAGCCATTTCCTTGGAATGTGAGATTGAAGATCGCTAAGGAAATTGCAGAAGCTGTAACGTATCTTCACACCGAGTTCCCAAGAACTATAATCCATAGGGATCTAAAGCTTGCAAATATCTTCTTGGACGAGAATTGGTCTGCCAAGCTCTCTTCTTTCAGCCTCAGCGTACTGATTCCAGAAGGAGAATCTGGCGTGATTGACACGGTTTGCAGGACATCAAGCTATATAGAGCCAGATTACTTCAAAACAGGTTTGGTAACTGAGAATGTCGACATCTATAGCCTTGGGATCATCATGCTGATTCTTTTGACAGGAAGGTCTGAGTACACTTCGGAAGTCGCTGTTTATCTTCCTGTGTTGCCTGTCTACGCTGGGAAGTTGCTGGACCAAGGTCTGTTGACTGAGCTGATAGACCCGTCCACGTTGGAAAGCGTGAATGACGACATCCCCGAGCGTCTAAGACAGCATATGGAAGCATTCATTGAGCTTGCTTTTAGATGTGTAAGATTCAGACCAGGAGACAACGTGCAAGTTCGTATGATAGACATTGCAAGAGAACTCAAGAAGATAGAGAATCATAATATTTGAGGCCACAAATTTTCTGGTGAGACTCACAACAGATCTATAGAAAAAACTTGCTGTGATCTTCTCATTTTCGAGCTTTCTTTTATCTGTTGTATGTAAGAACCTGAGCTTTCTTTCTCCAAGCAACTGATTGCTCTTCTTTTGGAAACCCTAAATGCACTCATGTTCTTGTGATGTTTAATTACGCAATGATGTCTCCATCCGCTTGAGCTCTTTAGCTACTTGGATCATCTTTGGTCTGTCTTCATCTCTCTCCTCGCAGCATCTCAACGCAAGCACAACACAAGCTTCCACCAGCACTCTCTGCTCACTTGTGACCATCATTGGATCAGTTACTTCACTGAGCCTCCCGTTCTCAACCAAGCCTCTCACATAGCCAAGAACACCTTCGTAATCACCATCAGATCCAGTGGAAACGAGAGCTGGTCTTCCAATGAGAACAACCAACAGAAACACCCCGAAGCTATACACATCTGTATACTCTGTCACAAAACGCGTGTCATGATATAACGGATCAAGGTACCCGAATGTTCCCAGGACTATTTTAGCTTCCACTGTTGCTTTTCCTTCAGGGAGAGATATCGAGAAGGACAAATCAGACAGCTTTGCGGTCCAGTTCTTGTCCAAGAAAACATGCATTGGCTTAACATCTCTATGTATGATGATCTTAGGGAAGGCCATGTGAAGATAAGTCAGTGCATTCGCAATCTCCTTCCCAATCTTCAATCTTAAACGCAATGGCAATAAAGATTCTTCCCCGTTTGTCATAACACCTCCTCTACGATTCAGAGCTCCATGTTCTGCGAATTCAAACAACAGAACAGGAAAAGGGAACTCGAGACAACATCCTAACAGTTTTAGAAAGTTGCTGTGGTTACTCATCCGAATCGACAGAACAATGTCGTTGTAAACCTCGTCAGCTCTGTCTCCGATTCCAACAACTTTATCCTCTGAGAATTTCTTGATCATGTAAGATCTATCTTCGATTTTACCTCTATACCACTTAAAGTAGGCATCTTCCGAGACGAAACAGCTTGAATCGAAGTTATTGGTGGCTTTAAGGATCTGGGAAGAAGAAAAGCTGCGTATGGGAATGGATTTACCGTTGCAATCAGCGATAAGCTCTTTCAAGAAGATGCTTCCGTTGTCCAGAAACCATCTTTCCTTCTTCATTTCGTTTTCCTTCTTTCTTCTTCCCGACCCAGAATTCAGATACATCTTCTTCATCGATTCCACCCTCAAAATAATCAATCTTCTGTGCCCTTTTTTGTTGGTGGAAAATATAAAGCTTCTGATGAACTCAACAAGGCCCAATTAAGTTCTATGGGCATTTCTCTCATAGGCCCAAATAAAGTCCCATGAGTATTCCTCTGAGTCTGATGTGTACTACATAGTTTCCGCCGGGCATTCTACGCCGGCCGGAAGTTGGAGAAGAAAGTGGCTTTGGGAGAAGATGGAGCTTACCGTTGGATTGGTGGTGACGAGACGGGGAAGCAGAAGTTATCCAGGGCTCTTAAAAACCGTGCGTTCCTGCTTGTTCCGCCTCTTCACCGTGTGCCATTACGCGCGGGAACGTAGTGGAGATCAGTGGCGCGTCGCCATCTGCGAAAACTCAGATTCCAAGCTGAGATCAGTCGCATTCTTATGTACTGCGTTTATCTGAAACATCGTCTTCTTGAAGCTAACTAACGGTAAGCAAACAAAATTTAAAGTTGACTTCTTCTTACTCTGTACTTTGTAATCATGTACTCTTATAGTTCAGTGAAGAGAATTCGTGAATGGAAACGAGCTCTTTGATTTGATTCATTACACTATGAGCATTGGCCTATAATTGAAAAAAACTATAATCTAGCACCTTTTCTTGTAGATTCATATTCGTGAAATTGAGACATAATATGTTTTGGTCTTTTCTAGTGGTATATGATGTTGCATAGTGTAAGGTTTTTATTCAGTGAGAGGTAAGTCCACATTATGCAAGATAAATCGAATATGGTTTGAATGTGGTTCTTCCAGCGTATCAGGGTTAGGCAATGGAACATGTTGGCAACTTCTGTAGCGTCAAATAGTGCAAAATGTTTTGGTATTATTGATTTGAGAAACTATATGCTCTGGCGAAATCTGTCAATTTGACTGGGGTTTCTACGTTAACCAAAGCTCTCGAATCTTTATTATTCTGTTCCAACATGTATTAGAATATGAAACGTGTCAACAACAACAACAGAAGAATATTGATCATGATGAGTCCCGGTCCATAAAGTCAATGGTTGGCAATTTGTCTTCCTTGTTCAAGAAGTACTAATCTGTGTATGCTTTCAGATCTTATAGGTCTTTCTTGTTTTTGGAAAACTACTCTGCCGCTTATTAAAACAAAAAAGTGTTGTTTGTTAGATGGGATGGATGGTGAAAAAGCTGAAGAAGCTGAAGCAGAAACTGAAGCAGAAACTGAGATCCAAGTCATGGAGGAAAAAGAAGGAAAAAGAGAGGGAGATGGAGATGGCGATGGAAAAGTGCCTCTTGGAGAACGGAAGCATCTTGTTGAAAGAACTTATCGCTGATTGTAACGGTAAGTCAATTCCTATACGCACCTTTTCTTGTTCCCAGATCCTAGAAGCAACCAATAACTTCGACTACAGTTATCTTGTCGCCAAAGGGGACGGCTACGAATGGCATAAAGGTATCATCGAAGATAAGCCTTACTTGTTCAAGAGATTCTCCAATCAACTAATGAGAGAAGGCAGAGTTTCAGAGATTTACAATGACATTGCATTGTCTGCTCGGATGAGCAACCACAACAACTTTCTTAAACTATTTGGATGCTGTCTCGAGGTTGTTCTTCCGGTTCTCGTGTTTGAAAACGCAGGGCACGGTGTTCTGAATGACAGAGGAGGTCTTATGGTAACTGACGTGGAGCAACCTATATTGCCTTTGAGTTTACGGTTGAAGATTGCAAAGGAGATTGCAGATGCTTTGGCTTACCTTCACATGGCGTTCTCAAAGATCACCATACATAGAGATGTTAAGCCAACGAACATTTTCTTGGACAAGAACTTAACCGCAAAGTTGTCCAATCTCTCCCTCGCCGAAACACTCCCTGAAGGAAAATCAAGAATAACAACTATTGTGTCAGGAACACACGGTTACATCGATCCAGTAATCTTTGAAAACGCTTCGGTAACAGAATACACCGACGTGTACGCCTTTGGAATTTTCTTGATAGTTCTTCTCACTGGTAGACCAGCTCTTGACCCCAGGAGGCGTGAATGGACTCCTCATCGTATTCTTGGCTACGTGAAAGGCTCACAAGAGAATGGGAAGCTCGGTGAAGTGATCGATCCACTGATGGCAAATGAGATTACAAGTGGTGAAAGATCGCAGGCGGAAGCGTGTATTGAACTTGCGCTTATGTGTTGTGAGACGAAAGATGAAGACAGGCCGAAGATGATCCAAGTGGCTAACCAAATCAAGCGGATTCAGGCATCATCTTAGAGATCCTCTGTTCTCGGACTACAAAGCCAACGTTTGGAAATCATTTACTTCTGTTCTGAAAAATGGAACTCTCAGGCTCATGCATAATATCTATCCGCGAAGCTCAGGTGCACATATGACTATGTGATTTGCGCTCATATGTTTTTTTTTGGGCCTGTGTGTGTATAATGCTTGAACAATAATAATACCTGAGAGATATATCTTCTGTCAATTTAAAACAGTTATGTTGAAATGTTAATGCATTTTCTTGTTAAATACTGAAAGTGGTTCTTTGTTTCAGATGCTACTTTATGTATATGAACTGTAATGCATCATATTGTAATATCATATTTGTCTTGGGGAAGTATCTCCCTCATAAAAGATGAGGCTCTTATACACGTAAGTGTTAGTATCAGCTACAACATATGTGATCTTTAAACCGTATGCTCCAAGGTACTGGACTACTGATACAGAACACGGCATCTCTCTTTGAGGATGTCTGTCATAGAACCTTGCTTGTTACATTGTGATCTATGGAGTCTATTGTTGAAGGAATGTTTTGCATGAGAAACAATTATAGAAAGTTCTACTCTCAAGATAGTGTTTGTGTTGTGGTGAAGTATCCACACTGTAGGTTTTGTGTTGGATCTTGGACCCAGTTAAAAAGTTTGATTGGCGTTTCAGACATTACCTCATTATGATTGAATAGAACTTATCTATGATTGAATGACATATTTGTCTTATAATTCGAGCATTTAGAAAAAGAGACCTGACCGCAAAACTTTGTAGATTTTTTTTACTTAGCTACATATAGTCCAAGCAAATGTAAATAGAAGAAGTTGTGTATAGGTCCAATCAGAAAAACAGAGGAATCTCTCAAAATGAAGTCTCAATCCGCTTTAGTTCCTTAGCTACATGAATCATCTTCGGTCTGTCTTCATTCCTCTCCTTACAGCATCTCAACGCAAGTAAAATACACTCTTCCACCTGAGATCTTTGAGCTCTTGTCATGTCTTTCATCAACATACAATCTATTTCTCCATTGAGCTTGTCATTCTCATATAACCCCTTCACATATCCAAGAATATCTACCGGATACCCTTCAGATCCTGTGAAGTAAACCGATCTCCCAGTGAGAAGAACCATCAAAAACACTCCAAAGCTGTACACATCCGTATACTCTGTCACAATCAATGTTGCAAAGTATAATGGATCCAGATACCCATACGTACCCAACACGTCATCAGCTTCTATCTGTGTTTTTCCCTCCTCAAGCGATATCGAGAAGGACAAATCAGACAACTTTGCGGTCCAATTCTCGTCCAAGAAAACATGCATTGGCTTCACATCTCTATATATAATGATCTTAGGGAAAGCCATGTGAAGATAAGCCAATGCATTTGCAATCTCCTTCCCAATCTTCAACCTTAAACTCAACGGCAATGAAGATTCCTCTCCGTTGATCATAATACGTCCTCTATGATTCAAAACTCCATGCTCTGCGAACTCAAAGACCAGAACAGGAAAAGGGAACTCGAGACAACATCCAAGCAGTTTAAGGAAGTTGTTGTGGTTGCTCATCCGAGCAGAGAGGACGATGTCTTTGTAGACTTCTCCCACTCGGCGATCTGTGACTTTATACTCGGAGAATCTCTTGATCATGTATGATCTGTTTTCGATGATGCCTTTGTACCATATGTAGAAACCTTCTTCGGCGACGAAACAAGTGGAGTCGAAGTTCTTGGTGGCTTTTCGGATTTGGGAAGTAGTGAAGCTGCGTATGGGAATGGATTTGCCGTTGCAGTCAGCGATGAGCTCTTTCAAGAAGATGCTTCCGTTCTCCAAGAACCTCTGTTCCTTCTTCGTGCTTTTCTCCGGCTTTTTCCTGAACGACCCAGAACTCAGATTTTGCTTCAGTTTCTTCACCATCGAATCCATTTTTCAAAGATGTTCACTTTTTACAGCAAAACACAAAAAAAAAAACCAATTTCTTCTAATCTCAAAGTGCTTCTGAAAATGGTAGACTCGAACTACCTGGAACGGTGGTAGTGAGGGTTTCGGTGTAAGCAATTTTTGGGTTTGCATTGAGATGATTGAAGTGGTCAACAAACACAACGCCATAGAAGAACTTGTCAAAGTTCAAATCAGTCAAACTACTTTGTGTAAAGTCAATATCTCGGTCCGGTTTGACTTTGACCTAAGAGGCCACACCGACCGAAGAAAAGACACGTGCTCACTTTTGGAAACAGACAGAAGCCAGGTGTACATTTTTCTGTTGTAAGTTTGTAACCTAATAAAGTACGAACAGAGTGTAATCAAATGTAAGTTTAAAGTAGGTCTGGGCAAATTATCCGTTATATTTGCTTCGATCCGTTATCCGTTCCGATTCGATCCGAAAAATCCGGATAACCGTAATTTTACAAAGCAAAGCAAATACTAAAAATTAATATCCGTTAAAACCGGAGCAAATCACAAATACTGAAATTTTAAAAGCCGGATATCCGATCCGCTCCGTTATACATATAGATATATCTATATATATAAAATTACATATATAAATTGGATGATTGTTATGTTTATATCTAAATTTTATAAATCTATATTCATTAAATTGATTATTTAAACACTAAAAAAAATTAAAACAAAATAACTACTAATAGTTTTTTTGTGTTAAAAATTGATTTTTCTGAAATTTTTTAAATACAAATATTTTTTAAAATATTTACGGAGTGGATAATTCACGGATATTAAACAGAGTTACGGATATCCGGATCAAACGGATCGGAGCGGATAATCCGCGGATATTAAACAAAGTTACGAATATCCGGATTTTCGGATATCCGAAAATTTTCGGATCGGATCGGATCAGAAAATCAAATATCCGGACGGATCGGATCGGATCACGGATACCTGTTTTTTGCCTAGTATTTGCTCCGTGCCCAGGGCTAGTTTAAAGGAAAGTTTTGTCAAATTGTCATGAAATAAACATTATAAACTTCATCAAAGGTACCAAAGTGTTATAACTGAGGTTGAATCTGCGTTTATGTAACAAATATTTTATGCTCGTATGAATATCCAAACTTGCCTTTATAATCCAGAACATAGAGGATCTCTTAGTGATGTCATAGTTCTCTTGAGTTCTTAAGCTACTTGTATCATGGTTGGCCTGTCCTTCTCCTTTCTTGTCACCTCTCTTGATGTAAAGACTAAAGACTATCATCAATATTGCAAATGAGCGGATCTCAAAACGTGTTGACTAATCAACATCCCATACGAAATATAGTATTTTAATCATTTGTTTTCCTTCAAAGTTTTTGATGAGTACTACTGATGAAAAATCAAAAGATGAATTTTTGGAGGAAGAAGACGACGAAGAAGAACTCAGAAGCAAATCAACGGCTAAGATTGTTCCAAGAGAATGGGAAGGTCTTCTTAGAAGATCTCGTCGAGCTTTGCAATGGCCAATCCAATCCAATCAAAGCTTACTCTGCTAACCAAATCCTCGAAGCCACCGACAATTTCAGCGAGAGAAATCACCTGGTCCGATTCGAGTTTATGTACAGAGGTATGCTCGAAAACCGTCCTGTCCTAATCAAAAGACCCGTATGGAAATTATACACATCAGATACACTAGAAAAGATCTGTCGCGACATAGCGGTCTCATCGATGGTCAGTGGTCACAAGAATTTCCTCAAACTGTTAGGATGCTGTCTCGAATTCGAGTATCCTGTCTTAGTCTGCGAATATGCAGAACGTATACCTTACAAAACTCCAAATCTTGGAATGTTCTCGTGGGGATTGGGAACGCGGATTAAGATAGCGAAAGAGATCGCGATCGCGGTTTCTTACCTTCACACGGCGTTTTCAAGAACTATGATCCATATGGATATACAACCTTCCAACATATTCTTGGATTCGAATGGAACAGCAAAGCTTAGTGGGTTTTGTCTCTGTGTCTCGATTCCAGAAGGAGAGACATTTGTTAAGGTCGATGCTGAGAGAGTAGAAGGAGTTTTGGATTACCTCGAGTATAAGTATGTGACGAGTGGTGTAGTCACTGAGGATACAGATGTTTTTAGCTTTGGAGTCTTGCTGCAAAATCTTTTGACGAGAAACTGTGAAGTGGTTGATTGTTGCAGTGATAATGATGATGAGAGTCTGTTTGAGTACGAACAGAATGTGATGAAGCTGAGGATTTCAGATAGGGTTTCCAAGTTTGTGGAAGAAGGAAGAGTGTTTGAGATCTTGGATCCTAAAATGTTGGAGAGTTTGGTTGATGAAGAGCACGAGAGACAGCGAATGGAAGCAGTCCTTATGCTCTCACTCAGATGCACTGGTCATAGAGGTCATGTTCCAAAGATGATTGAAGTTGCCAAGGAACTTAGACGGATTGAGAAATGGACGCAAAGATGATTTGTTAAAAACTTTATTGAGTGGATTTGTATTAATAAGAAGATGTGGATCAAACTGTAATATCTATTTGGGGCGTAGAATGAAACTATAATTGTTTTGGGTCAAATTGTAATACTCTAAAAGCTGTAAGAACATGGAAATTGGAACTTAAAAAGCACTGAGAAATGGACGTAAATATGACCTTTTAAAAACTCTAGGTGTCAATTTGTAATAATAAGAAGATGTGGATCAAATTGAAATATTTATTTTTTGGGCGTAGAATGAAGAACAAATCAAATTCTCAGAAAGAAGAACAAATCAAATTTGCTCTCTCACTCTCTCTCTTACAGTCATCTTCTTCATCGATCAAAATGATTAAGAGCAAGAGCAAGAGCAAGAGCAAGAAGAAGACGAAATTGGATTTGAAGAACGGAGGGATTCTAATGGAGGAGCTAATCGCTACCTTCGACGGCAAAACAAATCCGATTCGCTGCTTCTCCTCCGATGAGATCCTAAAAGCGACAGATAATTTCTCCGAGAGCCGAATCATCTCCAGCTGGGGATACTTCATCTGGTACACAGGCGTAATCGAAGAACGACCAGTCTCGATTAAGAAATGGTCGAGCCAAAACCTCTCAAGCTTCACAGAAGCGTATCGCGACATCTCCGTCTCCTCTCAGATGAGCGGCCACAGAAACGCTCTCAAGCTTCTCGGCTGCTGCTTAGAATTCGATCTCCCAGCTATAGTCTGCGAGTACGCAGAACACGGACCGCTCAACAGAGACGGAGGAATCTCAACCGGAGAGGCCTTGCCGTGGGAAGTGAGATTGAAGATCGCGAAAGAGATAGCGAGTTCCGTGAGCTACCTCCACACGGCGTTTCCGGAGACGATAATCCACCGGAACATAAACCCGACGAACATTTTCGTCGACGAGGATTGGACGGCGAAGCTTTCCGATTTCTGGTTCTGCGTTGCGATACCGGAAGGGGAGTTGTACGTGCAGGACGATGTGAAAGGAGTGATTGGATTCGTCGATCCGGATTATTACTGGACGATGAAAGTTACGGAGAAAGTTGATATTTACAGCTTTGGTGTTGTGATGTTGGTGTTGTTATCGGGAAGAGCTGCTGTGTTTGATGGACCTGGGGAGACTCCTATGTCGCTTAACGATCATGTGGGTGAGGTTATGGAGAAAGGTGGGTTTGAAGAGATTGTTGATAGAGAGATTTGGAATGTTGGGGATGGTGGTGATTTGGTTAAGAGACGGTCACAGGTTGAGGCGTTTCTTAGATTGGCGTTGAGATGTGTTAGATACAAGAAGGAGGATCCAGTTAGTGGTATGATTGAAGTTGCTAAAGAGCTCAAATTTATTGAGAAATTCTCTTGATTTAGTTTTCTGTATTCTTGAAAGATTGAGAATTTAGTGATGTCTCAAGAGTTCATGTTGATACCATTTTCGGATAATGTTTAGCTTCATGTTGGTAACTTTGGCTCTAATGTGAAATAAACAAAGTGTGAACACATTTCGTCTCATGTTTTGCTGCTCATGAAAGTCAACTCTTTTCTTTAGCCGACTACATTCTCTGTTTTTTAGTGGACCATACCCATTATCTAATATACAATTTTGATGTTGCTTCGTTGTCTTTTTCTGCAACATTCATGGCGCTTTAGCTTCAGAGGTACGATTTGGATTACATTTCTTGTTTTCACATATCTCTTCATTTGAGATTTGGTGTTCATTAGCTCCATTGATTGTGATGAGACTCATCAACTACTACAGAACATTTCTTAGACCCGGTTTAGTTATTGCGTAGACATTAGAGATCAAGAGGGTGGTTTTGGGATTAGAGATCTGATAAGATTTGAGAGAAACTCAATGATTTAAACTCTCTTCTCATTAATTTCAGCTGTTGAGAGTGGATTAATGGAGTTTCTCTGGCAAGTAGATGAACTTTTGTCTTCTTGTGCTTTAACGGATAAGCCTTGTTGAGTCTTATAAAACATGAGTTGGTTAAGAACAAAAACAATCGGAGCCAAGAAAAGGCAGAGGAACGTCAAAGAGAACGGCGAGGTAGTTCTCAAGGAGCTAATTGAATGTTGTGATGGAAAATGCAATCCAATCAAGAACTTCTCTTCCAAGCAGATCATCAAAGCAACGGATAACTTCAGCCAGAGCAACCGTGCTTCCAGGATCGATGTTTATTACCGCTGCTACAAAGGCGTCCTGGACGAACGTCCTGTGCTCATCAAGAAAGGGAAATACGAGCTTGATACCAAAGAGATTTGCCGCGACATAGCGGTCTCATCGATGGTTAGTGGTCACAAGAACTTCCTCAAACTGTTGGGATGTTGTCTTGAGTTCACTCCTCCTGTTTTAGTTTTTGAGTATGCAGAGATTATAACTCTCGGTCCACTTCTTGCATCGTCTAATCCGAGAAACCTGAGGAGGATAAAGATAGCAAGAGAAGTCGCAAATGCTTTGACTTACCTTCACACAGCGTTCTCAAGAGCTTTCATCCATTCAAATCTTGATCCTTTCACCATTTTCTTAGACGGGAATGGTATCGCCAAGCTCGGGAATTTCTGCAACTGTATCTCGATTCCGGAAGGAGAGACATTTGTTCAAGATGATGCGTTACAGAAGTATCATGAGTTTAGGCGAAATACGTTAAAGGAGACACATGGACTTGGTGTGTGTTACTTACCAGTTATCGATCATGAATACAAGTCAACCGGTAAGGTCACGACAAAGACTGATGTCCATAGCTTTGGAGCGTACATGTTAGCTCTTGTGCAGATAGCAGAAGTTGATGATGAGCTATCTATGTGTTCGGATATGTTGCGAGCATTAGGTGACTTGTTCATCAAACCTTGTGACGACGATGATCGATTCCCGCTTCACCATCATGTGTCCAAGATATTGAGGAGGTTCGGGTATGGAGAGGCTATAGATTCAGATGTGAGTAGTGGTGTAGCTGCTTCACCGGTTAGAGCTTTTCTTAGATTAGCGTTGAGATGCATCGGATGCAACTTAGGAGAGCCCTTGACTAGCATGATTCAAGTGTCAAATGAGCTCAGGCTGATTGAGAAATCTGCATATGGAGATCGCAGAGATGGTTCTAAGGTGATTTCATCTAATGTTTTAATGTCTTTGACAAGTGACATCACACGAAGATCTTTATAACTTTCTCTATTTTTGGTTAGTTTGGTTGGATGGTCTTGGAGAATCTTCGATGTTATTGATCAACACTTGTAAATAAAAGTACTCGCTTCATTTTAATAATTTTTTTCTGTGATAATATGAAGCTCTAACCAAATTCTTATTGTATTAGTATTAGATTACTGGAAAAATTAAGCAACGGTACAACAACAATTTTTTTGACCAGCCCAATACACTCAACAATAATATACTGAAAGTAAAAACCGATAATTCAATAGCATTTTTTCTACACATATTTTCCACACGAAAACTTCTTATGGAAGCAAGCAATCAGTTTCAGTCATTGAGAAAACCAAAAACAGTAAAACCCAAATCTAATTCGCAAAATACGATCAAAGACCACGTATTAAAACATCCCAAGGCAAGACCATAAGTCCACAACAAAAACATTATAAAGTAACATCAGTTCACATGACCACATACTGCATCATGGTGCGACTTGTAATTTTTTTTTTTTGTTTCATTTTTTGCCCAAGTTGTTGCCTTGCCGCCACCGTCCCCGCCACGGCGATCTCCCAAAACCTTAACTTTCATTCATGCTCATTAACGGCTTTTTTTTACTTGAGATCTTATATAGATATTATATAGATGTAAAACTAAATTATTGAATTGGCGGGATGAGCCAAACCCATACAGTATTAGAGTTTGATGGGTTTGACCGCACTTATTAGAGTTTATAAGACTTTAGGCTCTGGTGGGAAATTTTTCATCTAGTTTATGATCGATGGGTAAGCGCCCAAAATCTGTACACATGTTTGTTACTATGTTAGAATTATTAGTAATTCCAGTTGCTCAAAAAAAATTAGTAATTCCCAATTTGGTCACAATTTAAGAGAAATTAGTAGCCAAAATCTTGTCAGCAGCAAACCAAGAATCATCGGCTAATTAAATAGCGACTATGTCTTTTACTTCAATATACTCTAAAAAAAAGGAGGTGTGTTTTGATAAGACATAAGAAAGCAATTGATACAATTATACAAATAGGCCTTGCTTGTTATTATCTTGTATGTTTTGAAACTCCGAAATCATAATACTTCCAACTATTCTACTCTCTCTAAATCAATCATAATAGTTCCAAAACATTACAGATTCGATAAAATCGAGAACACGTAATTACCAGTTCTCAGTAATTAGTGTTTCTATGGAGAGATTATATATTATTAAAACTTAAAAGAGATTATCACCTCGTCAGACGCTAAATATACAAATTTCTCTAAGAGCATATTCGTCTAATCAAATCCTCTTCATAAGCTACTTATAATTAAGTTCAACAAGACTTAGTTTATATCAGTAGAAAATTTTAGCATCTAACACAAAATGCAGTTTCTCATGTATCAAGCTTTATCTTGTATTAATGAATTAGGAAGACTAGTTGGAGTTTGGGCTGTGGAGTGACACGAAATCTTGAAGCCGAGTAGATTACAAAATAATGTTGCTTGGGCCTTTGGACTTTGATTGGAGCTATGGTTTTGTTTGACTTCCCTGATATCAGACTTTTCTTTTCTGATCACTAATCATCTATAATGTTGATTACATACAGTCTGGAAAATGAGAGCTTGCAGTTAAATTCATTAATGAATCATTCACAGAGAATAACTTTTTGTGAAGTTGTTAGAGGAATTGCTGAGGATGTTCGATGTTACTAATTGACACGTATGAATAAAAAAGACTCGTATTTTATTGTTTTTGAATAGGTGATAATAATATGAACCTCTGACCAAATTTGTATTACATTAGAATTAGATTACAGGATCTAATTGTATTATAGAATTAAGCAACAACAAACAGTTTTACCACTATCGGGCACACATACTTTGACAATCAGTAACGGAAGATATTAATTAACGAGATTAAAAATTTGTAAATAATAATATTAATTAACGGAAGATATAAATTAACGAGATTACAATTGTACGTTATGTCTCCGTTAATTCTTATTTGTCCACTTCATAGAAAGAAATTAATTAACGAGATTAAAATTTGACTAAAGAATTGGCGGGTTGAGCCAGGTCCGTGCAGTAGTGCAATGCATGGACGACTCGTGAAAGCCCAGATAGCAAGCTATCTTTACAGGCCTTCTCCCTTAAAAAATAGAGTTAATACCGTGTGGGCCAATGGCCCACATATCAGATATTAAACTGATAAGAACAGATACTACACTTGATCTTAGCCAAAAGGCCGAGAAAGGTATGAATTGTAAGTGAGGCCTAGCTTCTTATTTTATAGTGCCAAGCTTATGACCAAACTTCTTTAACTTACCGATGTGGGACTTTCCAAGTATTATTTTCCTTTAAAGTCCTCTTCTTTGCTATTGATCACGGAAACTTCACAAACCTACAAGAACGAAAGACGTAAATCTTCTTTTCTTTGTTCACGGTATTGATGCTGATTCCGTTGAGTTCATGAAAAACATGCTTGAAAATACAAATGGGATTGTAGGTAATAAGGGCACTTTCTTCGTATCCATTGATTCTGCAGTTACATCCATAGATTATACAGAAATAGGATTCCCACTTATTAGTGTTGCTATACAATACTTCTCAAGGAGCATATTCATCTGATCAAATTCTCTTCACAAGCTACACATAACTTCGACAGGACTTGATTTTAATTTGTATCAGTAGTATACTAGTAAATGGTAACAAGAGCTTCCCTAAAAAGCTCAACATTTTTACTTACAATTACACTTTACACAGACCACACTTCCCTAAGAAGCTCATATCTTGAATTTGTAACCACTTGACCTATTTCCTCAGCTTCCTGCTTCACCTTCCCATTGAGTCTTGAAGTTGGTGATACCGACACTTGATCGATAACAAAAGTAAGAGGAGATTCAAGTTCCTCAAGCTCCTCATCGCTTGTGTATCCTTTTCTTTGTATGATAGATACATTCCTCGACATCCTAGACATGTCTCCTCCAATCTCTACAACTTTCTCTGCTACATTGACTAATGATGGAGGAATGTAAGAAACAGGGGAAGCAGCGTAAGGGAAGCTAACTCCTGATAACTTCTCCTCTAAAATGCTCTGATGAGAAACAACAAAAAGTATAGTTAGAGCAAAGAAGAGGAAATAGAAAAAGTAAAGATTTGATTTTGTTACCTCTCTGTTGAGCTCTTCTAGGACAGCTCCAGGGACATGATCAGGACAGAACTCATCAGGTGTGAAGTTGCAGAGTATTCTTGTTATCAGTGAAAGACTGATCGATGGACATACCTATGAATCAACAACCCAAGAAAAGAAAAAAGTCAGTTTGAAAGAGATTAATCAAGAACTTAAAAGTAGTGATAAAGATAATATAACAAAACCTCTTCTCTAATGGAGAGGTCCATAAGCATGTCTTTAGGGAGCATAAGTAGATCGCTAAGCTCGTTTAACAAACTGAATGACTTCTCATTCTCGCTTTCTATCAGATCAGATTCTTCTACTGAATCACCAGTGTTCATGTCGAACATTTCAGCGAGACATCTACACCAATTCCCAATCTACAAGTGAGAGGTTATAACATTCATGAACATTAGTATTTTCTCATGTGAAGTGAAACATAATATAACCTGTTTCATGTTTCTTAATGTTGTACCGCGTTTTTAAGATGTGCTCCGGATCCAAAGCTTAAGTCTCCAGAAGGGATAGGCAGAACATTGGAATCTAGGATAGGATCAGAGACGGGATCAGTGGGAATCTGATCCTCTGATTCTCGCAGTATTGCGTTGAACATTGCTACATCAACTCGAGCTATACACTTCTCCATCACCTTGTTTAAAAATACAGACAACAAATAAGAATCCAATAGCTCTTTACATAGTTTATGCAAATGCATTGGACTTTGAAATGTAGAATACGAGTACCATTTTAGCCAAGATAGGTAAGCAACCGCACTCATGCCCTGATCCTCGCATAGGACAGAGCCTTGATAAAGCAACTTTGAAGGCGTTTTGCCATAGACTGATTGAAAAGCTTCCATCTTGGTTTCCAATTCGTTTCACATTTGTTTTACCGCTGTTTTCAGGGGAATGCATATGAGGAGTGAAGACCTGAAAGACGGGAGAGAACAAGAAGACAAAATTTGAGATAACTGAAAGAAGTAACCTTCACTAAAGTTTTTAACGAAAGATGAAATGAAACTTTCACCTGCCACCAAACAGATTCAACGATTCTTGAGAAAATCCAGAATTCAACTTTCTCTAATGCTGTTGTGAAAGTTTCTGTTTCCTCCCAATCTTCAAACATCCGCTTGAAACCGTTTGATTGATTCTTCTTGCTTCTTAAATTCCCTGAACTGCTTTGTTGTTCACTCTGCGAAATGATCTCTCTCAAAAAAATAATGTTCGATAACCAGAAGGTCAACCTGAAACATTTGGAACCAAGAAAGAGCTAAGACGATCAAGATCCTGAAGGATACTACATTCATAACGGCGAAATTGTGATTATGTTGTTACCTTGAAACATCATTTCCGCAAGATTTAGCAACTAATATGAGACCAGAGACTGTGTTTCTAGCGACGGTTGCTCTCTTTTCTTGACTCCAGTGTTTACAAGCATGGATATAGAGTCTCGAAATCCTCCTAGCAGGCGTGTGAAGCTTGTGAGCTGAGCTAGAGTGGTCTGGCACAACCGAGTAGAGCGAAATCTCCAGAGATGCAACTTCTCTTAGCTCTTCTTCAAGTTTCTCAATTCTTGCCTCCAAATTCTCAACCTTTACTCTCAATGCTTCTTCTTCTTCCTCAACTTTCTCACTTTTCTCTGCCTCGTTCTCACTTCCACCGCTTAGACCACCATCCGAAACTTCAACTGTCTTAACGACATTGACTCCTTCGCATGTTTCAGAAGAAGATGCAGAGCCATCCGTCTTCTCATTAGCAATAACATCAAAGTCTTTGCTTTCTTCCTTATCATTCAGAGTCTCTTCCTTCTCAGTTTTCTCTGTAATCCTACCAGAGTTAGACTCTTGAAGAGTATCTAAAGACCCATTTGTCCCCTCATCATCCACTTTCTTAGCAGCCTCAGAGACATTAGATTCTTCCTTAGAGTCTAAAGCTTTGAGTCTTTCTTGCTCTGAAGATCTTTTAGCACCGTTCGATTTCTGTGGCTTTAGATCTCTTTTCCCATTCTTCGTAGACCGATTCGACTGAACATTGCTGGTTGTTCTTCCCTTCATTTATCAATCTGAAGCTCTTTTTTTTTGTTTTTCTCCGTTGCAGCCAAAACAGCAGTTACATAAACAACTTTTAAGCAAAGCCTGAAAAAAAAAAGAACAGCTGTGATCAATAGACCGAAAGAGAGGAAAATGACAAAAACCTCAGTTGCGTATATTCCTGAAATCCAAGGCAAATTAGGACATGAAAAGGAAAACGACAACATCATCAACACTTGTTATGCTTTGTCTCCGTCTAACATGAAAAGAAAATATAATAATACTAAAAATGGCAAAGCCATCAATAACAGAATCTCACAATTTCCTAAGTTGCTGATAGAAATGAGTGCATTCACTTGTATCTGGTGATTCACAAGAATGATTAACTCACGAATTTCCCTTCAAAGAACTATGACAATGTTTCAGTTTCAGAAAGATATGAGAACTAAAAACAGAGGAAAGATAAGAATGGAATTTTACTGAGTGAGTGAGAATCTCGAGGAAGAAACAGAACAACAACACCAAAAGCACCAAAAAAGAAAAAGTATCAGATTCACTTGGGGATCACCAAGAAACCCGTTTTTTCTTACCTTCAAAATGAGCTTTCTTTTATGTAGATAACGTAAAAGCCACTTTCTCTCTCTCTCTCTCTCTCTCTCTGGCTCGTGGGTTTTAGAAAATGAGAAAGATCATATGAGCAGAGGATTTAAATGAGGGCGTTTAAAAACATGGAACGTGAAGATCGTGGTTGTTGTGAATGATGCCGTTACAGGTAAACCGGGGAAGCTGCTGCTTTGTCGGTGGTTCAAGTGGTTTACCGGGAGTTGCCGGTCACATTGTACTCTGTTCACTTTTAGTCAGAGTAATGATGACCGTATTGTCCCTTTCACTTTCGTCCTTCAGATCTTTCTTGCCTTCCACTTCTTAACAGTTGCTTTGATTTAGATTCCTACCTTTTTCTGGCAATTGTGCAGTTGTTGCAATATTAAGGATGGAAGCATAACTCTTTTATTTTTTTTGGATGATTGTTACTATTATATTCGTGAACAAGCTGTCATTGAGGGGGTTTATAAAAGAAATTATCAATCTGAGTTTAGAACTTAGAAGATTGTGAACAAGGGAAGAGCGCAAGTAATCATCAAAGCAAAAGTTTTGGTTGGATATTTTTAAAAACATGTAAATATGAAACGACAAAAACCACTTTAAATGAGTATGCCGACATAATGCGATGATGACTCTGGAACTAGATGAAGCAAACAATTTAATAAATATCAATACAGCTACCAGCTTTAGTGTTCACTATTCAACAACAACAGCCGACAAAACTTTCAAATAAGTTTGATGCCCACAATTTCAGTTCAGATAATTTGGTCAAATCATGAAAGTGTGGTAGAGATATTATATATGGATGAATTCGGTTTAGATGTTCTGGTTCTAGAATTGGTTTACTCGATACGGTTTTAAAGATTGGTTTAATCTGATTGAAGACCACTTAAAGAATGGAGAACAAAGGGGTTTCAGAATCAAACACTTGGGACAGAGTAAGAACACATGCAACCAAAATGGGATGATGAGATCAAGCTATACTAAGAAGAGCCAACAAAAGTTCATCAGTCGATTAAGGTGTCCAACACAGAACCTAGAGTTAACTAGAAAATTGACGATGCAATAGTGAAAGGTACAGAATATCAGACAAGCAAGAATCTTTAAGAATGGCAGTATCTGTTTCTATATCTACTCAGTAGAACCTGCAGAGAGAGAAAGAGAGGACAAAGAGTACACGTTTTAAAACTTTATCTACCTATATGAGTGTAATTCTCTTGCACCTCCCTCTCCCTTGACCTATCCAAATAGTTCATCAAAACCGATATCAACACTCTCATGCTCTTCACTCTGTTTTAGCAAATGGCTCGCAATTAGATACCCACAGCAACTATATACAAGCTTTAGCAATCATTCGAAGTTTCAAAAAACTTTAGCTCCTTATATGTTTGGAAAGGAAACAACAGTAATCTACTGTGTGATCGTAATCGTAATCTATGATAACTAGAAAACAAAGGAGGAAACTTTCCCTAACCAGAAACTGGATATATATATACTGCACATGGCCATAAGATAAGGAAATCAAGTTAACAGAGAACAGAAACAAGACCAGACCCTAATCAGTTAAATCACACAACAATACCAGCATAAAAAGTTCACTGTTACTCACTTTCTCCAAGTAATGAAGCCCTTAAGAGCATCATCTCAGAGACCAAATTGTTATACCAGCAATTTAAAAAACTTAAGCAAATTTGAGAAATGATTGAAGGGGCAAGTGAAGTGCTTTGAAACATCATCAAAAATCAAGTTGAATTACATATGACCATCGTCAAGAGTCGTTAAAGATAGCTTATTTCATGAACATATTTATCGACACTAGAGTTTCAAAAGGAAGAGGAGGAGGAGGAACAAAACGACACACTTGGTCACTAGTATTCGTGATCATGGAAAAAAACTCCTCAAATCCCCGGAAAGCGAACAAAACACACATACCAGATCAACCCTCGAATTCAATCGGATGAATCTCCGATAGACGCGAGCTTCTCCATCTCGAGGCGCTCAAGAGCTTTCTGGTGCGCCCAGGTCTCGATTGAAAGATCTGGCTTCGCATTGAGTCCGACACCAAGGATAACAATCGTGAGGAAGCTCGTGATGTAACAAGGAAGCTCCCAATCTTCCCATTTGCGCGACTGTCCCGGAGCCGGCGGAGTCCGGTTCATGAAATATCCTTTGGGACGCTCCTCGTGCCCAGGCGTCGCCCACCGACTGGGACCCGCAGATGTGGATCCTGATCGGGAAAGCATCCGGTTCCGGAGTGTCTTCGCTGCGACGATCAATGGCTTCGTCGACGCCATTGCTGTGTGATTCCGATTTTTCGATTTGAGCGATTTAGACTAAAATGAGATTTTAGTTAAAACGCAAGTGTGCCTACTTCAACTACTAGTGAAACGGCGTCGTTATAGTGAAAACGCTGTCGTTTTGGATGAAACGAAACCAGATATTCTCAAGCTCACATTAAATCAAACGAAATGATGCAAAAACAATCTTGATCTTGTGTTAACCAACAAAAACATAATCAGAGTCAGACAATTTCGTGTAAGAGACCAGAATTGAAACCAACAAACGAAACGTTATTCACAGTGGAAGGTCTAAATTCGAGAGGAACGTTCCAAGCAGAACTCAGATCATCATCGTCTGACCATTTCAGGTTAACATTCTCGATGCTAAACCCGTCCACATGTTCCATGATGATCCCAGCCGTGGCGCTATGGTTCACTAGACCTTGACATCCAGGTCTATAATCCACAAGCCCTCCACTGTAATTACTCCATCTTCTGATCGTAAGGTTCATGTTCTTGAAACTTATGTCTGAGAGTAATCCGTTTCGAGAGCCTGACAAAAACACTCCGTTTTCGGAATTGATTGTAATGTTTACGAATCGGAGATTTGAGATTGAGCCTTCCTTTGCAGATGAGTCACGCGGGCAAGTTGTTATGTAGATTGGTTCAGCTCTTCCCCACCACGACGGATCGTAGTATCTTGTACTTATGTTCATATTCGAAAACGTAACGTCACTCACATTTCCTGCAAAAGGGAACATTTTTGGGGTTATTACATTACATGAGTTTCTACTTTCTGTGTTTGTATTGCAGCAAAAAAAGATGAAACTTTTTACCTCCGTCGCGTATTTGCATCCCAAGGCCTCTGTGAGACTCACTGATAGTAATGTTATCAAAGACGAGACCTTTGAAGTCGAACCAGCTCGCGCTACCGAGTTTAATCGCTGAGGATTTGGTGCGAATCCAACAGTTTGTAGCGGTTAAGTTGTAAAGCGGACCAGTGTATGTCTTGGGACAAATTGCGTCGTCTCCTGTGTCGATGTGGCACCGAGTTATGGCAGTGTTGTTCGAATCTTCAATGTCGATTCCGTCGTTATTTGGAGTGTTGAAGTCCCCTAGAATCGATACGTCGTGGACTGATGTGTTCTCGCACCTCACTATGTGCAAACTGTAAACCAAAACAAACCAAACCAGAGGTTTATGCATCTTGTGATTACTGTGTAATGATAAAGCATAGGTTATACGAGCAGATTCTGCACTTGAGCAATCGTTAAAGAAGATTGATAGTAGAATTTAGAACTAACCACCAATACGCAGGCTCTCGTAGAGTGATGTTCCAGATCTCAACGTTCCTTGAATCGACGAATCCAACAAGCCTAGGTCTACACTCATCACCCAAGCAAGCCCCAGTCTGATTCCAGCTCACCATCACGTTCTTCTGCTCGTCGAATCTCACCACGAATTTCGATCCCTGGCCGTCGATTGCTCCTCCGCCAGTGATTCCGACGTCCGTCGCGTTGTTCGCCACCACCACGTACCACTCCGACGAAGTCTCCGCCGGGTAGTCTTCAATCCTCGGACCTCCGAGAAGCACGGCGTTCTCCGTCACATCGAGGAGGACGCCAGATCGGAGATGGAGCTTGGCGGTCAAATAAGTGCCGGGTGGGAACGTGACGCGGCAGATGGAGGAGGATGTTGTGTAGTGACGATTGCAGGCGTCAATGGCGGACTGTATCGCGGTGGAGTCGTAGTGGATACCATCCCCGGTAGCGCCGAAATCGGTGACGGAGAGGGCTAGTGACTCGCCGGGAAGTTGTATGTTTGGAGATAACGTGTACGAACGTGATTGGACGAGAGATAATAACAGGATCAATAATATGCTTCGCATCAGTAGCGGAAAGCCCATTGCGTATTTTCAGTTGTGGTCTCTTATCCAATCATGGACTTTATTGGAACTTTTATTCAAAGCGTTGAAATTATTTAATTAAGCATGTCTTGGATAGTGTACTCAATAAAATATTTGAGATGGTTGGTGTAAAAATAATTAATTTAGTTTACTGATCATATAATGTTCATCTTGAGCAGTGGCAAGGACATATATATTCTAAATTCTACATTGTAGAAATCTGGTAAAAATAAGAAATAATCATATACCAGTTTTGTCTCTCTGAATAAAATGACTGATACCTTCTTAACAGATATCTAATTCTTATCTATTTATAATTATATATAGAGAGAGAGAGCGAGACAAGCTTATACGATGTATATACACATTGATGATCTACTGTTTTCCTCCAACTTACAGCTCCATTTTGACTTGGTTTGGGTGCAAATTTGCAGAACCCGCCATTAAATTTTCAGAAACCGCCATTAAATTGTTGTGGTCATTCCCATGATCTTGATCCTCTTCTCTTCCCCAAGCCGGCTGGTTCAGGCCATCAAAAGGCCATTGTTGCGGTTGTGGTGGTGGTGGTTGAAGTTGCCGGTGATGATAGGATTGTTCAGTCTCAATGACTTGATGAGGCCAAGCAAGCTGCATTGCTGTACCGTTGAAGCTCCCATCCATTAAAGAACCGTTCTGTGAAAAAAAAGATATCTCGATCTAGTCAAAAAGAAGTCAACAATTGTTGCTGTGTTGTTATTATTATCCTAAAAGAACAAGGTTTAATGAGAGGGACCCTGGCTATTTATTGGTATGTACAAGCTGTAAGAAAAGAGAGCATTTATTTACTTTGGTCCTAAAGTTTTGATTGAGAAAAAATTTAAGATAGAATCCCACAGGTGATTATGAGATTAGATAGGTGAAAAGAAAAACTCTGAAACAGCAAGATGTTGGAAGAGACCCACAGAGATTATTGAGGTTTCTTTTTCAAAAATAGTTCATCAGAATATACACATCCGACATAAGTCACAGAAGACACAGAAAGGTTTACAGAACAAAGGTGGTCCGAGTTTTGACCCACTAAGCTGTTTGTGTACAGTGATTTCCACGGTGTGTGTGTGTGTTGTATTTATTTACCATGAGTTGCCTTTATAAGAGTAGAAGTTCATCTTCCTAAGCCTTAGTCTAAAATGGTCTAAATTAATGTTTGTATCAATAAATACCCAAAAGTTTCTCCTTTTGCAATAGAAACTATAAGCTACTCAAAGAGGCATGGGTTACTTAAAAGAGAAAACACATGAAATGGTACTTTTCTGTATAAGAGCAATTAGATACTTACTTCTGAAGCCAATATGGTGTCGAGATTGAAGTCGATTCTGGGGTTTACTGCAGCAAGTCTCATTGATAGCATCTGTGGAAATACAAGTCACAGTTTTCATGAGAAATTTGCGGAATTCTATTCATTTTTTCCAACTGTTTTGAGTTGACCTTTTGGATGTGCTGTTTTAAGGCTATTGTACAATCTAGGTGTAAAGAACAAAATTGGACCACGGAAAGTCTCTCACCTCTACTTGACGTTGTAAAGACTGGACATGGTTAATGATTTCATCCAGCACCAACGCGGTACCTTGAATCTGCAGGTCAAAGACTTTCTGATAAGCTTAGGATTCATATTAGGTAACATCTGCTTTTACACACCAACAAGAGTTCTTCGATATTTCAAAGAGAATACACTAAGATTCCAATAAACACAGTGAAAGAAGCAGCAAGAGAATGGCACTTTAATCTAAAGCTAACATAAATGGCATCTGTTATCACAATGATAAAGTTTCAATAGTAATCAGTGCTCTAGTGGTTCATGGAATAATCAATCAAGTCCTCACAGCTCACCAATAAAAAACCAAAATTTTCACAAAACACTGATGTTTCAAATCATCATCATCATCTCAATCTCACCAATAATTGCTGCTAACTTGTAACATCAGGGATGATTAAATTAGTTGTCTGGGGGAGTGTCACATCATGTTTCCAACTAATTAGGTATGTGGGACTCCAATCAATATCAACATTTGTAAAGGATCATTTGCTTTAATCGTCCTTGTAAGAGTCATTGTCTTTTTTTCCATGATAGATACCCAACTTGTTAGAGACGATACTACCCCTTCCTCACCTTCCATAGAAATTTTGCAACTTTTTTTCTCCCACTTATCATCAAAATATGGACCCCAAAAACACTTTGATCTTGATCTTTCCACCAAAATCTGTCCCCTAAACCCAAAACCTTAATGGCACATTACAGCTAGCATCCCACTTCCTAAGGTCATTCTCGTCATTCGTAGACTTAATCCATCAAACTCAATGAACACACTTTGAGAAGAGGAAAAAAGAATTCGATATATAAAGGTATGTCTAATCACTTCCGTGTGACTTGTTTAACCTTAAAGCTAAGTGTACCCGTGAGATAGTTTCTCCCCACACGGAAATAATAAAGTTGAGATCTTTTAAGGCATTACAAAATTACCCAACTGGCTACTTTGGCACAGCAGAGACCACTTTTCTTCATAAAAAAAGCATTTAAGCAATCCACTTTTTGGGGAAGAAAAAGAAAGTGTGAAGGATTAAGGACTAAACAAACACTAAATCATCAAAATTATACTATATTCTTGCTTTTTTGAGTAAATCAATTAAGGAAATATTATGTCGTTAAAGCACAAATGAAGACCTAATGATTGATTAGCATACTGATTAGACGTAGATATCTGAGAGACAAACCTTATCACAGCCTGGGACCAGTTCCTGTAGAAGCTTCATTCGTGCATTTATCTTCTCCCTCCTTGCCTATAATCCCAAGATTAGCGATAAATTAGCGATTAATCAACTGATTAATACCAAAACGAACAATCTGTGAAATCTGTGAAATGCGACTTACTCTTTCTGCTAAGCTATGGCTATCGGTTGCTTGACCACGGCGAGCTCTAACGTGAACGTATGGCAGCTTCTCGTTCTCTTCGGAGCTTTTGTTCTTCTTCGTCGAGCTTTTAACCTAGAAATTAGGGATGTGAATTTATCAATCACTGAATCGAAACGAAGAATTAAATGTAAAAAACCAATTTGTCTCACCTTCTTCTCGAATTCTTTCCTCTTGCCAGATCGATTATTCTGGCTAGGGCAGGGGCTTTGATTCTCCACCGCTTGATCAGAAGTCAGCCGTTGAGATGACTCGGTCTCAGCAGGCTCCGTCTTCACTCTGTCCAGATTCGCGCTGGAGCTCGTCGTGGTTTCGCCGGAGACATTTCCGTTTTGTTGCTCAGTGGCAATCACCGAGAATCGAGCTGCTCTCTCCATGAGGACTGGGTTGGAAGGAAAAGTCAATGTCCCGAAAGAGTGAAGCGGTGGAGCGATATCTCCACCGATTCCGGTGACGGCCGGTTGAGAAGACGATGTATCAGTGAAATGGAGGAGCTCCACCGCTTGGGTAGGTGGAAGCTCAAGCAGCGCCGTGAACGAACCTGCGTTCTCCGGAGGTAGCGTCGTCACCAGTTGCCGAAATTCGTCGCCGATATGAAGTGATTCAAGCCCTGTCGCTTCCCGGCACGGCCCACCGCCGCCGGATCTAGCTCCAAATCCTCCAGTCAGATCCATAAACGGTAACTCACGAGAAATCTCCGAAATTAATCGAAACTAAATTCAGAAAAAAAATCAGCAGCAGCTCATTCGATTCGCGTCGTTGATGGATTCAATGTTTAGAGTTTGCAATCGAATCTCACAATCTTTGTAAAATAAAATAAAAATCCCCAAAAAGGAGCCTCCAGAGAGAGAGAAGAGAGACTCGAGTAGAAGGAAATGAGACTTTTGTCAGTAAGCGAGGATATCGCGGCGAGAACAGGTAGAAGAATTAACGCGAAGAAGGTTAATCAATGGCGGTCAAAGAGTCTGAAATCTCTCTCTCTCTCTCTGAGAACTTCCCGAAGAAGGTATGGTTGTGTGTAAGGGACTTTCTCTCTTTCTCTTTTCTCTGTCTTCAGTGAGAGGAAAGCTTTACTCCATAGCCATTTGGAGTAGGACGAAAGCAACGTTAGCTGTGGAGTGCGTCTGTTAAATAAAAGAGGCACTGTTAGAGAGAGAAACCAATTTTGGTTATTGTACGGTACGGTTTTTTCAAAAAGCTGTACCGTTTTTTTCTAATTTTTGTTTTATTGCTGGATCCCAATGTATATTAGTTGGGCCTTTTGGGCTTTTATCGATTAGTTTTATTTTCCCTGGTTTATAATCTTTTGTTAATCGGTGATTTTAAAATTTTAGTATTAATCATTAATTTTTAAAAATTAATATTCACAAAATATTTTTTTTTTATTGGGCGTACTAGATAACGGCACATATTTAATCCAATTGGTAGATTTGATTTATTCTTCCGCAGGACCAGCCTGCTGTCTCTGACCTCTTTTTTATTTTAAAAAAATAAAATAAGCTGAAACAAATAAATAAATCAATAATGCTTCGTATTTTATTATCAGTAGTTAATGCCATAAATGGGGGTTATATCAGCTTCTGACTTTTCACGGACTCCGATTTCGGTGTGAATAAAAATGTTTGAAAGCTTTTAAAATCGGCAAAAATATTTTTTGTTGACTAGTTAAATCGGAAAAATAATTCCACAATAGTAAGTCTAACTGTCTTTAGCACATAGAAGCACCAGTTTTAAAATGTGTATCTAACACTTGGCTTGATGAGAATTTCAAAAATATTATGTATGTACACAATATTAAGAAAGCGTATTCCACATTGGTTCAGAAACAATAGCTTCTTTTATGAATTTTACTAATATCTCCTCCAACGAAAAGTTAGAATTGGCAGAGACAAAATATGCATACAAAACGTGAGAAAAAAATAAATATCGTGAAATTGGAGAAAGGGTAAACAACAACATAACATCGGTTTCACCTTTTGGTGTGTAAGGTTTGGTGTAGTAGTAAAGTCTCAATCAAGAGAGGAGGGTACAATCATTTTTGGCAGTTCCAGTTTGGCAACGTTACTTACTCTCCCAACGTCCATTGCTTCTTTGGACTTGAGTATTTGATGTGTAGAGTTCGTATCCAATTCTTTAACCAACCAAAATACGTACCTACAATACTCTTAAGTTATACACATTCACATTTTCTTGTAACTGTAAAGATATTGAAGAATACGGCTCTTTTTGTATTATTTTGTCAGTGTTTATGAAATATGTAAAGTCTTTATCGATAAGCAGATTTAGGCGGGGAATTGATCAGAAAGTTTAAAGTAATTATCATAGAAACGCATATATCTATTGAGGATCATCTGCAAAAACATTCATTAACGTATTTGCATTGAGATTGTGATGGATATGGGCGAGGAGACCACAAAGATTTTCGGAAATATTCGTGACAGATGGAAGGAAAACAAAACTGCGCATTGAATTAAATATGTTTAAAATAAAATAGAGATCATTTGTTTATATAAGTGGGCCTAGATCCGCATGCTAACCACGTGACGCTGGCCCATTAAGCCTCTCTTCCGAGGGGAGTGAAGTGGGAATTCCCTTTTTCCCATATTAAAATGTTTTCAAAATTGAATGAACCAGTAAAACACTAATAAAAAACTAAATGGTAGTATCACGTATATTAAATTATTAATCAAACATTATTTTCTTATCTGAAAAAAAAGGAGAAGGAAATAGTTTAAATTTTTCGGTATAAGTATAACGTACATTATTCAACAGGCAACAGCTGTTGCAAACCTGACATGGGAGCCACACAATAACATATTTTGATTACTTTATTTTTTTGTGTATTAATTTTGAACAAACGAATACCATATCTCTCACATAATTTATACAAAAAAATGCTGAACAAACGAGATTTGTAAATAATTTTTATCAATAATATGTGAAAAAAAAAAGATTTTAAATGGAATAGTTGGATGAAAATGTTTGATGACATTCGCAGAAATTGACCGGAACATACGATGGGCCCAGAAGACAAGGACCAAACAAATGTGGGCCACAAAGAGAAAACCCAAAAATGACTTGTGATAAAGTTTGGGCCCACATGAAAAACCTCTAGGATTGATAATCCCCTGTGAAACCCGAAGGCCACAGGGCGTCGTACCCTTTCCGAAATTGGGGTCCCACTGCACAAATTGCACGGCGAGTGACGTGTTGGGTCTAAATGGGCCGTGAAAACGAGATATCTAGATGGGCCCGGTTCATTCATTGCTTTGCCAGAGTCCTTCGTGTTTGTACCAGAAATGGCAAACTGTTCGCGGTACACTGTGTCTGCAATGCTTGCCGGCTTTCGGAAAATGTTTCTGACACGACAACTTTTTGTTGGGTGTTTCAAGAAATATTAACGAGTAAGGACGAACATAATTTTACATTTTTAATCATATAAATTTTCATGGTTCTTTTGGTAAATTGGTAAGCTGAAACAGAATTACAGACCAATAATAGGCCCGCTTATGCGGCCCAATAAAGCTAAATTCAGAGACTCCCATAAAACGGCAGCGTTTTCAGACGATCTTCTCGCGTCTTTCGGTTAAAATTCGACCGACCCTGCAATAGAATTAATTAATCAATTTTGAGCTTTGGTTTATCCAAATCTCACCTCGTACAGTAACCAAACATCGGTTTCTTGCTTCTGTCGGAAAATCCGAGTGAATGCGATAGATACCTTAGCTTCGCGAGCTGGTAATCCTCAATTCACTCTTCTCACATGTTCTCTCTCGATGCTTCTCTGTTCACGCATACGCAATTGCATCGTTCCTTCTACGTTTGTTTATTCACTTCAATAGGATTTTGTGTTCGTCTGTTTTCTGGGATAACATTTCCGATATTTCGAATTGCCTATTGATTTCACTGAAACATTCATACGGTTTTCTTAGAGCAATCACCTGCAGATATTCAGTTCTTGAGCTGAGATTAGTAGATTTTGCTATCAAGTACTGACTTTTTTGGGAATTATTGGAGCTATTTTAAAAGACTTGGAAATTGCGTTGTTCTGTGTATTAGGTATCTAAAGATATGATGATTTGTTACTCTCCGATCACAACTTGCTCTAGGAATGCGATCCATATCAAGAGGCATTTAAGCAATCACCTCTACGGTGTTGTGTCTCAAGGATCATACAAATTCCGATGTTACAGTCTTTTCTCAGGACTCCCGAAGAAAAACTGTACCGGTTTTGGTTTATCAATCTCTAACAGACCTTCTTTTGGATCGGTATTGATCAATAGATCAACCGTTGGTCGTAAAGGAAAGCTTGAAGTTTCTTTCTTGAGCTCCGAAGCGAGAACGAAATGCTCTGAGATAGAGTCAAACATGAGAAATCTCTATGTTTATACGAGTGTGGTTGTTAGCTTGCTTGTTTGTTATTCTTCAACTTCCCAATCAGCATACGCAGAAGCTTCAAGAGATAAAGATGATCACAACAAGAAGAAGAAGAACAATGTGTATAATAATAATAATTCTTCTGATAATGGTAAATTCTACAATGGGAAAAGAGTCTACACTGATTACTCTATCATTGGTAAGTGTCTGATGATATCTAAAAATGAGCTCAGTTATGTTGTATTTTGATGATGATTAGTGGATAAATGGTAATAATTTTTGTAGGTATCCCTGGGGATGGTAGGTGCTTGTTTCGTTCTGTGGCTCACGGTTTTTGCTTACGCTCTGGAAAAGTGGCTCCGAGCGAGCACACACAGAGAAAGCTCGCTGATGAGTTACGTAATAGAGTAAGTATTGAATTGGAATGCGTATGTTTCCTTTGGTTACAACAAGGCTTAATTTGTTTATATTGAAAATGACAGGTTGCTGATGAATTTATTAAAAGAAGAGAGGAATCAGAATGGTGAGTCTTTTTTAGACCTCATTCGAACTGTTTTTTTTTTCATTGCAATCTACTCATTTTGATGTTTCTCTCGTCAGGTTTGTGGAAGGAGACTTCGACACATATGTCACGCAAATTCGAGAGCCACAGGTTTGGGGAGGTGAACCTGAACTCTTCATGGCTTCACACGTTCTCCAGTAATTTTCCTCATCCTCTGTTTTTTTTTTGTTAGTTGATGCGAGAGCATGTTTACAAAAATGATCAAAAGGGGTGTTTTTTGTTGTTGTTGATGAATGATGATGATCGTAGGATGCCAATAACGGTGTATATGAAGGACGAGAAAGCTGGAGGATTGCTGTCTATAGCGGAATATGGTCAAGAGTATGGTAAAGAAGATCCGATCCGAGTCCTGTACCATGGTTTTGGTCATTACGACGCACTCTTGGTTCATGATCGTAAAGCTCCACTTTCAAAATCCAAACTTTAAGGAAGGAAGCGTTTGGTTTTTTTAAACCGGAATGGGTTTATGAATTGACGGAAATGCCATCGGTTACTGTAAGTGGGATCTTCACATGCATCTTTGTGTTGGTGGTGACTTTTGTCAGGTGGGGGATGATTTATTTGGTTTCTGACACAACCACAATCTATAGTCTTGTCTTGTAGAATGTTACCTTTTTTATGTACTTTCTACTTTTAGTTTGAATAAAAGTTTCAAATAGTGTGATCCTTTCGAATCATAGCTTGTGTGCCACTTATTTGTCAAAATCGTGATAATTCAAAGTTCTAAATGGTTGTGGCCTGTGGGCACTCAAAAGATTATGGCCAGTGTGATTTAAATGATGTTACTCAGGCCATTATTGTTGAAATGAAGTGATTAAAAAGCTGTATATTAAAGACCCTTATGTACAGTTAAATTAAAGAGTGTCTTTAATATACAGTTTAATTTTAACACAAGAAAAGGCAAGTCCAGTACAAATGTATGTGTTATTTCAGATGTGTTACATTTAGGGTTGATGAAATCGATGCAAAAAAAAAAACTAATAATTTAAGAACGTGAATGTTTATGTTCGAAAAGAGAGTGAAATTATCCTATATTAATTAATGATATAATATAGTAATGATCACGTTCATAGTCACATAAACGAGACCCAAATTTCCAGTTTTTAAAAAATTATTGACACTCAAGGATCAGAACGAGACAACCAGCACATATCGCCGTAGCAAATATGAGATAATAAGAACGAACACATATCCTACCAAAAAAAAAATGTCAAGGTCATGCTCTCATTTCTTTTATTTTAAAATACATGTTTTATAAAAAAAAAATATTAGATTTTCAATCAATCGATTTTATATCAATAATAAGTTAAAGATTGTACCTAAAATGAATGAATCTATCAAATTCTATTCACACAACCGTCTTGTATATGGTGTCTTGGGAAACCAAGCAACTTCTCAATCTCACTAGGCTCAAGAGGAGCAACTTTATTCTTGCCAAACCCAAACTAGATTCCATCGTTTACAAGCCAACTCAAACATAAAATATATTTTGTTTGTGAATGGAGAAATGAAGCACTGCTACATAAGTCATTTTAAGTATTTTATGGAACAAAAAAAACAATTTATCAAAAATATCTTCAATTTATTAAATACTGGTAAAAGAAGAATCTACTGGAGTAAATATATCGTGAGGTAGTATTTGCTGCGTCAAACACTTTTTGGTAGTGAAGAAATTCTGTCTATTTCTTCTATACCGAGAATTGAACTATTTTTGTACATGTTTCCTCTAAATATGTGATTTTGTGAATTCTTAGATTGACAATCGGTAATTAGTATCCAACCATTTGAGTCACATGGTTCACATAAGCCATTTATTTAGGTATTCTAAACAAAATACGGTTTTGGTATTAAAAGTGATTTCTGATTTATTTTTAGCGAATTAAATCATGAGAACCTTATCAAGTAGACAAGTACCATCGTTAATCATGGTCTAACCCCAAAAGTAGCACATTTCATGTTATGGTCTATGTATGACACATGTATGTTTACCACGTACTTTAAAAAAAACAAGCTAGTATGTGGATAAATTAGTTTTTCTTTTTTTGACATTTGTGGATAAATTAGTTGATTGTAGCTAATTGATTTGCAAATGTTTGAATTTCAAACTCTTGCTGCGAGTCTCAACTTCCGAGTAATATTAGCAGTCATGTCCAATTTTCAAGAAAAAAAACTAAAATCCAAAAATCATCGACGGTTTATACGAACAACCAACCAACAAAAAACCTTGGATTTAACAATGCCATAACCAGATAAATCACATTATTTTAATATTATTTTTCAAATTGTAACCACAAGCACATCTTCCAACACATTTGAACACATTTGAAGCTCTTCACAAGAATTCAAAAACTGTCCCATGTCTACATTACACCACGTTGCTCTCTACATTGGAACCCATCACCCTAAATTCTTCTCCTTCGTCTTCTTCCTCACTCTCTCTCTTCTCTCTCTGCAAGTCCTCGTTGCATCACTACACTACATCAAAATAATCAATAGATATCAACCAAGTTTTTTTAGATACTGATTCTCTTACTCTAACGAGAAAATGCAGTTTATCCCACTTCTCGTCTCTACCTTCTTCCTCTTCATCAGCTTCTCCTTATCGCTAACTCCCGATGGTTTATCTCTTCTCGCTCTCAAATCCGCCGTTGATAACGACCCGACCCATGTAATGGCTTCCTGGTCCGAGTCCGACCCGACTCCATGTCACTGGCCTGGAATCGTCTGCACTCGCGGCCGAGTCACCTCCCTCATACTCTCCGGAAGAAGGCTCTCGGGTTACATCCCCTCCGAACTCGGTCTACTCGACTCGCTCGTAAGGCTCCAACTCGCTCGCAACAACTTCTCTAAACCCGTTCCCGCTCGTCTCTTCAACGCCGTCAATCTCCGTTACATCGATCTCTCTCACAACTCAATCTCCGGCCCAATTCCGGCCCAAATCCGATCCTTAAAGAATCTCACTCACCTCGATTTCTCATCCAATCTCCTCAACGGCTCACTCCCTGACTCACTCACCCAACTCGGAAGCCTAACAGGGACACTCAATCTCTCTTACAACCGATTCTCCGGCGAAATTCCGCCGTCGTATGGCCGATTCCCGGTTTTCGTCAGCTTAGATTTCAGCCACAATAATTTAACCGGAAAAATACCTCAGATTGGCTCTCTGTTAAACCAAGGACCCACCGCGTTCGCCGGAAACTCCGATCTCTGTGGCTTTCCGTTAGAGGAGCCGTGTAAAGACGAAAACGCAAACCCGAAGCTAGTCGCTCCTAAACCGGAAGGCTCGCAAGTACTCCAGAGAAAGCCAAACCCGAGTTTCATCGACAATGACGGAAGAAATGATAAGCCGATCACCGGATCAGCGACGGTTTCCCTTATATCCGGAGTCTCCGTCGTAATCGGAGCTGTTTCTCTCTCCGTCTGGCTCATCCGGAGAAACCGGAGCTCCGTCGAATCCAAATCGAAGAAGTCCACGACGGAGGCGATGGAGCTTGGTGCGGAGGAGGAGGAGGAGGAAGGTAAGTTCGTGGCGATGGACGAAGGATTCGAGCTGGAGCTCGAGGATTTGCTGAGAGCATCGGCTTACGTCGTGGGAAAGAGCAGAAGCGGGATCGTGTACAGAGTAGTGGCCGGGATGGGATCGGGTACAGTTGCAGCGGCGACGTTTGTTTCAACCACCGTCGTTGCTGTTAGAAGGCTCAGCGACGGAGACGCCACGTGGCGGAGGAAGGATTTCGAGAATGAGGTGGAGGCAATCGGGAGGGTGCAGCATCCGAACATCGTACGGCTGAGAGCTTATTACTATGCTGCGGACGAGAGGCTCTTGATCACTGATTACATTCGCAATGGAAGCTTGTTCTCTGCTTTACACGGTAACTGCTATATCTTTGTTTACTTAACAACTAATAATGTGGCTAATTCAAAAATCAAAAGAATGTTTTTTTTCTTCTTTTGAGTTTTGTCATTTTGCTTAGGTTTATTAAAGTGTCTGAGAATTGAGGTTGATTGATACTGAAAAAGAGACAAAAATAGGATTTAACTTGGAGTTGGTGCTCTTGAACAAGTGGATTGTTGGATCAATATAGATAGAGACAGTTTTGTCTTTGTTTGAATTGTATTATAAAGCCTTGTTTGTTGACGTCTTCTTCTTGTTCTGTTCTCATTCAAATTCTTTTCTTAATTCACATGTCTGGTAAGTGTTATAATTTCGAGATAAACTTGGATCTTTCTTCTTGTCAAAAGTAACAAAGTACATCGTTTTTTTTTTGTAACGATTAGTTTTGAATTGGGAAAGAACAATGTGGAAAGTGGTCTAAATATCCTCTGTTTGTTGATTTAAGGGGCTAATATCATGATTAAGGTCAGTTTAATAAAACAGAACAGAGATCAGATCAAGGAGGGATGTTTGTTTTTCCATACACAGTTACAAAGATTTGTTTGTTCTTGTTTTTGTTTGCATCATTGTTTTAAGAAATTGCATTTTTGAATTTTGTTTGTAGGAGGACATTCAAGGACTCTGCCTTCACTCACTTGGCCAGAAAGGTTACTTATAGCTCAAGGAACTGCTCGAGGGTTAATGTGTATACACGAGTACAGTCCGAGAAAGTACGTCCATGGCAACCTAAAATCAACAAAAATCCTGCTCGATGACGAACTACAGCCTCGCATCTCAGGCTTTGGTCTCACACGTTTAGTCTCCGGTTATTCAAAACTCACCGGCTCGGTTTCCACCAAAAGGCAAAGCTTAGACCAAACCTATTTAGCCTCTTCTACAACGGTTACAAGAATCACAGCTCCCTCGGTTGCTTACCTTGCACCCGAGGCTCGAGCTACTTCTGGTTGCAAATTATCACAGAAGTGCGATGTTTATTCGTTTGGGGTTGTCTTAATGGAGTTGTTGACTGGTCGGTTGCCCAATGCTTCCTCTGAGAACAATGGCGAAGAGCTCGTGCGTTTTGTGAGGAATTGGGTCAAGGAAGACAAACCGGTGGCTGAGATTTTAGACGCGGAGATTGGAAACAAAGGTTACGCAGAAAAACAAGTCATTGCAGCTATTCATGTTGCTTTGAACTGCACGGAGACGGATCCAGAGGTTCGTCCAAGGATGAGATCAGTCTCTGAGAGTCTAGGCCGAATCAAATCGGACCGAGAGTAAAATTCATGCATGCGCCATTATGTTTTGCGTGTCCAGCAATTTTGTTTTGTTTTGGCATAGTCGTCGTAGGGTTTAGGCTTGTGTCGTCAGAATTGTTTTCCTTATTTCAGCCTTAAGTCCTTGACCTTCTTTTGGAATCTAAAAAATCAAGTCACATTATAGCAAACGTTTAATTAAAAAGTATCTATGTATGTATAATAATGATGTATAAACGTTAAATTTCTTAGTTATATATAAACATAACCTACGTACGTACCACCATCAAAGCTAGCGTTTTGAGTTGAGGATAAAAACACGGTTACAACTTACAACCTAAATTCTCTCCCTATAAATAATGAACTTGTAGAGTAGCGAATATAACAAGAATTACTACAATTCCAAAAAAACAATTAAGAGCAATGGTGTCTCATACAAAACTTATAACTATTCTCATGCTGTCACTGATCCTAAGAGAAGCATCATCTAAATCATATGGTGTAGAGTTGGGCAAGGAAAAACCCTTTTGGAACGCCTTTCTAAAAACAAAACTAATCATTATAAACGATATCGACAGTGGTTTGAGTTTAAATTATACTTGTAAGCTACTAACTAGGGTTTACAAAAGTAAAGTTGCGGCTGCGGCGGGCGAGACGGCAATTGTGGCTGAGTTCAGCAGACTTTTCTGGTATGATAATCAATTTAGCTGTACATTTACATTTGGTGGTGAAACACGTCGTTTTGATTTGTACAAAGATGGCAGAGATAATGTTAAGAATTATTACTGCGAAACCTGTGTTTGGTCGATGAGGAGGAACGGACCTTGCGCTTTTAATGCTCGGACTCAGAACTTTGATATCTGTTATCCTTGGGATAAATAAAAACCATCACTATACAATTGCTATATATTTTGTTGTAATGGTTTACTCTAATAAAAAATATTTGAATGTCATATTTCCTTCGTGTTCAAAAAGACGTTTTATAAATTATTCGATTTGATTTAGCCAGATTAATATTACTTACAGTGGGATCGGTGGTGTGTGAGCTCATACGTTTTCAAGGACTCTTTAATGATTATCAAATGTTAATTTGAATCAAACGAGACGAGTTGCATAATAAATAATCACCGTTGATTTTCGCTGTTAGTCATAATTTAGATTGAATTGATTCAAGGCCTATACAGTCCAAAACAATAGTAAATTTTATAAGTTGTGGTCCGTTAAATTAATATACCAAACGTTACTTTCTTATTAGATGTAAGGCAAGTGTCGGCTAAATTAATGGAAAGCACAAACAATTCGTCCGCACACGATTACTCCCTTTATTTTTGTCTGTTATAAGGAAGCAACAGTCAGATCTGATCTGTGTCCGTGAACGGTCTAGATCCGGTTAGTTTGGCGAGAGGCGTACCGAAACTCAAGTAGGCATGTACGCAGACAACTTTACGGGTACATATCGCATTAGGGTTTTAGAAGGGCAAAAGTGTAATCTATAAAATCCCGCCTATGAACAAATTTTGAAATCATTTTCACACATGTGAGAGTCCCGCCTCGCACGTGCGTACGTGCCAACGTTTGATTTCATCCCCCGTTATAATCCCGCTCAGGAGACGACCTTCAAAGATCGCCCCAGATCGTCACTCTCACCCAGAAAGCTTCCTCTCTCTTCTCTCTTCGTCTCTGCACATTTGACGCCGCCGTCCGGAGTTCATCAACCGCCTACTGAAGAAGATTCATAGGTAATAAATCCATCGTTTATCTTTCCGATTTGATTCGAGTATATAAAATGACTCGGTGTTTCAATGCTTTTCTTGTGACTCGATTCGATTTGAAATTGGTTGTTTTGTGATATTGTTTTGAGATAATTTATGAGGAAATGATATGTAGTCTCCATTTCTTGAGGTTTCTGGAATTCGTTTCTCCGACGAGAAATGAGGAATTGATTTTTTTTTTTTTTCTCGGAAAATGAGGGAACTAAAACCCTAGAATCTGTAATTTCTTCAATTGGATTTGATATTTCAGTCTTGGGCATCGTTGTAATCGTTTATCTTGTTCTTAATTTCAGCTCAGCGAATCACAATGCCAGAAGGAAGAGACCGAATCGAGAGGCCTGTAGATTACTCGGCGATATTCGCAAACAGACGCAGCCATGGTGTGTTACTCGACGAGCCAGCCTCACGGATAATTTTCCAATCGGAGCCTCAGGCGAATCCAGAACCTGGATCCATCGGCCGTGGATCTATAATTGGAACAGGCGGGATTATTAGAGGCAATTTCAGTTCTTGGCGGCCTGGAAATGGAAATGGAAGAGAGAATACGCCAATGGTGTCTGCTAGGCGTGGAAGAGGCCGTGCTTCACCCAGTCCGTTGCCTTCTTGGTACCCTAGGACGCCTCTACGCGACATAACTCATATTATTCGGGTAAATTGATAAATTGACCATCCCCTTCTGCGTTTACCTGTTGATTCTTCATCATGTCAATCAGTTTTGGGTCAAAAGTTTTGGTTTTGCTGAGTCTTGCTGGTTAATCATTGAAAGCTTGCTTAGTCTGGTATTGATTCTGTTTACGATTTTAGGCAATGGAGAGAAGGAGAAGAGCTGGTATGGGAGTAGTCGATGGCCAGGAGATTGAATCTCCAGTACCACTGTCAGGTGAACACAATTGCTCAATGGTGACACCTGGTCCAGCTGTGGGATTGAAGCGTAGTTGCCCTCCATCAACTGCTAAAGTCCACAAGATGTTGCTTGACATCACAAACGAGATATCTGAGGAGGACGAAGAAGCGGGATTCATCACACCGGAGAAGAAGCTGCTCAACTCTATTGACATAGTAGAGAAGATTGTGATGGAGGAGATGCAGAAACTGAAGAGCACTCCTCTCGCAAAAAGGGAAGAGCGGGAGAAAAGGGTACGGACTTTAATGTCAATGCGATGATCCACACTTAGGAGGCAGAGACGTTATCAGGTTAAAAGGAGCCTGCACAGTGAGTACATCATCTTCTGATGATATCGAAGAAGGATCTATAGATCATCTTCTGATGATGTTTTCTACAAGACTTGGTATCATTTTCTGATGATTTTTGGTAGAAGGGTCAATCATCTTTCTGATGATTTTATAGGAAAAGATCATTTTGCTGATGATGATAGAACCGATCAAGAATCATCTGCTGATGATATAATATCATAGGAAGGATAATACTTTTGATAGTTCACACATTTATGTTTGGAGTCTTCATTTTAGACGTTTTTCCCTTTGTAAAAGAATTTCATTGTTGTTACGTTGAATAATAATAATCGGTGTTCGTGTGTATATTGAATTTTGGTTGGCAGAATCTTATCCTTTTGTTATTGTTTCCGCAGATTTACCCTTAGATCCTGAATCCGAAGTTTCGCTAATTAGAATTATCAAATTAAGCAAATAATTAAAAGACGAAATTGAGGCTTGTTTGTTAGGGTTATGAAATATATGCCTTTGATTAGCAATACGAGAGACTTGTTTTCAAGTCAAAATATCATTATTTTCGTTGCCATAAGTTTCGCTAGTCTTCATAATTAGGATGTATGAAGAAAACATAATGGACCAGAGAAGATAGTTATGTATATAGAAGCAAACACCAACTGAATCAGTAGCAGGAATATTAACAGTTAAATAGAGAAAGAGAGGTTTTTCATCGAAATTAAAGAGATTCTAAGGTGACAAAATGAGGAGTTTTATAATCACCCGATGACATCTAAAACACAATCACAATGACACAAAAGACGAGAAAAAAGATTCAGTGTTTGTCATCATCAGTTTTGGTGTTCCCTTTTTCTTGAGGTTTTAGACAATTGGAGGATACAGCTTGGATTGCGACTTAACCCTCTTCTTGTACTCAGCTGGATCCTGCACGTTTTCACCAAATCGAATCTCCAATCAAAAACAAAGTCACAACCACAAGATTTCTATGTTTTTCAGAATTCGAGTGTTTTGAGGTTTACCTGAATGAAGAGATGATAACCATCGGTCTGTGCAGGGTCAGCAGGATTAGGTGTGTCAAGCAAATCCTGAATACCGACAAGAATCTGCTTCACCGTGATTGCTGGTCTCCATCCCTATCAATACACCAAATCAAAAGAGAGAGCTTGAGAATGATGAACATAGATTTGCTTTTGCTCATGTAAGAATCACACAGAAGGAAACAAAAGGGTACTTACGTAATCCTCGTTGAGGATTGATAGGCAGACAGTTCCGGATGGATAGACATTAGGGTGGAAGAAACCAGGAGGAAACTTGCATTTGGGAGGCTTGCTCGGATAGTCCTCGCTGAAGTGCAACGTCAATGGGAAGAATCCTCCTTCCCAATCAGTCTGCAAGTTCATGTCAGAGAGATTGATATCAGCAATTGCCCTTTGTACTAATACAAAGATATCCAGAAATCAAAGTAAGATACACAGTAGAGTTCACAATCAGTGTCATTTCCTAGACCAAAGTCAGAACATCACAAATGAAGATAGACAGGGAGAAATGTTTCTTCTAGCATTCACAATAGATAAACATACGAGAGAATCACAAAGAACAAAAAAAGGAAGAAACTTGTGGAAGCTTCACTATTTGAATCAGATAATGATAAACAAACCCAAAAATGCAAAACAAAGACTTACTGTCACAACCAGAGATATAAGAGGATACATGAACCCTAAATTCCAATCCTTTATTTGATTCAACAAACAATCAGAAGCTGGTACACATAACTAAAGCAAAGGAGAGGTAGAAGAACACTTATGTAAATCTAATTTCAAGTTTGGAATAGTTTAAACTTACCCCAGCTTTACCAGGAATTGTGCAATGCCAAATCATTAGATTCACAGTCCCATCAGATGCAGTCTCCGGCTTCGCCACAAAACCCTAATTTCACCATCAACACAAGCAAGAGAATCCCGTCAGAAATCAGAGTCCATAAACCACCAAAGGGAAACCAAAACCCATACCCCAAAATCAAAAAACGAATCTGAGAGATGTAAACAAACAAAGTACGGACATGAGGATGATTCTTCCTCCACGATTTCCTCTCCTCCGCCAAACGCCCACGAGCAATTCCACTTGCCATCTCTCTCTACAATTTCTCTTCTCTCTCTCTCTCTGTTACTCCTTTTTTTCTCTCTATCTCTATCTCGCTCGAACTCCAATATTTCTCCTTCTCTATATAATAACCCGAAGAAGAAGAGAGGGATCGTGAGGTGCGAAGTTACAGATTTGCCCCTGTGTTAAAGCCGGGAAGGGGTAATCGGAGTATCGTACGGTCCAGATTTCGCGGCGAATAAATGTCCTTTCGTCCTACTTCCTTTGGTCCTCTCCGCAACTTTAATGAATTGACCAGTCAATAATTAATATAAACCATTTATTTTTATTTTCTTTTTCGAAAAAAGGCGTAAAGAAAAAGTCAATGGATAATGTGGCGTGAAACCTACGCGATGAAAGTAATATTTATCACCAAAAAAGCTACCAAAAGATTCTCTCTCTGCCATTACGTATCCCATTTTTCACGTGGCCCATCAACCTGTTCTGGGCCCATTTAATCTGTGTTGTTAAGCTTCCTTCAATTATTTCTCTCCTCTTGTGGATTCATTTGGTGGATGCAGAATAAGCATCTCAAAGACAATTTTGGTTGGCTAAGAAAAAAATGAATTTATGAAAGACCAAAGAGAAATGAATCTTTAGGACAAAAACTAGGCTCTACCCGAAAACTGTGTCTTGAAACTTGTAAACTGTAATTACTTTGTTGACCAGAAAAACCAAACCATTATCAACCTCTAATCTCAACTTGGCAACGAAACAAAAAAAACCAGCAGTAGAGACAAAGAACATCAAAATCACACATATACTTCTTTACCACTTTCAACACAAAAAAGATTTTTCCAAAGGTCTAATGTTAAGAAGACAAACGAAAGACATCACAATCATCACCAAGAAAAGAGTCATCATGACTTAACTTTTAAACAAAGAACAAACTAAACAAGTCTCAAGGAATTTTCTTTGATCCGAGAGAGAGCAGTTTCTCTTTTTGCTCCAGGTCAGAGCATGCAATCAGTTCTTGCAGGAAGCCTCCTGAAGAAATTGAGAGGAACTGATGGTAGCCTGGATCTAAACCTCGGATGTCTCAAAACATAGACTCCAATGCAAAGCGCCACAACCTGAAACGGCGTCACATAGAGAATCACAGCAGCAATCAAACAGAACAAGACGAACAGCGCGGTGGCACGAGGATCACGCCAGCTCAGCAACGACTGTACCCTCTCTCCTTGCGTTGCAAGATCACCAACCACCGTCTGTATCCTCCCAGCGATACTCCTCAACCTATCATACCTCATCCTCACAATGTCAGACGGTCTGGAAGTTGGAAAAGTGTCAAACTCTTCGTCGAGCTCGTCCGGATGCGCTGAGTCAGCATGAGATAGACGCGTGTCCATGTGAGGAGGATGCCTCGGTCTCCAACGGTAGTACCAAACACCAATAAGGAAGAGGTAGAGGAAGATGGTTGGCAAGATTAGCTCCGGGTAGAGAACAAGAATGATGAACAAGAGATGGATCAAGACCGTTGTGATTGGATTCTTCCAGTTGCAGATCTGCTCAAACCACTTCCCTACTGCGATTAAACCGCTCAAAACTCCCATAATCCTGAAGAAGTTCGCTTTGCTTCTCCTCATACTCCACATGTGAGAACCAACATCAAGCATGTACTCAACTACTTCTTTCCTTAAGAGAGGCTCTGCTCTAGTAAGCCTCGTTGACACAATCTGAGTCGCTTGATGCCTCAAGTTATCCAGCTGGCTAACGGTTAAAGGATGAATGTAATGCATCTTCGGTAAGAGAGGTAATGAGTACATATACATCATGTTGAGCAACGAAGCGCAAGTGAACCTCACAGCCAAATGAATCTCTCCCATTTTCTTGACTCCGTTCGGATGAAGAACAAGAAGAGGGTACGAATGTGTGTACACTCGATCAGTCTCTAGAGTCGAAAGCCTGATTCTCACCTTCCCAACTCTCGAATCTTTCGCTCCTCCTCCGTTCATTTTCTCACCTCCATGGAGATGACAGTTATCAAAAACTCCAACGGTGACAACAGTACACGGATCAAAAACCTCCCAAGTGTACTGCTCATTCCATCTCGGTGTAAAGCTGTCAATGACAGTCCGAGTCCGAATCCATTTCTGTCCATACTTCGCCACGCAGTACGCATCAGTAGTCCCTCTTCCATCTTTAGTCTTCATTGGCATCAAACCAGTCGCACTTAATATCCCCAATTCAAGCACACCGATGTTAGGCTTCCAAAGCTGCTTCGCCGTCGGTCTAAGATCACTACTGTAATGCGTAGACTCATCAAGAACGTGATAACCTCCTTCCAAACAAATCCTCATGTGAATCCTGCTTGCAAACTTAGCCTCCTTCTTCTCTCCATCAACCATAATATGCTTCTCCAAATTATACCACCTGCTGTTCACCGGTCTATGATCAAACCTCCTATCCAAGTACTGCAACGGAACCGCACATCTCCCCAAGACTTCATCTTTATTCGGAGCAACTCTATCTTCAACACTCAATATCAGAGGCTCCTCAAATGGCTCAGCTGCAACAAACATCAAATCCTCATTCCACATTGGATTAATAGTCCTCCCCTGTGACACTCTCGTCCTCAACGCCTGGTTTCCAACTACCGCCTTCACGTAAACCTCAGGGTATCTCCCTTTATCTCCCGGTATCAAATCTTGAGCTTCGATCACATTAACCCTCAAGTACCAAAGCTTAGGAGAAAGATAAACCTTAGACCTGATGTTAGCTAAAGCGTCAGTTCCACTAACAGTTGCAGCATCTGAATGCCAAGCTTCAGGGAAAGCTTCATCAGCTTGAGTGCCAAACCAAACAGCCAACATAAGCTCTCCTCTAACTTTACCTCCGTTCCTATCTTCAAGCCTATACCATTGTGGAGCCAAGGGACTATCAGGAGGCACTCTCTTTGGTATCTCATTCAAGTCAAAGATAACTCGGCCGATCAAATCGTCTTTCATGAAATCTTTATCCTTCACTGTAGCTTCAAGGAAAGAAGCTTGGATTCTGTCTTTGGAGAAGGCGAAGACTTGGTTCCACTCCGGATTCGATTTCTTCTCGAAATGCCTTGTGGTTCCTTTGTAGTTTCCGAGCTTGACTTCGACGTAAGGGTCACAGCTTCCGGTTAAGTCCTTCCCAGGTAGCTCCTTTGCCTTCACCACACGAACGTAGAGATACTGCATTTGCTCGACGAGGTCATATGTGCTTGTGAGCTTATCTCCGGTGACTTTGTTTCCGCCGAGATGAGGTCTCGTCTCCTTTAGGGAGAAATCTTCAGGTGGTGGTCTCTGCATCTTGTAACAAAGTTCCTACACAATTCAAAAAATGATAATTAGAGTTACAGATTCACAATCAGTAGCTAAAAAGGGGAAGAGAGATTAGGCTTACAGATTATGAGTTTTCCGATTTCAGCTACTTCACTACTTCAAATCCCTAAATCTGAAACATAATCTCGAATATAGCATCGGAATTTCTAGATCATAAACAACCTCGTTAGCAACTCCGAGGAAGAATACTAACGGCACAAAATCGTGAATCAAAAAGAAATGAAAATTTAATCTATCGTTCACAGTTCACTGCACCGAGAGAAAACATTTTTTTCTTGGAAACACAAAACCAAAATCAATGACGCAACGCGAATTACGCTGAAGCTTTTTTGTTTGTACAGGAAATTTGAATCTCAAATCACTTGTTTCAATTTTTTTCGTCTCGAGTCAATGAGAGACGCACCAAAACAGAAAACGACGGAGAGAAAGTAATACCACAGAACAAAAAAGCTGATGTAGCATGCAAGTCGGAGAAACAAGCCAAAAAAAACAGTGAATCCACTAAGAAACATCTAAAATGCTCAAAATCCACCGGCGAAGAAGAAATGTAGAAAAAGCAGTTAGGCGATAAGGAAATCTAACAACACCAACCTTAGATCTTCAAAAAGCTATACAAAATCGTCGATGAGAAGGAACAGTCTCGTTACACAGGCGAGAACAACACCATCCTTAATAAGTAAGAGTCGTCTCTCGTCGTCTTCCTAGTAAAAGCAGAAGATGGGAAACTTCTAGAGAGAGAAAAGAGTGAAAAACATTGAGAGAGAGAGAGAGAAAGTTTGTTTCTCTCTTGTTCGTTGCCTTCCTCTTTCCGTTGCTTTTTCTACAGTTTCCACATTTTGTTACTCTCTGTTAAGGATCTGGTGAATATATAAAAAGAAATTAACTAAAAAAAATACAGTAGAGTGGACACTGTGGCGCTACAAAATCGAGGTGGGGTCCACGTAAAATCACGCAAGACATACCTCTCCGTTTTGAAATCCCACACGTGTGGAGACGACGGTTTAACGTAATCGTTCAACGGCGGTCGTTATTTTTTTATTTTTAAATCTACGAAATTTTTTTGAATCAACTGAATTTACCCTCCTTGTTTTTAAGGAGTTTTAGCAGACGAATTAGTACATAACTATAAAAATTAACTAGATATTCATTGTGTTATTGTGTATTTCTTGAAGACGATTTCTAAAAGCACTATGTAAAAAGAAGAAATAGTCTTTGGATTCCTCCATGTTTTGCAGTCTTTCCCGTCTTGATGATAGCATATACGACCCATACGTACATATATACAAAAGCCGTTTGTTGCTTTGCTGGACGCCTTGACTAATATTTTTGTACTAGCCTAATGTTACCTTTGATAGAAAATTAGACTATTGTGATTGAAATAACATTAAATCGTGTAAAAAGGGATCAATAATAATACAAAGTATATATGTATTAAGTTGTAGCACTACGGTCGTAAAGAAAGACATTCACATTATTCTTGTTGTCTACATGTTTTTTCTTTAATGTCACACAGTCTACCCAAAATGTCTAAAATCACAATTCCCACATATACGTGTTTATTTAGACCTGTGCTTGTCTTTTCTTGATAAAGGATTTTTCTTTTTGACATGTGCTTGCTTGCTGGTCAGTGGTCACTGCTTTTGCTTATGCACAGAAAGAAATTCTATTTCAAGCTATACAGTCAGGAAATGTTTTTAAACTGTTGCTCGTTTTACAATTAGGATCTTCAATTTTGTAACTAAACAACAAGTACTATATTACTGTTCTTGATATACGGTTTGTAGTGTTGCTTATGTTTTGCTTGCTATGTTACTCATCCTTTACACCTACGATTTTCAATACCTAATACCGTGGAACCTTTATTTGCGAAGAGGCCGTCTTTTTTCTTTTCTTCGCTCTATCTTTATGATGTGCGACCGATAAACGAATGCTTCTTCTCAAAGTATTTGGAAATAATCTAGTCAAAAGTATTTGGTAATTTAAAAAGGGGGAAAAAGGAAGAGATCGTTGCAAACGACACGTGTCGCTCATGCTACGCTTGGATTTGTTGAAGAGTTAGAGTTTCTTCGACTTGGAAATGGGGATTTCTAGTCCACCGAGTACCGACTAGTCTACGATTACCGTCAAAAGACTAAAAACTAATATAATCAGATAACTCTGGTAAGTGTAAGTGTGTAACAAGTAATAAAGACAGTAACACATGTTTAATAACATAACTTATCACATCTATCATGCGTTAGACTTTCAATAGAAACTTGGTAACCACAAAAAACAAGACGTTCATTTGTTATTTTAATTGGCAACGACAAAAAAAAAACGTTCACTGATAATTGTGTCGGATTAACTGGATAGTGATTAAATTTTGAGACTTTATTATAACTCAGTCAAACTGGTTGAATATGGTAACCCAATAATCTGAAAATTGAGAGTGTTCGCTGTCTTTTATTAACTGTTACAATGCAAGTTTTGTTTCTTTTGTGATCCGGTATTATGCAAGAAACTTCCAACGTATTTTCTCCTGTAAACCTTCAACGGTTTTAACAATGGAAAAGGTACAACGTAATTTAAAACGATTTAGGTAACAAAGTATTTTTGTCACTTTACTAAACAGTAGGTTCGTGAATTATTATGATCATCAACTTTTGCTTTTGACAACGTTTATCACCTAACTTAAAAATGGCCTAACAAAGAAACTAAACAATTAAATGCGAAGAGCATTCAATTCACAAGAGGCCTCTTTCATTAACCCTTTGTTATCATCGCTCCTCTGACGTGTCATAGCTCCGATCAAAGGTTAATCCACTCGTAAATCCAACGACCATAAAAACAAGGCGTAGATTAATAACATACACGTGCGCGCACTATAACCATTTCTCCTCTCTTCCCTCTTCAATGTCATTATTCGTCACCCAAAGAAAGATCTGCAACTTCACCACCGGACCAGTTTCTCTCTCTATTGCTCGCACGAGGAATCATGACTGAAGAACAAGACCTCATCGACCAATCACCACCGCCTTCGGCACCCGACCCTGGACCCAACCCAACCCCGAATCCGAATTCAGTAATCCATCCGAGGCGTGTGTCTTTCGAGCACGGACTCCTCCCGATCCAGAAGCTCGTTTTCACCGACCCGATCCAAACCCTAGCTCCCGTCAAGCAGAAGCTAACGGATGCCGCTTCCAATAACCGCGTTGGATCGGCTGCAGTCGCCGACGTTCTCCAGATCTCCGGTGACCACGCGCGTCTCGTTCTCGAGACTCTCGGTTCGGTGCTTCATTTAGAGTCCGACCCTCTGGTTCGAGCGAAACCGGAGGAAGTTGATTCCGCCGGAGCTGATTTGCGGGATCTAATTCTGTTCCTCTACATTCAATCGTATAAGAAATTGCTGCCGAGGACGCACAAGGATTCCGCTGCGGTGGCCGATGTATGGCCATCGACTTCCGCTTTTGATGGTTACTTGTCGGCGTTATCGCCAATTCAGGCAAGTTTCGTACTTTTTTTCTGGCCCTCAAATGATATTAAATGATCCATTTGACATGGAAATGGAATAGTCGTAGCTGGAATTTGGAAACTGGACGTGGTTAGAGAATCATGTTTTCCATTTTGCATCGGATTCAACTAAAAATTTGCAATGCAAGCTCAAGTTTTTGATTTGATTCACCCGAAACTTATAGAGAGTTAAGCGAAGTTGGAACTTTGGGCGTTATTTGAAAGGTGGATGTAGTGTTCGTAATAATTCTCAGTGGTGAAGGTGCTTGTATTCTAAATGCGTATCGACTTATTGTTCGAAATACGATGAAGCTGTTAGTCATTTTGTAGTGGAGGTATTACTGTAACACCATTGTAAGCATGCTAATGTTAGTATTGTTGTAATATGAGATACTTCTATCCAGCCTTTTGGTGTTTGAAACACACGCTCATTGAAACATGCTTCAAGTAAATATGCACCTATGCATTTGGGTAACCTGTTCATTTTATCATCTCTTAATCGTCAATAATGCGAGATCTTCAGCCTTGCTTGTGGTAGGGAAGGTCTGTTGTGTATTTTAGAAAACAGTCATCGAATGCTTCGGTATGCTATTGTTTTCTCACCACATGGGTCTAAGTTATATTTCCTTTTCATCACTTTGCAGCTTGTTCGCAGCAACAGCCGTCGCTTTATGCCATCGCAAGCAGATGATGAAGCTCATCAATTATCATATCTGCAGAAACATTTAGCAAACATCATTTCTCTCCTTGCAGAGCCTGTGGAAGGTGAAGGAGAAGAATCATTGGTATGTGCTAGTCTTTCTTTATTATTTTCAAGAAGAGTCATTGTTTCTATTGGAATAAAAAAATTCAAAGGGAATGAAGGAGACCACAAGTCTCAAGCTTAATGCTTAATTCCTGATGCCTCAAACTAATTAATTGTCTTGCTTGTTCAATATTCTTCAGGTTCTCTCTATGGAGGCTTTTGAGCATCTGGGTTTTCTTGTTCAGTTTGGTGATAAGGGATCGGATGTATCTCCATTGAGCCAAGCTACTCCTTTTTTTGCAAATTCTGATCCGGATATGCCCGCTGTTCCAGTTCCTGCTTCCCAAGTGCATGACTGGCTTCTGCAAAACATAGCTTCCGCTTTAGAAAGCATTACGGAGAGAATTTCTGGGAAAGAGAATGGGCCTTCTAGCGCCTCTGATCAAGATGATGCGATGTCAGATGCTTGTGCTGCTCCGAACAAGGTTGCACCTAGTGGTAGAGGCCCGTGTTTAATCGAAGGAGTCTCTAAGACTTCACTTGTTAAGCAGGCCTCCGATCTTAGGGGTAGATCTGTGAAGGTTCGATGTGAACAAGTGACTTACGTTTTAATATAGTTAGATTCTTTCTTGCTTCATTTTCCCTTCCAGTCATGTATTCTCTCTGTGAACTCATGTCAACTACATGTTTTATGTATTCTGCAGGTTGTCAATTGCCATGATTCTGTGATTTATCTTTTAGCGCCATTGAGATATGCAACTGTGCATGGATGTTCTGATACTACTATAGTTCTGGGAGCTGTTGGCAAGGTATGGACACGATCCTCCTTCCTTATTTATCTTTATCGGAGATGTTCGAGGCAACTTTTACTAAAAGATGCAACAAATCTACTTTCTGATTTGTTTCTGCAGGCATTAAGAGTTGAGCACTGTGAGAGAGTTCATGTGATTGCAGCTTCCAAACGAGTGTGCATCGCCAACTGCCGTGAATGTGTATTCTTCTTGGGAGTCAACCAGCGACCGCTGATTGTTGGTGATAACCACAAACTGCAGGTGAAGCCTCTCTCTCTAAGATCAAGGGTTGATTTAAACTTTTAAAATCATGCTGCAAAGTGCATTAAACATCTATTCTTCACCTTTATGATACAAAGGTAACATTAGTGAAGAGGCTAGACATTTTAGCAGCATTAATTTGGATAATATTCTCTTCTGGACATGTGAATTGAGTTTAGTGGAAACATTTTCGAGGTGTTATCCGTCTAGTAGCTCTATGGTGTTGATGAGAGATTGATTAAGAAATGCCTCTTAGTCTATTGTTTGCTTCCAAAGGGTGTCATAGGTTTCCTTTTACTACTTGAGAATACAAACAGTGTCAGATAGTGGTTCTTAATAAATACAGGCTTTTAAAGACATATGTTTGATTTTGTTCCAGGTCGCTCCATATAATTCATATTACTCTCATTTGGAGGAGCACATGCGGGAGGTAGGGGTTGAGCCAACAATCAACAAATGGGACAAACCATTGGCACTAGGAGCAGTGGATCCACACGACTCACTGTCACATCCTGCTGGTGTCGCTGATGCACAAGCCGAATCAGCCGCTTGTGTAGACCCTGACCAGTTCATTAACTTTTTGGTACACTCTCTTTTTCTTGGTCTAATTTGAATCCATGAACTGATGAATGCTATTCATGAAGCATCTAATCACATGTTTTATCTGTGGCATTCATGTCTGGTGCAGATCCCAAACTGGTTTAGCGGCGAGGAGATTGGTTCCACGAAAGACAATCCATTTCCATTGCCAGATCCTTATATGGCAGCTCAGCAGAGAAACGTATGTACATTTTTTTTCCTTAGTAAGAAATGAAGCACTTGTTCACATCTTCTTAACTAATCCATTTCGAATTCATCAGGTTAAAAACTTTGAAGAAACAAGACGATCGTTAAGAGAAACGCCTCTGGAAGAAAACCGGAAAAAGGAGCTATCAAGCGCACTTCATGTCTATTTCAAAGACTGGCTCTATGGTAAGGACTATCGAAATCAGTCCCCGCTCTAGTTTATGTACTTCATATATAGATTTTGACTGTCTCTGTTTCTGCTATGAATCTGACAGCAAGTGGAAATATAAGGCAACTCTACTGCCTACAAGGTGACTAATGAGGAGGAATAATAAACAAAGTGGAAGATGTGTCGTTCCTGTAGAGCTCTCTGGATCATATTGGCATATTGCTAGTGAAAGAAAACCCAAAGACCCCGCAAAAGCAAAAAAAAAAAAGAGAAACCAGCCTGATTTGTAGTTTTGAACCAATACGCACCACGTAACTTTATCTGCACAGAACACTTCCCTAAAGCTTTCCTTTAGATTATCATTTTCTTGATTTCTGCTTTGGTCGTGTTTAATCTTTGTTCCTTTTCACTTTTCACATTTCAATCCGTTTTGTCCTCTTCTCTTTTGAAAATCTCATCATCGGATAGAGGCATGATAGTTTTCTTGAATTGTTATAACATATAAAGCAGAAATTGCAAAAACTTTTTTTGATATCCTCGTCTTGGTAATAGCCCGGAGGAAGTAGATCGAATTTATGAGAATAACAGTATAGTTGCAGCAGCTACAGAAATTATTATTTTATTGCTGTAAAATAAAAAAATTCAGACAAAATATGGGAAAGAGCAAAAGAGTAGTATATTTTTCACATCCCCAGATACAAAACAGAAAGATGTTGGGCCCAATTAGTCAAGCCCATTACTTATTCTCTCTCTCTCTTTCACCCTCTCTCTCTTGCTTTGTCGAAAACTCGCAAGCTCCGTCGGCAATGGCAGAATCGACGAGAAGTCTGACTGGGCTCGGAGGAGAAGCAGCGAAAGAAGAAGAAGAGAATGATGACTACATGGGAGACCTATCTCAGTTTATTGCACCTGAACTTACACATACCTCCAAAAGAAAGGTAATTAAACTTGCCCTTTCGCGGAATTCGCCTAATTGATTACGAATAGTTACATAAACTGAGTTCGTTTATCTTCCGTCTTTAGATTGATAGCTCAGTGGGTGATGAATTATATCCAATTTCGTTTATACTAGTCGAAGATGTGTAAGTTGAAAATCCAGACTTCACTTGTTGATCATCTGATTGTTTTGCAGGAATCTGAGAAGAAAACTGTAAACGTTGAACCATCTCGGAAGAAGCTAAAGAATCTCAACTGGCACGAGAGGCGAAGATTGGAGAAAGAGAGGAAGCAAAGAGAAGAAGATGAGCAGACATTGGCTCGTATTGAAGACACTCCGATTGGAGAGTCTAACGTAGGGTTTAAGATGTTGAAGCAAATGGGTTACAAGCCAGGCTCAGCTCTTGGTAAAGAAGGGTCAGGTAGAGCTGAGCCGGTGACCATGGATATTCGTAGATCGAGAGCCGGTGTGGGAAGAGAGGATCCAGTTAAGGAGAAGAGGAAAAGAGAAGAGATTGAAGCGGAGAATGAGAAGAGAAAGGTTGAAGAAATGTTGGAGGATTTCGGGTCTAGACAGAAGTCTCAATGGCGTAATAAAAGAGTTGTGATTAACTTTAGGAAAGCCAAGGCGGCTCTTGATCAACTTGAGAACGTAGAGGATGTTCCAGAGAAGAAAAATGAGGAAGACGAGAATGGCAAACTTGGTGAAGAAGAGGAAGAAGAAGAGGAGGAGATCACTGAAGAGGTATGTTCACAACAATTTGGTTTATGGTCTCGTTCACAACATTATTCTTTAGGTTAATAATTTTGAGCTTTAATGGTTGCAGGATTTGCAAGAGATTTTGATGAAATTGAGAGATGAACATCGGTATTGTCCTTTTTGCGGTTTCCAGGTAAAATGAATGCATTCAAGTCTTGTTTTGTGAATGCTAAATGTTGAGTTCGTTTGAGTATACTGACAAAATTTTCGTGATTTGTAAATCAGTATGAAACGAATGAAGCTCTTCTCTCCAATTGCCCTGGCGTAAATGAGGATGATCACTAGAGGAGTCACACTGGTATGGAAGCACACGAACACAACTTCAAGTCAAATTGAAAAGTTCCCTGATGTGGCCGAAGAGGAAGCAAGATACAGAAGAAAGAGTGTGTCTTCAGTTGCCTAAGCATTTCAGGTAGGTGAAGATTTACTCACTAGAATAATTTTGAAGGACTGGCTAATTCGCATATTACTCATGCCTTGATAGATAGATAGATGGTAAGGTGATAAAAGCATGTAGATCTCTGATTTGATAAAACAAACTATAATTGATGTTTCTGTTGGATGTAAAGAAAACAAAGAGATATCATTAAAACCAAAGAGATCAAAGAGTCAAAACCATTAAAGTAATATCCAAATCAAAAGCCATTATCCGGCATAATCGTCTGGTTTTAAGTAGCATAGAACAGAGAATTTGATAAGATCTTGAGACTATCAAGTCTTAGTGCAGATGAACAAATTGATCCAAGAAAAAGTCTTTAAAGGGTGAAAGAGAAAAAGACTCAGAGAGACCAGTTGAAATGTTGAGGAGAAGAGTCATAAGCTCTTGTGTTCTCAGGTTCCATGTATTGCTTGAGAACTTGCTGATGAAGAGACAACTCGAATCCACCACCCATGCCGTTGCTTAGCTGGAAATCAGCTGGCTCGGAGATTTGGCTGAGTCCCAAAACAGGAGACATGTGATGCGAATTGCTTTTCTCGCCCTCCATGAAGTCCCAACTTTGGTTCAAGTACTGATTATGGATTGAAACAGGCGGTGGTTGAGCCATTGTAACCCTATCAGCAATCATCGAGTCGAAACCTGAAGATGGTCGCCATGTATCGGTTGACGTCTGAAGTGGTTGTTGCTGCTGCTGGTTTGTGTTAGTGTTTGAGTTTGACAGAAGAGAGAGAGCACAGCTTGAGTCTGTGCTGTTGTTGTTCATCATCGCAGGACATGTTGTAAAGCTTGAGCTTCCGTGTGAAAAAACATTCAGATTGCTTTCCCTTTCCGGGTTAATCTGCCACGGTCCAGACCGTCTCATCACTGGTCTTGCCGCTGACCATGCCGTCGTATCTCCCAAAACGCTTCTAAATATTGCAGTATTAGCATTCTCTGTTACCAAAAAAAAAAGAATCAAGAACTTGAGTGAGCTAAACAGAGTAATTTTAGAGAAAAGCAAATTGTGGAAAATGGGATCTAACCGTAAAGAGATGGAGCGATTCTAGAGTAACGAGAAGTGAGCAGATTCGTTGTGGCGTGTGGCTTTCTTCGTCGCTCGTTATGGCAAGCGAGTCGTCTGCGGCAACTTCGTTTCTCTAAGTCAAACTCAGAAAGCAAGTGAAACCTGAGGTAAAGAGAAAGAAGCTTCAACCAAAAGCAACATAATTATAATTCATATTATTATTTATCTCCAGAGATAATATAAGAGACAAGATCACATTAAAAACTAGCTGTAAAGTTTTATAAGACTCTTGATAGACGTTAAGAGCCAAAGCAAACAAAACAAATCAAATACTCAAAAAGGGAACATTAAAAAAAAAAAGAAGCTTTGGTTCCCTTGTGACTCTTTTCCGATCACCGGGAGTGGCAAAAAGAGTAAATAAAACAAGAAGAAAAGGAAGAAGAGAAACCTGCTGCATTGTTGGCAAAACCTTTGATGAAGACCAGAGACAATGACATTAGATGATTTAGAGTGAATGCAACAAACTTTATGCCTCGAGTAGTAAGTTTTTGCATTGCTTAGATCCATTCTACAACCTTCCACTTGGCACCTCGCCGTAGAAGTAGACGACTTACGAGCCGTATTAACCCGGTTCTTGCTTGACTTGGCTCCGGATCCGGATCCGTCCTCGAAGTAGATCTTCTGACCAAACCTCAGTCCACCAGTGAGTGAAGATGACTCGATGGAAGAGGAACCACCCGACTCGGTCTGGCTCGAATCCATTAGTAACTCCATAATGCTTTTGGTTTCCTCTTACTTAGACAGAGTGAGAGATGCTTTTGCTCACTCTCTCTCTCTCTAAATAAGCTTCAAAATAGAAATGACGAAGAGAGATAGGAAAGAAAATGTGGTTTCGGTGCTTTTAGTTGTTGCTATCTTTTAAAAGATGAGAGAGAGAGATAAAGAGAGAGAGAGAGAAGCTGACAAAAGAAGAGACACTCAAGAGTGATTGGTACTAGGCCACGACAGCTACGGATTTTAGCGTTTGCGTTTTGGGGATGTTGGTGCGTTTTGGTGGTTTCTTGTTGTATCCTGTATTGAACAAACATAGATTTTTTTTTTCTTCTCTAACGTACAAAATGATATCCTTAAATGAGACATGGGACCATAACTCCCTTGTAAAGTCTAGCTATAATTTATTTTATATTAGGCATTAGCTAACTAAATAAATTATAGTTTTTCTTGGTCAGAATAGTTTCTAAAAACTACATTTATAGCCTAATGATGTTGAAATAATTGACATGTACTGTACTTTGTTAATTTGAACAGACCACAGACCTATAAATGGATTTTTGGTTTATTTAATATTTTTGTGTAAACTATCAATATAATAGGTAACAATACTATTACAGTATTACTAACTAAAGAGCAGCAAAAACAATAGTTAGTATTTTGAAAATGCTAAAATAGAGAACTACGGGCAGAGAGTGTTGGAACTCAACTATGGATGTGACATTTACGAGTTGTAAAAAGTGCATAAGATAAGCTTCAGAGTAAGGAAGAACAAGAGAAACGAAAATTTATTTTGCAGACAAAAAATATCAAGAAGATCTTTGAAAATTATTCAAAGCAAGATTAGTGGCTTTAGGGTTTTGTCAGGGTTTCTTTTTACAAATCAAAAGAAAGGAACTAAATTGTACTATTACCCTTTCTTAAAAAAAAAAAGAAAGAAACTAGATTGTACTAAATAAAGCAAAACACAAACGGAATAGAATCGAACTGATACACACAGCCCAATGAAAATGTTAAGTACACAGATTCTGATGGATACCTGACCATGAATCGAACTTCCATACTCTCTTTTGAGAAAAATAAAAACAATTTTTGTTTAACTTATCAAGAAAGATATTGCTTCGGATATTGTGAAAAGAACACCAAATCTATTTGAAAAAAGAAAGATAACCACAAACATTACTTTTTTAGAAAAAAAAAATTAGAACTGAATTATCAAAGTGTTCAATAGTTCCCTCGAAGAGTCACATCCTTAGTTGAGTTCCAACTTCCAACACTCTCTGTCTCTCGGCCCATACTTCTCTGTTCTTTCTAGTTTACTCTTCAATTAGTTATGGACTTATAATTATACCAAAATTAAGTGATAAAAGGGCAGTGACCAAGAAAAATCGAAAATTCTGATTCCGTGTATGAAACCAAAACGCACCCGCACCAAACTCGGGTTTCTAACAACAAAAAAGCGATTCAACAAAACAAAAGCGTTTTCTAAACGCCATTACATTCAACAACAGCTTCCGCAGCTCGTCTTGGTTTGTTCTTCCTTCTGCTACCATTCTGCCTAAACCCAACAGACGAAGATGACTTCATCGAATCATCCTCCGTGCTTGATTTCGATCCTACACCACCACCGTTCTCTTCTTCCGTTATGTTGCTCTCTTTAGACTCCACTGGTTTCTTCCTCTTCCTCCCACCATTCTCTGTCTTCACATCCTCTTTACTCGTTACTACCGAGCCATTTGCATCATCATCTTCCTCTTCTTTCTTCTTCATCACTAGCAGCTCCTCTTCTTCTTCCTCTCCTTCGATTTCATCTCTCACAGGCTTCTGTGGCCTCCCTCTTCTCCTGTAAGCTGGAATCTTTTCTTCCTCACCGCTTCCTCGGTCTTCTCTAGCATTCTGCTTCTTCCCTTTTCCTCTACCTCTTCTCATAACTCTCTTCAAACTCCACAACACCAAAAGCCTTAAGAAATCTGCAAGTTGAAAAAGGTTGTTTCATTTCAATCAGTTTTCATTAAGCCAACATTTGGAAGATACAATAAAATTCCAACAAATACTATAAGATCTCATATTAGGGATTTATAAATCATGCACTTGAACAGCTTATTTGACAATACCAAAATACAATTTCTTACAAAAGAAAAAAAAAGGTTTCAACTTTCAACAAAGAAACATATAAGCAAACACTTTCAGTCACTAGACACTGAACAATTTGATCATTTTAAACTCAGTAGAAACCACAAACTAAGCTACAAGCAAGCTCAATCGATTAGATTCCCCAAAAACTAATTGCATGAACAGGCCAGAGAGAAATAAAAATCCTAATTTCCTTCCAACCTCATCTAACTTCTTCAGTACAGTCAACAGAGGATTCACTACCACCAAGTAAAACAGAGAAACAGAGACTCACCTGTGAAGCCATTGCTGAGAATGAGACCAAAAAAGCCTAAAAGGGTCTCTCTTTTTAATAAATTTGATTGGGTTTTCGATGGATCTGCTAACCAGTTTCTACAACCAAACAAGTGAAGTTAGGAGAAGAGTTAAACCCAGATCAGAAGAAACACTGAGATTCTAAAAAGCGAATCAAAAATCCAAAGGATAAGTGTTTACAAAGAGAAAGAGAGATCTAAAGGGAAAGAAAACGGAGAGAAAAGAGCAGAGACAAGACACAAGTGTTGGTTGAAAGTGTCGTTGAAAGAAAGAGAGAAAAAAAGAGTTGATTGCTTTGAAAAGGTTTCTCTTTTCTTTTTCTTCTATGCTTCTGTGGAAGCTAATAAAGAAAAAAAAAACGTAAGAATGACGCTTTTCCTCTCACTTCCACCATTACACTGACTCAAATGGATCTTAAGCCCGTTGAAGATGGATACGGATTCTTCCCACGCGCGTCCACTCGGCGCGTGCTTTCACATTCTACTCGTTTTCGTTTTCGAACTCGTTTGGATAAGACAGCTAATAGCCGCGTGACCGCGTTTATCAAAAAGATTTGAACAATCTCTTTTTTCCTTTTCTTTTACCGGGTTCTTTTCCTTTAATGTTTGCGCTTAGGCCCATTAACCTCTGTTTTATCTATATGGTTTCGATTTTATTTTAATACTGCATAATCCATTTCGGTTTAGTTTCGGTTAAGCTCGGTTTGTTTTTTTCAGGTTCTTTACATTCATGATTTGAAGACTAAAAAAAAAGTAATAGTTTTTAAAATGAAATTATTGCCAAACACACCTAAAATCATTCAAATTCCAAATATAACTACTTTTATTCTACATTTTTGTTTAAAAGTTTAAGTTTTTACTACAATTTTTTTTTTCAAAATAAAAAGCTAAAGCCAAAAGTTTTAAAAGTTGTTTCCAAAACTTTCTCTTGGTTTTACATTCATCAGTTTTAGTACTGAAATAATAAAAAAATTATATTAACATATTTTACATTCATCAATTATTGAGCACAAAAATAGCACAAATATTGAAGTAAATGTGACATTACCATTTCGATTGATGTAAAACCTGTTAACATATGAACGATTTAGTCTCAAATTTTGGATAAATCACTAATTCCACTGGTTGTAAACTAAGTTATAAAGTGAAATCTAAGAAGTCAAATAGGAAACAACGAAAAAGAGAAGATCACACCGATTCTCTGTTTATTTGAGTCTCTAGAAGAAGACGATGAAACCTTTCAGTTTTACCACATAGTTTATTTTTTTTTGAGAATTTCAAATTAATGTTTCATAAGTTACACAACTCACAAATAAAACTGTCGACTTTTATTCACATTTGCAAAAAAAAAGTGAAAAAGTATCGAACTTTTGATTTTGATGTTTATGAAACTAGTTTAACCATAATTAAACGAAAGTAAAGACTTTTTCTTCAAATTTGAACAGAGAAAAAAATCAAAAACGTGTGGACTTTACTTAATTTGCAAGGATTAAAGTCATTCTCATTAAGTCATTATGCATGCTAATGCATCCTAACTCGGAGAAAATGGCCAGAAATGTAACGGAGAATTTGGGCTTTGGCCCATTAAACTCGATTTAGTTATCTGGTTTCAGTTCTATTTGAATATTGCATAATTTATTTCGGTTTGGTTTCGGTTTAGCTCGGTTTGTTTTTTTAGTTACATTCTCTGATTCTCCCATGTCAAAACAAAAAGAAAAATTTCTTCCTTCCTCATAAACCCTACTGCACAATTTTGAAACCCTAATTGGTCCGTTCTCATTTTGTATCATCGTTTCCTTCAATTCTTCCCTTTTTTCATACACTTGTAACACATAATTAGCCTACTCTTAACAGAAAGTTTGAAGGAATCAATTTCATCAGTTTGATTTCTCAACACCAGCATATCTCAGAAAGCAGAGCTTCTATAGAGAATTCAGGGGTTTTTAGTGTATTGATTGGGTTTTCGTCTGTGCTAAGATTACTGAAGAAGAAGAAGCAGTGTTGCAAGTATGAGGAAGAAGGTAGACGAACGCATCAGGACTCTGATTGAGAACGGTGTCAAACTGAGACACCGTTCCATGTTTGTAATCATCGGTGACAAGTCTCGTGACCAGGTTTGATATCTCTCTTCTGCAGAGTTCTCTACATTGGAATCATATCCCTGATAAAGTTTTCTAATTGGGTTTTTTGGATACTAATCCTCTTTGTGTATGTGTGTGTTCCTTCTCTAACAGATAGTGAATCTCCATCACATGTTGTCAAAGGCAATCATCAAGTCTAATCCTACTGTCTTGTGGTGCTACAAGGACAAACTTGACATTAGCAGGTTCCGTTCTCTTTCCCAAATTCTCAAGCTTTAGATTCGTTTCTAGCTCAGCCTTTAGCTATGAATTTTGTACTTTAGTCTTCCTCTGGAGAGTGAGGAACAGATGCATTGAGAATTTAGTATTGTTATCTTATGCATAGCAGAATTATTCAGTGAGAGTTTTGGATTCGTCTTTTTGTGTGCAGTCATAAGCAAAAGCGTTCAAAGCAGCTGAAGAGAATGAGGGAGAGAGGGCAATTGGATCCAGACAAACTTGACGCTTTCTCGCGCTTGCTTGATGTGGGAAGAGTAACTCATTGCCTGTACAAAGATTCTGAAAGAATTCTGGGAAACACTTTTGGCATGTGCATTTTACAGGTACTTTGTTTTCTTAACTATTCATTCAAGATTACTGTACCACCATTTTGTGAGTAATTGTTGAATATTTCTTCTTTATGAATTCAGGATTTTGAAGCGTTGACTCCAAATCTACTAGCAAGGACAATAGAGACTGTAGAAGGTGGAGGCATGATTGTTTTAATATTACGATCACTTGCATCGCTTACTAGCCTATGCACGATGGTTATGGTATGAACCACAGTTTTCATACTCTAATTTCTTACTCTTATGAAGATGGGACGAAAGCATCATCTAACTGCTGTTACGTGATTTTTTGTTTTCATATTAGGATGTCCATGACAGATTCAGAACTGAGTCCCATTCTGAGGCTGCCGGTCGTTTCAATGAACGTTTCCTGCTATCGCTTGCTTCGTGCAAAGCATGTGTTGTCATGGATGATGAGTTAAATATATTGCCGCTTTCCTCGCATATCAGATCTATTACTCAAGTTCGAGCAGAAATGGTAAGTGTTATAGCAAATTGAATTGGCTTCTGTTTTGAGAAAGCGTTTTCCAATATTCGTGTTAGTATTGCTAACTCTTCAATAATGTGTGCCACCAAAGGATACCGAGGGGCTCTCTGAGGCAGAACGGGAGCTGAAGAGTTTGAAAGATGATCTAAGTGATGATTTTCCAGTTGGTCCTTTAATCAAGAAATGCTGTACACTGGATCAGGTTGGTTCAAAGCTATCAATTGTTTGCGTACTTGTCTTGCTAATATTCTTTCGTGTTGGCTGGCTGATGCTAACGGAGACTTTGCATTTCTATTTGTAGGGTCAAGCTGTTGTTACATTTTTCGATGCAATTCTGGATAAGGCTCTTCGCAGCATTGTCGCTTTGATTGCTAGTCGAGGGCGTGGAAAATCGGCTGCGCTTGGTTTAGCTGTTGCCGGTGCTGTTGCTGCTGGGTAAATAATAATATACTCCCATATGTTCCATCACTCTCCAATAATGCTCTCCGGGATTGCTGTTAAAACTGTTGGTATGTTATTGATTTGTAGGTACTCAAATATTTACATCACTGCACCAAGCCCGGACAACTTGAAGACGTTCTTCGAGTTTGTTTGCAAAGGTTTTGATGCACTTGAATATAAGGTAAAGCAAAGTTCTTTTCTTATAGAGTTTTTTTGATGAAGCACTCGTTCCTTATTACGCTTTTCTAAGTGTTCATATATGTTTCTTAAATACCTTTCACTCTCTCTTTTAAAGGAGTACCTTGATTATGATGTTGTGAAAAGTACGAATCCTGACTTCAGAAAAGCTATTGTGCGGATCAATGTCTTCAAGCAGCATAGACAAACCATCCAGGTTTGTTCATTCCTCATTTACTCCATGGTCTCTAGTCTGTGATTTGTGTCCATCTCTGACCTGTTTCCATGCTCTTGCTTTTGTCATGCAGTATATACAACCACACGAGCATGGGAAGCTCTCACAAGTGGAGCTGTTGGTTATTGATGAAGCAGCGGCTATTCCTTTGCCAGTTGTGAAGTCTTTGCTTGGTCCTTATCTAGTTTTCATGTCATCAACTGTCAGCGGGTATGTGAAACAGAATTTGATGCTATCCCCCATAATATTGGAAAGTTCTGAATTTAACTCAGGGATAATCATGCGACTGAATTTTACCTGTTTCTTCTTCTTTTTGCTGAAAGCTATGAAGGGACTGGTAGATCTTTATCCCTGAAACTTCTCCAACAATTAGATGAGCAAAGCCGGACTAAAGCTACTGGCGGTGAAGGCTCTCTTTCTGGTATGTAACTGTTGTATGTTGCTTTCATTCTTAGATATGAAAATTATTAGGGA